AAAGGGAGGAGAGCGCCGAAGGAGCGAGAGAGAAAGAAGGGAGCAGAGAGGAGACGACCGCCATTTTTTAGCAACGCTGTCGGAGACTGGTCGGAGAAGAGCGCTGCTGAGGCTACGCGTCGTCTGCTACGGGCCGGCTTCTTTTTCGCCTGAATAAAAGTTTGTGGCCATACGCCGAAAAATCTTCATTTATTAGCTTTTTAACCCACCGAGGAATAACAGAATGTCATTTTCTTGCCAGAGCCAGCGATATAAAAGGCAATAATCGAGATTTAGATGTCGATCCCACGCATTCCGCCGGGAGAATGATCGAAGATGGCGGCCCTCCCCACTCAGCTGCGAGCATGGAGAATAGAAGGGTAGGAGAGGGCATGACGTCAGCCGCGTAGCCTCCACAAGCCATGCTCCCTTGACGCCTCGCCTCTTTCTCATTTTCCTCCTTACTCTCCTCACTTACCATGCCAACGTGACAATATCACGTGACAGTAGCTAGCCTTCGTCTTGCTATGGGGTACTAGAATACACCACAGTGTAGCCTTCGATCTGATAAAACCAACCGGACGGAGCGCGCGCAAGCCTGCAAGGAGTCCTTCTACAATCAACCATCCATCTCACACGTGACATGTCACGCGCACCAATCGCCAGACAGATCTGCGGTCACGCTGGGCACAAAATCGTTTAAACTTTTTATGACTAGGCTTCACCGATATTGCAACGTGCCCCCTTCTAGTACTTCTAACCTCCTTGGCTGCGAGCAGCCGGGAGGAGGAGTTCGCGCGCATGCGCTCACGCCTCTCGCTCTGCGCGGCGTGCTGATTGGCCCGCTCGGGAGGAGAGCGTTACGGCGGCGAGATCATAGACTGACCAAACTCTCCCCATATACGGCTCTGCGTTGGACTGAACCGTTGACCTACAGTGCCTAGAGTATATTCTAGGCACTCTAGTTGACCCCCTGGTGCCGTTACACTCTAGTGCCGTTGTCCCCTGTCATAAATCGTGCTTCATCTTTTTTTCACTTAATATTCCAGAGTTGTGATTGCACGTCTGTCTGTGTCTGTGCTCTGTGTTCCTTCCTCGTTTTTCCTCGTCTCTTTGTGCGCGATTTCTAACCATGTACACATGGGCTCAGTTTTCCCCTTCGCCGCTAGGGGCGCGACGGTTGGATCTACTCCCCAAAGGGGTCGGACGTGTCCCGCGTACCCCGATGAAATTTATGGGGTTCTTTGAGATCCCCCGGGACTCTGACAGGATGAATGTGCAGACCACTGATCTCTATGACAATTGCTGGATCGCGCTTCCCCGCTTGTTCGCTGCAGCGCAAGTGAAGCCACCGGGCTTCACTCGCTTGGGATACGATTTGCCGTTTTTGCTAGCCTTTGCTGCGGTTTTCCAGCGTGCTGACGACACGTTTTCTACTCGTTCGTCGTCATTCGCCGAAGAAGTTTTTTGAAGACTCTGTGTATTGTTGAGATTTTCCGTTGTGAACACGTGGAAAATTTTACGAAAGTGCAGTGTCGCAGGAAAAAGGCACAACGCGTCGAAAGGAAGGGCTGGCGGCGTGTTCAAAGCATCCTTGGCACGCCGAAGTGCCGTGTCTCTGTGCCTTCGCACGCTTGGATACCGACCAAGAACCGACGCCGTGTGTATGTGTTCAGCGAGTGCAATGTGCGTGAAGCTGTTCGTGCCTCTGGATCAGCGTCTTTTCCTCTCGCGGTTTAGGAACGAGCTTAATCCAGCGTCCACTAGCGACGGAAGATGGGGAGAAGGTACGTCTTTTTTTCGTCCTTAGACGATTTACACAATACCGTGCACAACAGCTCCTCATCACTGATCAGTGCTGGCTTATTATCAACCCACTTAATTGCACTTGACGTTTGAGCGCGGCTCGCCTAATTGTAATTGGTCAACAGATTGCACACGACCATATCGGCCGCGCTTCAAAGATTTTCATTCTCGTCGTCTTGTACTTTTGCTTTCGAAAACCCCCCTGGCTCCACAACGTTGCCCTATTCGTGCTCCCACGGAATCTATTAGAGTAGATTTGGGACATAGCCATGGTTAATATAGTACATAAGAACACGTACAGATCTCCCCCTTTTATTGATAGCAACTCACCGGAACAGCTGGACGATCCAGAACTCCGTGGCCGATATATATAAATGATCTAAAGGCATCTACGCGCGACACACGTTCAGAACTTTGGCGCGGCGTCAATTCTTGACCGGTATCCAAGCGTGCGAAGGCACAAAGATGCATCACTCGGCGTGCCAAGGAAGCTTTGATCACGCCGCGACACCGGCGACACGTTTTCGACGAGTTGTACCTTTTGACACGGCTTCACGCACATTGCACTCGCTAAACACATTCACACGGCGTCGGTTCTTGGTCGGTATCCAAGCGCGCGAAGGCACAGAGACACGGCACTTCGGCGTGCCAAGGATGCTTTGAACACGCCGCCAGCCCTTCCTTTCGACGCGTTGTGCCTTTTTCCTGCGACACTGCACTTTCGTAAACTTTTCCACGTGTTCACAACGGCAAGTCTCAACAATACACAGAGTCTTCAAAAAACTTCTTCGGCGAATGACGACGAACGAGTAGAAAACGTGTCGTCAGCACGCTGGAAAACCGCAGCAAAGGCTAGCAAAAACGGCAAATCGTATCCCAAGCGAGTGAGGCCCGGTGGCTTCACTTGCGGGAGCGGCAAGCGCAATCCAGCAATTGTCATTGAGATCAGTGGTGCAGACGAAATAGCGTGTCACACTGATCTCAATGACAATTGCTGGATCGCGCTTGCCGCTCCCGCAAGTGAAGCCACCGGGCCTCACTCGCTTGGGATACGATTTGCCGTTTTTGCTAGCCTTTGCTGCGGTTTTCCAGCGTGCTGACGACACGTTTTCTAGTCGTTCGTCGTCATTCGCCGAAGAAGTTTTTTGAAGACTCTGTGTATTGTTGAGACTTGCCGTTGTGAACACGTGGAAAAGTTTACGAAAGTGCAGTGTCGCAGGAAAAAGGCACAACGCGTCGAAAGGAAGGGCTGGCGGCGTGTTCAAAGCATCCTTGGCACGCCGAAGTGCCGTGTCTCTGTGCCTTCGCGCGCTTGGATACCGACCAAGAACCGACGCCGTGTGAATGTGTTTAGCGAGTGCAATGTGCGTGAAGCCGTATCAAAAGGTACAACTCGTCGAAAACGTGTCGCCGGGGTCGCGGCGTGATCAAAGCTTCCTTGGCACGCCCAGTGATGCATCTTTGCGCCTTCGTACGCTTGGATACCGGTCAAGAATTGACGCCGCGCCAAAGTTCTGAACGTGTGTCGCGCGTAGATGCCTTTAGATCATTTATATATATCGGCCACGGAGTTCTGGATCGTCCAGCTGTTCCGGTGAGTTGCTATCAATAAAAGGGGGAGATCTGTACGTGTTCTTGTACTATATTAACCATGGCTGTGTTTCAAATCTACTCTAATAGATTCCGTGGGAGCACGAATAAGGCAACGTTGTGGAGCCAGGGGGGTTTTCGAAAGCAAAAGTACAAGACGGCGAGAATGAAAATCTTTGAAGCGCGGCCGATATGGTCGTGTGCAATCTGTTGACCAATTACAATTAGGCGAGCCGCGCTCAAACGTCAAGTGCAATTAAGTAGGTTGATAATAAGCCAGCACTGATCAGTGATGAGGAGCTGTTGTGCACGGTATTGTGTAAATCGTCTAAGGACGAAAAAAAGACGTACCTTCTCCCCATCTTCCGTCGCTAGTGGACGCTGGAGTTAAGCTCGTTCCTAAACCGCGAGAGGAAAAGACGCTGATCCAGAGGCACGAACAGCTTCACGCACATTGCACTCGCTGAACACATACACACGGCGTCGGTTCTTGGTCGGTATCCAAGCGCGCGAAGGCACAGAGACACGGCACTTCGGCGTGCCAAGGATGCTTTGAACACGCCGCCAGCCCTTCCTTTCGACGCGTTGTGCCTTTTTCCTGCGACACTGCACTTTCGTAAACTTTTCGACGTGTTCACAACGGCAAGTCTCAACAATACACAGAGTCTTCAAAAAACTTCCTCGGCGAATGACGACGAGCGAGTAGAAAACGTGTCGTCAGCACGCTGGAAAACCGCAGCAAAGGCTAGCAAAAACGGCAAATCGTATCCCAAGCGAGTGAAGCCCGGTGGCTTCACTTGCGCTGCAGCGAACAAGCGGGGAAGCGCGATCCAGCAATTGTCATAGAGATCAGTGAGCGTGTCATCTACACGATGGCCGTTGCTCTTGCGGCGTTGAGATGCCTGACAATAATTACTTGCGCACGCTTAATAACGTGGATAATGTGAAAGCATGAATAGGCCCCAAATTTATTAATACATTTGTATATATATATATTATTATTATTATCGGCCTTATCAGCTCACAAACCTGCATTAAACGTAATAAACTAGTTTTTTATTTTTTTATTTTGACTATATTTTGTGTTTGGCAATCATTATTCAGTTGTTGCGCGGTGGCATTGCTTTCACTTATTACTCATCTGTGCTCAATAATAATAATAAAGATTATTATTATTATTTTTGTTATTATTATTATTATTATTACAAGGAAGATTGGCCCTTTAGATGCGGTCTATACACGGAACACAACATTAGGAGTACTTTTTTCTGAACTAATTGCTCACTTTGAGCCACTATGGAATAATTAAGCGACTGGAATATTCCATTGTGTGATGATCCGGTGAATCCGTCACTTTAGAGGCAGTAGAGGCGTAGCGGGCGGTGCAGGCCTTGCATAACATATCATCCTTTCACGCTGCACTGGTTGCGAAATATTTACATTATTGACGTCGTGGAATGTTTATTCATTGCATGCGTTTCAACCGTGAGCTGCCTTATAAAAGTCAATTGTTATTGACTTGTTGTGCCTCAACGGCAAGAAAAAGCTGCAAGCGAAATCACTACACTGTCTACGCCGCCTGTACTACATGAACTCGTTGCGGAAGGTTTAGCCCCATCGAAGTAGAGACTCTCTATCGTCGTCGGCCGCAAGCGCCAGTGGCCAACGCGCCGTCAGCTGAGTATCTAGCTGGGCGCCTGTGCGAGAAGCAATGGAAACAACAAAATTCCTCGGCAGTTATCAAATTATTGGCCGTCGCGATACGATAGTATACTCCTAGATTTCGCATCCAGCGATAGCCGTGGCTAGCTCTTAGCGGTAGTTGCGAGAGGAGCACAGCAAACATGGCCCTCGTTGGCGGGTCCCACCACGGGCTAGAGGCCCACACCTCAACTTCGCTACGAATCGGCGTCGTGCAGCCTTTGCTGACCGGTGAGTCAATTTACGAGGCTCTATATGCTTCCTCACGCTCAAGGAAATCTTGGGCTCGATCACAATCGGCCGGATGCCTGCACCCTGCGTCACTGTGTGCCTTCTTTCTCGACGAAGCCAAGTTTCGGTTTTCCCTACTCTCGCCCCGTCGCAGGCTCACATACTACTACAACTAACACAAACCCACGTCAGGGCATTGTTGGCATTGTGTACCCGGACGAGCCAATGTCCTCGCGGTGTCAGCTTTCCGCACAGCAGGGTGCGGCCAGTGCGGCTAAATCGCGAAGTGATCGTGTGGTAACAGCGTGTCTGTTCGCTCGCGAAATGACGCTTCGCACAGGTATTTGGGGTCGCTTGATCCGTTGTTGCTGCAGTAAGTTTGCGATGAATTCTAGTTGAGAATAATGCGCTTTTTCTATTTCGCTGCAGATTTGTACCAGGTTACGATGGCGTACGCCTACTGGAAGAGCGGAAAGCACAATGACTACGCCGTCTTCGACGTCTTCTTCCGCAAGAATCCGTTCCAGGGAGAGTTCACGGTGTTCGCGGGCCTAGAAGACTGCATTCGGTTCCTGCAGGCGTTCCACTACTCCGAAAGCGGTACGTGGACCTCCCTTTACTAGGGAACACTCGGGGTCTTTTCAATTGGGAGGCCGCGCGCATGAAAACAAAAACAAACTGGACAGGAGGAACTTCCTGTCCTAGTGACGAAAGAAAGAGAGGCGAAAAGTTTATTGCCAAGCATTGCAAGATCGGTTGGGGCATTGCAAGGTCGATTGTAAACCGATCTTGCCAGGCATTGCAAGATCGGTTGTAAATCCAACAAAGAAAATAATTTGTAGGTTGTGTGATTCGCTTTGTAGAATGTGCTTCTTCGATAAGGTGGTACTGCCAAACGTATTCTTCATTTCGTCACCTGGACTTCTCTATAGTGGCATTTAATTGCATGTTTTTGCCTAGTGACATTGGAGAAGCTACTTATTTGAAAGGGTACACATAAAAGCCGATATTACCTTTCACGTCTTTTTTGCTTCTTTCTTTCCTGCACATTGCATTTCTCTGAGCGTGATCCTGAGCAAATATACCTAGGGATGCCAAATGTCTCGTTCAGTACGGGACAGTCCCCTTTTAATAACTCATTTCTGCCGTCCCATCTTTTTGGTCTAATGAAGCCTCTTGTCCCGTTTTCGTGGGAACATGCATAATGTCAGAATGGAAGAAAACCAAAAGTATGCTTCTTGTCAGATGTAATGTTTTAAAAATAAACAGGCTATGAAACATACTGTAGTTGCATCAGCTAATACATCTTGTTTCACATAAGCGCGTGTGTGGGAGACTCTTCTATACTACTGACTTTGACGTGCATCAGTTGACTACATTGCTTTCTCATTGTTAAAAGATAGGGAATAAAAGCACTCGTGTTTGTAATGAAAAACTTTGTAAAAATGTGCATGTTTACATATATGTGAAGCAGAGCTTTTTTTTTCTTCTTTTTCTCCCTCCCCATTATTTCCCTTGCTCTCTCTACGTCCACTTTCGAGGATTATGGTCGCCCTTAATATTCCTTTCTATTACGATTGATGCACTCTGCAGAACAAGTATAACAATAGTGCAGTGATGTGATTGTTGCGCCAATATCACCAAACTGTGCCAAGGGGCTAACCCTGCTATATCCTGCTATGTTTCGCCAAAATATGGGTAATCTGCGCCAAGCCTGCATTTAAAAAACAATTTCGGTCGCCTTTCAAAACCAAAACTAAACTGAGTACCGTAATCGAGCACGCGTGTGTTACGTGGTGCAAGCGGCCCGATAGACACGGGTGTGTGCAGACGCACGGATGCTAGCGTGCCGTGTATCAGCCATGCCGTCATGCCATGAAATGAAGCCGCTGTTTTGCACGGCGGGAGTACCTTTGTGAGCTGAAGCACTTGCTCCTGAAAGCAACGGCCGTGGGAAAACTATATTTGCTCCCTGCCTTCCAGTCACCGTGATCGCGCGACGTTGGGTGTTGCCGTCCCCGTGTCGCTGCATATATGGCGCATTCTAAAATGAAACTAAGTACACGTCGCATGTTCGTTAACATTCCTGTTCTTGTGTAAATCATACGTTACTACAAAAATCCCCCTTTAACTCAGACTGCTGTGTCGAAGTACTGATTACCCATAGTTTCTCTCAGTGGGCTTTTTTTCAAGAGGGACCCCGGTACGTGAAAAATCTACCGCGAAAGAAAGTTGGTGAAGAGAAGTGAGCTAAAGGGAAGAATGCAATGTCTGCACGCTGAACCCGCACAGCGCGCTTGTTTGTCTCTAGTTCAGTGGTTGCACAAAGTGCCCCAAGAACGTTTTAACCCTGGCCTGCAATGTCTTGCAACGATGCGCTCAGTTTTTTTTTTTTTTTTTTTCTTTTTGTATGTGTTTAGTGCGTACTTTATTTGCCGGCCTGGCAAGCACGCGCGCTGGGCTGTTATTTGTCGTATGCTCAACAGTTATATTTTGCATACTATTTTGGAAATCTGTTGGCAACAGAACGGAGTGGCATGGTTTTGGTTTCGATCAAACAGCCGTTGTCTCTGCTCGCACGATGAAGCACGCGTAACTGCAAGCCTGTCGAAGTTGCCCTCACGAGCATGCGAACATGATCGCACGACAGAAGCACCACCCGGGACGCTTGCAATCCGTTGTTCTACATTTGCTTACTTTTGACAAAAACCTGGCACATCGGGAGCCAGTAAAACGGTGGCAAGCGGTTTTTCGGAATTGCTCAGCAATGCCTACAGCACTGTACACTTGTGAGATGTCTCAGCAGTAAAAACACAAGCAGCTAGTTCCGTCACAACATGTCACATCAGAACACGACACATAGTGCCCTTCATTTATACAGCACTTAAAACAAATATTTTTATTTTTCGAGGAATATCTGCTCCAAAAGCCACTTTTGCTGCTCTGAAACACTGTCTAGGCTGCTCCAAAAGTCACTTTTGCTGCTCCAAAACACTGTTTTGGTTGCTCCAAAGGCCACATTTGCTGCTCCAAAACACTGTTTTGGCTGCTCCAAACGGTGCTCCAAAATGGCTTAGGCCAATCACATCACGGATAGTGGCAACGTACCAAAACAATGCCGGTAGGCATAAGACTGTCGTCACAACACACTCAAGTTCGGAAGACAAAGGAATAGATCCTTCAAGGCGTCCTTATTCTGACGTATTCAGAAGCACCAGCTTGTACTCTACGGGGGTGCTCTGGCTGCATGTGTTTGTCATGCTATTTTGAAAATTGTTCTACACTTGCATTGTATTATGTATAAAACATGAATATGAACTGCCTCATTCAATCTAACACTAAAGTTCCTTCCAGTCATTCTGCTCACATATCAAAGAAGCATTCTTTCCAGTGTTCACGTAAAGCCAAAAAAGGTGCTGAGGCCTTGTATCTTTTGTTTTGAGTTCTTTATAAAAATTTTTTTATCATTACAAAAAAATAAATATATATATATATATATATATATATATATATATATCACCTGTTTCAATTGTTTTGAGGGAATATCCTACTGTCCTGACCTCTTTGTAGTCAAGTTGCTAGCCTCCTTGGTGGATCCAAGGCTATGTGCTAGCCAACGTATCCTTGGATGGCGTTTTCGAATCCTTGCCGAAGTGCCTGCAATCTGATTGGGGCGTGTTGTGGAGAAGGCATCGGCGTTCCGTTCACGCAGCGCGGAATGCGTGAACAAACGTGTTTATAACAAAATAGACATCTGACCTTCTTGTTCCAAACGCTTTTGTTTCTTCTTTGTTCCAGAGTGTGTGAACATACATCTCGCGGCTTGGGCTCTTGGCAGTGACAGTGCTAGATTGTTATCGGCTATGTTTTTTTTTTTCTAGAGAGCGTGTGCAGTGTGCATTGGACACTACAAGAATCCTTAGTATGGGGCGGGTAGTTAACTCTGTGGTGTAGCTCAGTGGTAATGCCTCCACTTCACATGCAGCAGACTACAACATCAATAACAGACATCATTTCCAGTGGTGGAAAGAGCCTGCAACAGCTGTGGCTGTAAAAAGGTGTGACCATACTTTAAGCATTGTTCCTTCACATTGCCCGCAGACATCACATACCTGCGGAGCATCCTCCCAGGCGATGTGGACCCTGGTTATTACGATTACCTGGCATCTCTCAATGCGGACGACGTGCAGCTGTACGCCATTCCAGAGGGCACCGTGGTCTTCCCGAGGATACCGCTGATCAGAGTTGAGGGCCCTCTGGCTGTGCTGCAGCTCTTCGAGACCACTCTGCTGAACCTGGTAAACTATGCCAGGTGGGGTGTTTGAATTTGCACACAAGTCACTGGATGTTTGCAGAGTTACCAGACTGACTGATACCTTGTGAGGCCTGCTTCAGACGGAACAATTTTCCCCAGCAATTTCGGAGTTGCTGGCAAGTCATTCCCTAGATCCTCGTGCTGCAACACTAATAGCTGGGATCGAGTCCGGCTTGAAAGAGGCTTCCAACAACTTGGAGAGGTTTGAAGTAGCATCAGGCAATCAGAAACGCAATATCTTCTGTGGCTCCCCCTGTGGTTATGGTGATGGGTGACGACAACTAAACAGAGGGCTTTAACTTGGTTCTGATGGGAAATGAATCATTTTTGGGACTAAATCGTTTCAAAAGGTCAGTTAGTATTCTCAATACTATTTAAACATATAAAAACACATAATTTCCATGTAATTGCGTGTCTAAATAGAAAGAAGATTGAGCATGCAGGTGAGCTGGTGTATATTAGGCAACATAATAAAACCAAATACACGTAAACCAAAAAGACATACACAACACCGTAAAAAAAAACATGTGCACAACACGGTGTTGTGCACTTCCTTCTTGTTTCCGTGTCTCCAGTTTCATCATGTAAATAGTATTCAGTTGCTGCGAGTGAATGCAGTGGGACTGTATTTCTGGAGTTAAAACGTCAAGACTCTAGAAACAAATTACACCGTCTGCGGAGGGCCTTAGAAGGTGTGAACGCTGCAATTGAGACAACATGTTTGTTACTCCCTTCTAGCCTGGTGACCACGAACGCTGCCCGATTCCGAATGGCTGCAGGAGCGCACATCAGCCTTCTCGAATTCGGGCTTCGGAGGGCACAGGGCCCGGATGGAGCTCTCTCAGCTTCAAAGTATGCGTACGTGGGAGGCAAGTACCGGCAGCTTCATTCCCACGTGTGATGCTCGAATTTCGTATCAACACGTGTGTATATTTAGCTTTCAACACCCCTTTCGTGCATTGAGTATTGGTGCAAAGCCTAGAGATTATGTCTCAACCCTGGTGGGCGGTGGTAGAGGTTGCAGTACCGCACACCAATGCGTGGAGGCATTGTTAGTGTTGCAACAGCTATACTGGTGGTCACCAACACTTCTGTCAGCTGGTTGGCCGGTACAGTTCAAGCCATAGCCAAGCAGACGACTACTGTTGCCTGCCTCCACAGCAGATATGTCGGCAGTTCCGACAATCACCACCAGTGTTGCGTTGAACTGATAAGACTGACAAACCGATCAGACATTGCTAGGTGGAAAATTGTGAACCAAAATAAAGACCAGGCAAACACTGGTTGAAGACGCACACCAGATGCCACACCCCCACGCTAGCACCAGTATTTTCGCTTTCCGTGGTTATTTCTATACTCCTCATTTTGGAAATTTCTTTTACTTGCCCAGGTTTTGATGGAACGAGTAATGTCCTGGCGGGAAAGCTGTTCAACATCCCTCTCAAGGGCACTCACGCCCACGCCTTCATCATGAGTTTTGCTTGCAGGGATGACTGCAAACTGAGGGTGAGTGCATCTTCTGAGTTTGGCTTTTTCTCTCAAAGTAATAGACCCTTTTCAAAAGAGTATGTCGTCTGGTAGCCGCTGCACCAATAATCCGAGGCTGCCATTGTTTGGTCTTGCACTCTGAGTACGTAATAAACTCGAAGGTTACGTCAGTGTTCGGCAGGGCCTCAAATCCACGCTTCCTGCCCAAGAAGTGGCGACCTATGAAAACTGTCTATTGTGGCTCATTGTAACACTATAGTTTAATCGTGGCATTCGTGATGCTGGTAGTATATATAATTTCAGACTAGTGTGGGAAGGTGACTTTAATTCAGTGAGGCATAGGAATTATAAAACTTACTCGTGCTGCATGATGGAGTGCCAATGTTGTTTTCGGTGGTCGAAGTGCACTGATGTGCATTTGATGAACAATTTGGCCAGTGCAGTATGATGGCTAAGCTGAGCTCTTTAACATGTGTTAGACAGTACTGGTTACATGAGTGCTCGTCAGGACAGAGCTTTCCAGATTGTATGGGTGGGCTCGGCCGGGAATAATAATAATAATAATAAAAGCGTAGCACCCTTGTAACAGCATGAGGTTTTGATGTGCTGGCACAGATATACATGGTACTGGCACAGATATATATGGTAAGCTATTAAAAAACCACTGAAAATAGAAAATAGTTTTTTTTTTAAACAATTTGGTTGGGACACGCATGTCAAGAAATCATTTTTACGCGAAGAAAAACAAAATTTTAATGCAACATTGACGGCGCGAGATTTATTTCAAATTCTGCGCATAAAGTAATGACGTCGCAGAATAGTCATACACTCTTTCCACCTCAACGAGATGGTCGTACACTCTTCCACCTCAGCGTGATAGTCAAGCCGATCCACCTCTCTAACATGCATGTGTAAAAATTTAGGGTGTGGGAAAGGGGGGGGGGGGGGTTCTTAAACATATGATACGGTGACCAACACCTGACCCCCTTTCTGGAAATACCCGTGTTTGCCCCAGCACGCGCCCGGAATACCGAGAGAAAAAACAAGTGGAAAGCAGGTGACTGCAGACTAAGTCACGTTTCGCGCCGTCAATATTGCTCTAAAAAAACTTTTTTTTTTTATAAACTTCATTTTTTCATATGCATGTCCCAACCAGGCTGTTTAAAAGAAGCTTTTTTTTTCTTCTTTTTAGTGGCCCTTTAAGTAAGGACTGTTTGTCCTAAACACAGTACAGTACAGTCAGGTTCATGGTTGGGAGGCTCAAATCTACCAAGAGCATCGCAATATGGTGACAATATATTGTTGAATGAAACTTCTCTATGGATTAGTGGTGGTAGCTTTTTTTAAAGAAGCACTGACACCCCCCCCCCCCCCCCCCCCCCAAAAATTTATTTTTATTTTTTGCTAGGTGATTTAATATGGTGTCGAAAGACTACCCCATCAATCAATATTTTGCTACAGAGTCACATGCATTTTTAATAAAGCCCAAAAACGCAACTGCTCAAAACCGATGCACGAGCACAGAATAATAGCGCGACATGTCAACTAGAGAGGAGGGAGAAATATGGAGGAGGAGAGAGTTGCCGGAAATTGCATAACTACATCTGGACTTTTTTTTTTTTTTTCCTCTGCTTTTTTGAATGTGTGAAACAGGTGACAGTTTTCACATTGTAATAATAAAAAACACAAGGGGGAATTCCTCACTTGCAGTACCGCTGCCAGTCGACTGTAGATAAGAAAGTTTGCTGCCCATTCCTTGCTGCAAAGGCACTCCCCAGGCTCGAAGTCAGGCAGCACCTCTTCCGGCTTCTGCAATCGCCGCCGAAATCAGCATTATCTCAACGACAACTGTTAATGTGGAAAGTCAAGACAAAAAAGAACCGCTGAAGCCTGGATAATGATTTAGCTCTCTTCAGATAGTATGTGCTGCAGGTCTTCGAAGCCACGCACTCGCCTGGGTTTTTTCATACCGTCCGCAACGGTACATGTGGATAATATATAGTATGTACCTGATTTTAAAAACGTTTTCTTTTTGTCTTGATTAGTAAGAAAACTTACTGAACATCTCTAAAGTGAGTTCAGCAACACTGAACACCACTAAAGAATGTTTCCGTTGAGTGATTGTATATTCTTGAAGATTGTGATGTTGTAAGCAAATAATGTCAAGTGGGGATTTTCAGCGCACAATTCAGTGTCATCCATGAATAGAAGGAATATCTGGGGGACCCCAAATGCTGCTATTGATCTCTGGGTCGTTACAGCATGAGCTTTTTCTTCAACAGTGTGAGCTGAGTAGTACTCCAGCTTTTCTCTCAGTTGTGTTGTTGAAGGAGCTACAAGCTCCCGAAAAATACAAGAATGCGGAAAGTGGGGACAGGTTCCCCTCGCTGTCATACCACCTTTCTGCACCTCTGTGTTTGCAAGCATTCAGCTATTTGGAAGTCATTTTCACTCGAGGGAAAATGAATTAGCTTGGGAAAGCTTGTTGAACCAGCCTTGCACCTACTACTTCTGATAACCTCATATGCGAGCATTTAATATCTTGTATGTTTTTCATTATAGCGAAACTTCGAGAATGTTTGCTATTTCATAGAATTATATTCTAATCTTGGGAGCACATACAAAGCGTCCCCCATACCATGTAAACAGTCCAGAAGTTCATGCAAATGTATGGTTATTTGTTTGCACGACACATTTTTCCACAATTTAGCTTTAGTTCATTCACCGTGAATAATGAATAAATCATAGAATGGCAGCGCATTGTTGTTCATGCAGAAACTGCAGTCGGCTGATGGTAGGGGGGAGGTGAACTTCTTTGACCTCTGCTGCAAGTGGAGGAAGGAGCTGAGCCAGACCTTCAGGGCGCTCGAGGACGAAGCCAGCGACGGAGAGTTGGCGGCCTTTGTCTCCTATGCCGTCGCCTTCCCCAGGAGCTTCCTAGCGCTGGTCGACACCTACGACGTCCTCAGGTTGGCTTTCCTGGCTTCCATCCTGGAGCGTCCCCAACTCCCGTCTCCGGGATTCCCCTAGCTCCCATCTTAGTTCTTCAAACTCCCGTCTTGGGGTTTCTCCTACTCCCGTCTCCGGGTTTCTCCTACTCCCGTCCAGGAGTTTCCGTAACTTATTGTGTTTTGTGTTCGTTTAGCCGAAGGGAAGTTGGCCAGCCCCAATGAACGTCTGATGACTTTGCTGTTGATGATCAATTTAGCTAGTGCAGTACCACTGTTGGCCTGGAGTCTTTAACGCGCATCACGCAGTGGTGATGCACGTCCGTGTGCCGATACGACGCTTGTCCCGATCAAAATGGGCAGGGGTCGGGATTGAACTTGGGTTCCCTGGGCTCTGCAGCGCGAGCTTTTGCTCCACAATCTCCGAGTTGGGGTGTGCTGGCACGTTCGGCCACTGATCTCTCTGTTTTCCCAACTCCTGTACTACCAGGGTTACCCCAACTCACGTGGAAGACTTACAAGAGCCATGAAACAACATTGGGCTCAAACGTTACGCACTTTATGCAGCCGTACTGGCGTACATGTGAAATTATGTATGCGCACGAGGCACCACTTAGCCGGACAGTTCTTTGTCACAGTGTAATTTCGAGCATAAGATTGAGCTGTTTCTTTCACTCTACCCTTTCCTGAGTGTATTGACATAGTCTTGAAGATTATAATGGGGATAACTCCAGGAGGACGTTAGTTGAAGATCAGCATACACAGCGTGCCCTTATAAGCAATTTTGTTTTTTGTTTTTTTATTGCATAAATTATTGTAAAGCACGGGGGAGCGTTTGCCCCACTTTCAGTGAAAACTGGGTTAGTCTAGACATGGGTGCTTATCCGGTCAAATCGGGCACTCAACATATAATTCACGGGATTCCCAAGTTTGGGAAATGTGGGCGCTTCTGTGGTATTTTATGGTATGCATTGCCAAATGCTGAGATTCTGCCGAAATGTAGCACTAGTGGTCCAGACCAGGTGCCAAAGTTTTCAGAACTAGCCGTTATCTTATGCAGAAGTTAAAAATGATTTTCTGAAGATTTCAATGGGGAAATGGGGCTTGTTCCCTGGTAGCTGATGCCCTTCATGGGCTTCGTCGGTGACCTTTTTCCCATTAAAAATTTTTGAAAATCGCTTATAATTTTTGTTTATCCAGATAACAGTAAGCTCTGAAACATTGGCATTTAGTCTGGTCCATGTGTGCTGCTTGTGGGCAGAGACTGAGCGCCCAGCAATGCATAGTTTATTTTTGCGGTAAAAGAGACACTACATTTTTTGGGGGGACAACCTGTAGATTGGACTTAAGCACTGTGTGGGCAATGGCTTGGTGAACATTTTGGTTGCGACTTGTTTCGGACTGCTTTGTTGGGGGGAATAGCTGAATTCTAACAATGTCTGGAGCACAGCTTGTGCTCCTGTGTCTTGTTTGCCCCAAGACATGGTTATGGCAGAAATTAGCAGTCTATATATTGGCACCAGATCACTTCACCACTCGTTCTGCCTGTGAGGTGAGGTGGTGAACACCCCTACTGGTGTTCACCACTCTTTCTGCGGCTGCTAGTGCATGGAGGGGAGAGTTAATGTGCGCTTCATTCATGTAGATGTCGAGGAGTTTTTCCGAGCGTTGGAGAAAGTATGAAAATACTAGTTTTATGGCCCCTTTAACAGTGTCGTCTAGTTTTTGGTCTTTTTTGTAGAGTCATTTATGGTGACCTTTGATTCGTGTAATTGGCACCCGTCACAAGGATTAAAGGTGCATTGATAAAAGCACAACAAATAGATGATTTCTAGTTATTAGCGCTATAGGATGCCATTTGTAGCAGACAGACAGCTGAGACACCTGCAGCACTACCTTTGAAATGGCAATGCATTTGAAATGCTCACACTTATTGTGGTCTTTATTGTGTTGGGCCCTTCAAGCATCAGCACTTGTGTACTTCAATATAGGTACACATACATATAAATGTATTTAAAAAGTAGCCAAACAGCTTTATGAAGAGAGCAATTCATACCCTCATTAGCACTTTTCTTTTACCTTTGCATGTGCCATTTGTTTTTCCATTTTTTGCTTACAAAGAGATTGTGGCTTGCCTTAAACTTAACGAAAACAACATTGCTAGGTTCTTTGTGTATTTTATAGCCTTCTTTTTTTACCCTTTACACAAGGAAAATAATTTGAGTGCAGAAGATTTCATGATAATCTCTTCCTTTTCTCTACATTCCTGCATCATTTTTTGTTTGCGTTCTGCTTAGATAGCTTCGAGTTGCTTGCATTGTGCCACTTGGTACCTGCATCTCCCGCAGCTAGAAGGTTTTTCGTGATGGAAGCAAGGGCACCATCCCTCATTTCAGAGGAGCTATACTCGGCAAGGCAAGCATTTTACGGACCAGGCCTGGCTCCTGCTTCAGGTGACGCCACTAAGTGCACTGCACCACGCACACTCAGCACGGATTTATCGGTGTAACATACCGCAAGACAACTGTTGAGTGATGTGAATGCTTCTGAAGCATTGTGTGAGCTAAATATCCCTCAAAAGGAGATCAGGCTTCACTCTCAAAATAACACAATTTGTAGCTTGAGGCAGTAACTACCCTTCAGTTTTGTGGTTTGCAGCTCACCAAGCCTTGTGCTTTTCAAATGGAGATGGATGTGACTACAGCTCTGTTGAAACTACCGAATGTGATGAAAGCATGGGTATGCGGTATATGAGAAACTATTTAGTAGCTAGCCATAAGTCAAAAACCATTCATTGGCTATAGTTTTCTTGTGCTGGTAATTTTTTTGCATGTGTGCATAAGCTAAGGCGTGAAAATTGTGTTATTGAAATAGATTTTTTTTTTTTTTTTGAGAAGAGAATTGTTGGCTGCGAGTTCATTCACCGTAATTTCCTGGTTCAATCTGCCCTTGCCTGGAATTCGTCATCAGTAGTGTGGGTGATGAACAGCGTTTCGGTGGCCAAGTCTCTCAGTACAAATTGTCCACAAAAAACTGAAAATGACAAAAATTTCTGCATGTATCTAGTGTGGCTAGATGAATGGGGCCCTGCGCTTGGAGTCTTTTTTAGAGCGCAACTCTTAGGCGCCCGTTTCCGGCTTGAGCGGCGTTGCCGTCACCGCGCGGTGCATGATGGGTAAATTTCCCCGCTAAGTTTAGCAGAAAAATTTCCCCGCTAAATTTAGTGGAAAAGTTTCCCCGCTAAATTTAGTGGAAAAGTTTCCCCGCTAAATCTAGCAAAAAATTTTCCCCGCTAAATTTAGTGGAAAAGATTCTACGCTAAATTTAGCGGAAAATTTCCCCCGTTAAATTTAGCGGAAAATTTTCCCCTCTGAATTTAGCAGGAAAGTGTCCCTGCTAAATTAAGCAGAAAAATTTCCCCGCTACATTTATCGAAAAACATTCCCTGCTTAATTTAGCAGAAAAAAATTCCCCGCTAAATTTAGCGGAAAATTTTCCCCGCTAAATTTAGCGGAAAAAATTCCTTGCTAGATCTAGCAGCAAAATTGCCCCACCAAATTTAGCTAAAAATTTTTCCCACCAAATTTAGCAGAAAAATTTCCCCGCTAAATTTAGCGGAAAATTTTTCCCTAAATGGGAGGCGAGCAGGAGAGGAGGAGGGGCATATCCCACTCTCCAAACCTTCCCATCCTTCTCCTCAAGAGCTCCGCTCTAATTTGGCGTTACAGGTAGTTGTAATTGGCTTTCATTTTTTTATTTTTATATCCAAAGCACTAATGAAACAAGGTTTTATTGCCTCATGCAATAACCTTGCTGTTGGTCACTTGCGCACACATGATGATTTCTAGATGGTCACTGAATTGCCTGTTTATATTTCCTATTGCCATGGCATTCTTGAATCAGTACCTCATATTTGGAGTCTCGCTTGCTCACATGTTTGCGGTCCACATTGAAGCAACATGCCATTGCATTAATTTTCTATCCATACTTTCAGTATCACTTAGCAACCTCAACTTTCTTCTTATTCACTGTGTACATGCTCCTGATCATGTACAAATAACCAGCAACGTCACTCACAAGTGACGTTGCTGCTAATGTGAGTAGCAATCAGATAGGAGTGCAGCAGCTTAGATATGGGGCAAATTAGACAGACATACTCAAGACCTCAGAGACAAACATAAATGTTTGTTAAAAAGATAGAAAAGTATAGAATGTTTTTGTTTTTTGTTTGCTGGCATATTTGTTGTAGCAGCATTTTGGGGGACATCTGTTTGCTATTATTGTGATTCGAGGTTAGATCTAAAGTAGTGGTCGGCATTATCTCCATGGTCCGTAGGCGGAGGTGAGCTCGCTTTTGTTTGTGAACAAATGAAAGGCTGGTAGCTCTTTCACATATATTGTTCCAATCATTCTACAACCCTTCAGTCTGTGGTCACAATATTTGGCGAGAATGAATGTTTGCTCTCTTCGTAATCCACAATTGGGGCTTTCTGGAGGAGGCCATTCTTCCTAAGTGTTTTTCAGGAAATTCATATTCTCCACCAAAGGTTACATGGGATATGTTTCCGTGATGGGTGTTGAATTGGAATGCTATGTCATTATTGGCGGGAACGTAAGAAAAATACAATAAAAAAACAATGCGAAAAAAAAAAAAAAAAGAAACAGGTGACATGTGGGAGAAGTACACAGGAAAAGCACTGACTGACAACTGAACATTATAAACTGCTCTAAATTTCAACCTGTCAGCTTTCTGCTTTAGCTATTTCGTTGTTAAGACTAGAGATGTTGTAAACCTCTTCAAGGTTTGATTCCAAAAGGTTTAGAAACTATCCAGCCTTGCTGAGATTAAAATTTGCAAAGTCTGCAACATTTTAACACTGCCAGGGTTTGAATTCACAAAGTTAAAAGCATTCAAGTTTACTCGATGCTTATGTTCTACAATTTCTAATTTCTTTGAGGTTCGAGTTTGAAACATTTAAAGATTTCAAATTTCTTTAAAATCAAAGTTTGCTAAGTTTAAAGAAATCTAACGGAGGTCCGGATATCACAGTGTTTCTGGTGGAATAGACAACAGGACGGAGAAAATGTTTACGACATGAGCACAGCACCTGTTGCTGCTTGGGGTTGAGGAGGACTCTGGCAGGCTAGTAAATCCTCCCCTGAAGGTGCAACTCATCAGATTCCCCAGGCAAGCGAAGTAGCAAGTAACCATCTGGTATCCTGGACATTATCTTATTTGCTACGCATTCAATGTAAGTCTGAACCTACTGCTAAAAAGAAACAACTTTCTATAGTGCACAACACAATCGACTCAAATCACACCAGAGTGTGATTTGAGTCTAAACTCCAAACCAGTAGTGGTTTGGAGTTCAGAGATTTTGAGCTTCTCAGACTTCACATATTGATGAAATTCACAGAGTACTGTAAACGACTCATTTTTCGCGGGCTCAATATTTTGCGATTTAGGTCAAAGCTGAAGTTTTGTAATAATTCGCGGGTTCTAATTTTCGTGACGCGCTGGGATCTCTATCTAGACTCCAACGTGTTTACATTTTACTGGAATTGTTCGAGGGACCTATTTTTCGCGAATTGTAGGCAATTCGCGAAATTCGCGAAAATTAGGTCCTTACGAAAATTAAGTCGTTTACAGTATATCAAATAATTTCGAAAGTTTGATATTTATAAAATGCATCCATGCACTAAGTTCAAAAGCGCAAAAGTTTCCCATCTTTTTATACCACTTAGATTGATCTTCATACTTCGGGTTCAGAAAAAGATTACTGCACGTTCGGCTAAGACGCACAAATGTTCGTTCTTATGAGTGCTTGATGCCTCGATTGGTACTCTGACTTTCATGCACACGACTAACACTTGCGCAATGCCAGAGCACCGTCGAAGCTGACATGTTGCCCCGGGCGCAACTGCAGAACAACTCAACGACCGGAAATTTGAACACCGCATATGAACAAGGCCATGTTGTTGAACACCAAGAACCAGACGACCTGTTGCGGCAAGTAGCGGCCCGTTACAACGCCGCATCAATCTCGTTTTTTTTTTTTGCGTTTGTTCGCTTCTGTCAGTCCAGACAGGTATCCCTGTGGTCACTGCAGCCCTATGCTACACGGCGGGGCCAAGCGGAACCAGGGACCGGGACAACATCGCCCTCTGTGATTGGTCAACGGCGCGGTGCTGTTCTATCGTAGCAGACATTGTTTCGGTCCCTTGGTCTCGTCATGTAGCATAGGGCCCCTGGAGTCACATACCGTTTCTAGCAGAATGCGAACCACCTGCATCATTTGCCCGAACTGCGGCCTTGAGAACGCATCTTCGACTCGTGCGTTAACTGTCCTATTTCGTCCATTAATCACATCTTGTCCTGAAGTGGCAACAAGTTGCGTCGAAGAAGCCGTCGCGTCGCGCCATTGGCTGTCACAATCTCAGCAGTAGGTCATAGAAATGCTGACAAAAAGGCTAGCGGACGCGAGGGCCACCGCCGTCGTTGTGTCTCGGCTCGCGTCTGCTCTTGTCTCCGTCAACCGCTTGGCCGCAGAGCAACCCGCTGCAGGACGGGCGTCTGCCACATCCATCTCTGCTGACGTGCCTCTGCCAGGATCGCGACAGGCGAGAGCATGATCACTTTTACGACATCGTCGGGTGGGAGTTGAGGAACCACATTTGAGGACTCTGTAGACAGACCAGTCGGAGATGTGCTCCAGGCACCACGTGCCGACGGCGCCGCTAGAGTCGCTGAATGTTTCCAGAGTAACGCATTCGATAGCTTCCGTCGCAACCGTTCTATTTTAGCTTCGATCGGCCATTTTGGTGCCAAAACTCCTACGGTGGAAGGAGTTTCGGGGCTGCCAACCCCTGTCTCTTGACTGGATGCCCGGCGAACTACTCCTGAAGTTATGATGTGCTGCTCAAAATCACCGGTGAAACGCGGTTGTACAAAGACAGCATTAATTGTGCCTCAAAACCTCGTAAACTGAACTTTTACGAAAACCTCACGCTCCTGCCATTCTGTACTAATCTCCAATAGAAGTTCCCATGGAAAGAACTTTCTTTCGTTCGTTTTTATGCAAAACAAATGCTTTCTAAACGTTCGCAAAGACCACAGTAAAAAAACAAAAAAAAAAAAAAAAATTGTGCCGCCATTTTGGCACCATCTGGCCCTCTGGCACTCTGGGAACGTTGGGTGACTCTAGGCGCTGCGAACCGACGATATCTCGTCCGTTTGCACAGGAGCGGCCTGCTCAACTTCTCCGCTGTGTCGATGGCGCTGCACGACCTTGGCTACCGGGCTGTCGGGGTGCGCATCGACAGCGGCGACCTGGCATACCTTTCATCGTGCGCCAGCGCCCTGTTCGGGCAGATTGCGGACCAGTTCGGACAGCCCTGGTTCAAGGACCTGGTCATCGTGGCCAGCAACGACATCAATGAGGAGACCGTCATCTCCCTCAACGAGCAGGTTTGCTTTGCTTTGCTCGAAGGGACCTGCCATTGCACGTGCAAAGCTAAAGTTTGTCTGCCTTTTGCACAGGGGTTGCAGTGATGTCAGAACGGCGAGTTTTTATTGGCCGACTGAAAAAAATATAGTGGGTAGACCTTGAGGCGTCTGGCAGAGCCGTAAATGTAGAGAGTTTAGCCATTCGCTGGGAAGTATAGGAGACAAATGAGGAGGCGCCATTGGCCGAAAGCGGGCTGGGCGTGTTTCAGAACGTCTTCAGAAATTCGAATGTGACCAACCAGAAGCCGGAAATAATACCCTGGCGGTGGTCGCGAGAAACAAACCTGATAACTGCATTGGAGTAACTCTCAATGGCTGAAAATATGGTACACGTGATGTTTCAATCACGTTAATCCAAAATGATGGTGGAAGAGTGCGACTAGCGGAAAGATTGACATGATCCGTACGCCAAGCGCCCAGGGCCGGGAATCTGCCGTCCGAACGTCCGTGCAAAACAGAGTTGCTCGGTGCATTCGTTTCTTATATCTTTCTGCATGATCATGATCAAAATAACACGTTCACCCTATTTTCAACCACGAAGAGTTACTACACTTCACTCTTACGCGTTTATTAAAACCATATACGAACATAAACTTTTGATCAAAACTGTTTGCCGCTACCACCGCTAGGGGATTCTTTTTGGCTGCTGGTTGGTCAAGAGAGCATGCCAAGCCCTCTTTCCGACTCTGCCGCACGCCCTGACTCTGCCCGCACCTCCCATTGACCAAACTCTCTCAATACACGGCTCTGGCGTCTGGCATTGAGGTCTACCCACTACCCTTCCAATCAAAGCCTGTCAGAGCTTGGCGTCATTCTGACGTCGCCGCAACTCCTGCGCAAGAAGCAGACGACTTGCTCTCCGCATTTGCTTTGGCGATCCTCTAAAATACCGTATCTTCTGGACCGTAGTGCGAACTAAAGCCACTAAATGAGCTACATTAATAGTACTGGTACTCCTTTCCCCAATCTGCTAGTGGGCGCCGCTATCTTGGTGCTTAGAGCAAAGCAGACGCAACTGTCGATCATCGCAGTTCGGCGGTAGGAAGCTCAAGTGATATCGTTTTGCTCTGTCGCCAACTGTTCTACCATTCCTGGAGAATGGAAAAATGTTTCCTGCGATTATAAAGCTTCAGATGACTGGTAACCATAATTAGAAGCGCCAAGGTGGCTAAAGTGTCGTTGCTCTGAAGCGTAGCTTATTTAGTGGCTCTAGTCTGAGGCTGGTGCCTAGCCTGCATGTAAAAAATTCTTATTACTAGTGAACCTTGACAAATATCTGCCTTGTAAGCTTACAAAGGACCTTAATTGTATCGTACAAAATCATCTTTAACATTGTACTATATTTACCCGATTCTAAGGCTGCCCCAATTCTGACGCACACCCAGTTTTCGTAACCAAATGTAATGTTTTCATCTTGCCCCGAATTTTGACATGCACCCAGTTTACATTGTGAAGAAAAAAATAGAAGTTTTTGTGCACGAAAAACGAGCAAAGTTTATTGACTTACGAGCATATTAGTCCTCGCACTCTGAGAGTTCTCTCTCACTGTCCACGCACCGAAGCATGTCGTCCTTGGTGGCGTCCATCGCGTTCGAGATCTTGCATTTCTTGAAAGTGCGCTTTAGCCATTTCAAGCTTTTGCAAGTGCAGGTGATGACCGAACAAAGCAGGAACGAACGGGACGAATATTGACGAACGAATGCTGTGCCGCCATTTTGTAATGCCCATGACAGTGGGACTGTCGCAGGCATTGCTTGTGCGATTTTGGTTTCTTATCCTCTTGTAACGTGCACGCCATTTCTAGCTGTATTTTTCTGAAAAAAAGGTGTGCGTTAGAATCTGGTAAGTATGATATGTCACTCACAAAATTCGTTTCATCTTATCATAATGAACAATCTAGAAAGAAAAAAAATCCTTGTATAGTCCCGCATAAAATTTCAACTTTTTGAATGCACATACAGTCTGCGGACCATGGTCCAGAAAATATGGTGTGCAGCCTTTATGTTTACGAAGATCAGGGATGTACAATTTGATTTGTGTCTGTAGGAATATAGAAGCTTGCATTTTATAGCTTTACAAGGTGTAAGTGCTTGGAGCAAATGCTCCAGATTCCTGCCTCTCTTCCGGCAGAGCAAATCTTGGCGATTTGGCGAGATCACTCCTTCCAGGCTGCGTAGAAAGAATATATAAGCAAGGCGAGGCATGATGCAGGTCAAAAGAAGTGCACTTGTCGGCTCTTGTCTAGTTTCCTTCTTTTTTCTATCTACCCTGACTGCTGCCAACATGCTGCTTAGTGAATTTAGCGATCTCTCCTTCCAGAACCATAAAAGATGTTATTTCACAAATATAGATAGCGCTGGCTGGAAGGGTACAGGTAATCATCAACATGGCTAATGAGACAATTAAGCTTTGGTCTTATCTTCTTCATCTTCTGGTGGTGGTACTCATGAGGCGTTTAGAACTCCTCTTACTTCACCCCACATTGCTATTAAAATACAAGTTACCAATACTAAAACTTTCGCATACAATGAGTAGATACCTTTTTCATTTTTTCTGCACATCATCTGCTGTTTAACCCGCGCTTTCTTTCGTTTATGGCAGGGTCATAAGATCAACTGTTTTGGCATTGGAACGCACCTGGTCACGTGCCAGAAACAGCCTGCCCTCGGCTGCGTCTACAAGGTGAGCAAAGCTCGCAATTTTGTTGCTTCGAGGGGCCTCTGACCAATTGTGGATTGGTGTCCTTCCATGCTGGATGCGTGCTTCGAAACACAGCTTGTGGAGGTTAAGCAGCAGTCCTGCATCAAGCTGAGCCTGGACATCCAGAAGGTCACCATACCTGCCAAGAAAGCATGCTACCGGCTCTATGGACAAAGCGGTGAGTGAAGATCTCTTGCTTCTCTCTTCTAGAGCAATGGGTGTCAACTAATCTTGTGTATCAACATTTTCTGCCAAGTACCGAGTACTACTACCAGTAATTATGAACTGTGACCTGAAATTTTTCTTCTTTGTGATGCATATGTGATTGAATATCTGTCGCAAGAACTGATTTTGAAAAGAGGTACATCTGAAGATAGCAAGAGTGAACATTTTGGTGTAATAGGTCACTCCTGAGAAAGCCTGTGTACAACCAATGTATGGGCTTTCTGCAGCATGGGACTTTTTCCTGATTAAGAAGCATTTGAATCATAGCCATCTGAGTTCAGACTGGTGAGAGCTAAGCTATATGGGGTACCAGGCCATTGAAAAATTATCTTTAAACTTTTTACGGGGAAGCTGTTTATAGCTAAGGTTCCTTGGATTTTTCGTGTGCTTGACCAAAAACTCTATGCTTGCACCGCTGCACCCACACGCCTTCCCCGTATAAAATATTCCAAGTAAATAAGCAAAAAAAAAAAAGAAACTTGACGAACGCACGTGCAAGATGCCATTTGTTTTAGGCTTTTGCTTTAGAACAGTTACTGCTGCAAACACTGGCATGTGCAGCGTATGGAACACCATTCCCTGCATTCTCCCTGATGCTCCGGTAACTTAGCAATAGGTCTGTTCAGTAGATTAGTTATCAATAGGCACCATTTTCAAGATCAGTAGGCTCTCAAATGGATTTGCTGCTGTACGACCTGCATCGGTCATGTCTACACTTGCACCACCCTCTCCTTGTCGTCGTTCCAAGCGCTTGCGTGCCTAGTTTGCTTTCCTTTTGCTGTCCCGGGGTGGCCGTCCTGTCGCGCGTGTCTACTTTCCACCAGATGGTGGTTCTAGTTTCCTTTGGCTCTTCTGGGCGGGTCTGTGTCGTGTGCTAAACACCTTCCCTGGTCATGCACCTTCACACAGTAGTATGGCTCATGATTTTTTTTTTTTTTGTCAATCCAGTTGCACCCATTGAAACCTACAAGAATATGTATATATACACCTATTATGATTATGTCTGTCGAAAGTTGCTATTCACATTTACAAGAAACTAATTTGGGGTGATCCAGTAGATCAATGGCCTAACTATATTAATCCTTCTACTTGCTAGCAACAGCTCCCACAAGTGCAGACTGCATATTCTTTACATTGTGATTTAGGTTTTATTGCATTTACCTAACTGAAGTGATTTTTGCAAAGAATAAAGCTGACGTCCAATTAACTTCTTCTTTTTTCCATAGGCTACGCGCTGCTTGACCTCATGCAGAAGATTGACGAGCCGGAACCACAGAGTGGGAAGAGGGTGCTTTGCCGTCACCCATTTCAGGTGATTGACGGCTACATTGCTTCTTGTCTCGAACATTTGCTCTATTGGTGGTCGATGTGAAGTGTCATTGTTGATTTTCTTTGAAAGAGGAGCTGTAACATGCTTGTAGCTGGAGCCTTTCAATTATATTGCTGCTTGTTCCCTTATGAAGCGCTTCCATTGGTTACAATGTCTAGCACTACAAAGTTGCTGTGTTCTATACCAGAAACCGATAAAGCCAAAGCAACAAGAATAAACAAGTTTTTACATTTGCCTTTTCCTTTCATTTTGCTGATTGCTTCATAAAGTTACTAGGCCACCAAGAACTTGTTCCAGCGATGAAACCAACCACACATTAGTTTGGTGATGTAGCTTATGTTTTAGCTAGCAAGAACTTCCCCTGCCTCTGTGGGCATATTTTAAGACAGGCATTATTGATAACAAGGTGAAGGTATTTGCATGTACAAACGTATATAATGGTGTGTCAGTAAACTACTATAGTATACCAGGTTCGGAGTCAATTTTTGGCATGTCTGAACTGATAACTGCTGTTTATTCCACTCATTGCAGAATTCGTTTTCTAAATCATTGTATATGAAATGTAGGTAGCATGGCAATAGGAAATCCAACAAAAAGCTAAGTTAAATTCTTTTTAAAGTAGGTATGCCAACATGCCTAGTGACACTTTTAGAGGAAACGTTACCTTGGATAACAACCACGTTGCCTCATTTCAGTCATTGATATTTAAAAAAAAACTAGACCTTTTTTTTTTCTTGTTCTGACTCTAACTATCTTGTAAAGGAACGTTCCGCATGTTTTTTTCAACTCGACAGGAGTCTAAGCGGGCATATGTCACGCCGCACAGAGTGGAGAACCTCTGCCAGCTCTGGTGGGACAAAGGAAAGGTAGACGCTTCCCTTTCCTGCCTTTGCACCGTGTGCATATTGAACTTTGGACTCTGTCTTCGAACTCCAGATCCAGTGTACCCTTACTCTCGCCACACACAACTCTAAGACTCTCGTTTCGTTGAGGAGCGTCCTCAGAGGAGCATCCTCGAACTTGCGGCTGTACCGCAGGACTTCAACTTCTTTGCATAATATAGGTTTGGGATAAACCCAGTTGCCTAATCAGTTCTTTCTGCAGCATTAGTAAGGAACTATAAATGAAATATACTAGTGGGAAAGTCTTGTTTTTTTTTCTTCCTTTTTTTTTAAATTGACGTAGCAGGTGGTGCATGAACCAAAAAAGTATATAATTTGTAAAAAAAAAAGGACAATTTGTGTTGATTTGCTTAATTGTGCGCACATACATAAAGCGTTGCAGTTATTTCCGAGCCTGTCGTTACATAGTCGGGCGACCTTTGCTGAAACAAAACCATGAACAATCCAAACAGCATCAGCTGGACCGTGTACTGGTTATAGTCTCCATTTCCTTTATGCATATGGTAATTCCGTTTCTATGTTCATTTTCCCCTTTACAGATCAGCCAAGAGCTGCCTTGTCTGAATGCCATCCGAAGCCGGGTGAAGGACTCCCTTCGCACCCTGAGACCCGACATCAAGCGTACTCTGAACCCGACACCATACAAGGTACCATGGACTGTGGACGCACTTACCGATTTAAGTGCAATTACAAAGGACCCTATAGAGTAAACCCTCACTTGAGCAAACCTTAAGGGACCCAAGGAAATAGTTCACTTTACTGTAAGTTCACTAAACTGAATATATTCACTAGAATATGGAACAGCATAGGGCACAGCATACATCGAGTCAAAAGTGTGAAATGCGATTTATGGGAGTCATGTACATCGATATATACAAAGTGCATAACAGTTACATTGCTGCCTTTCTCATTTTGAAAAAAAAAATTGAATTTTCATTTGTGCTGGCACTCTAAAGGGGACATGCTCCAGGGAAAAACTTTTTTACAGCGGAGCTGTTAAGGGCTAGTTTTTCCAGGATCGTGTCCACCAGCAAAGAAATGATGACACCGAACTCTGGACCGCTACCGCCATCTATGAGCAACGGCAGTTGCTGTCCAGAGTTTGGTGTTATCATCTATGAGCGATGGCGACAAGCGCAGCAGTGCAAATGGTTCCGTAACTGCCACGAGGCCGCTATCGCCTCAAGTTCCAATTGGTCGAGCGCCTCAGATTCCCTTGCAAAAGAAGAGCAGATCACTCGCCTGGAAAGCCACCGCCGAGAGCAGCGAAGCCACCAGTCTTCAAACAAAAAGCTGCGCTATTGTTTGAATACCGGTGGCTTCGCTGCATTTTCATAGGAGTTAATTAAGCCTTTTTCTTTGTTTACTTTTTCCTCAGGTAAGTTCGCTCTTTGCGAATTTTATAGAAAAAATGCACCACCTGTGGCCAACACTGTACAAAATCGGAACGGTAGAGGCTAAGAAACCGATTTTTGCGGTCGATTTAAAGAGCCTGGCCACTATTTGGGACACTGGGTATACTGTGTAAGTCAAAGGGATCAATGGCTGTTTGAAGAGACCGCATAAATTTGTTCCTTAATGTATCAAGCTAGGATTTACTACAGAGGTGCCCGAAGGTGGTGGAAGCTTTTGCTAAAATTGTGGAAAGATTAGCTCACCTGAGTAAATCACAAATATCTAAAATTACGTTTTCCCTATACTTCGCATGCACAATTAAAAATATTTTGTGTCACTGTGGCACTTACTTGGGCCAAATGAAGCGAAGAATAGGTAAGCCAATTGCATTTTGTTTCCATTTCACCAATTTTTCAGTCGTAATGAACAACAGAATAGCCCAGAACGATTTTCTGATTTTGAGCGATAATTAGCGATAATTTTTTATGGATTAAACCAGTTTTTATTTTCCTACTTTTGACTTTGGAGGTTTCATGTATTCATACTTTCAATTAATGTATGCACTACCTTCGAGTACTTGTGAAATAAATCCTAGCGCGATAAGTTGAAAAACCGATTTATGCGGTCCCTTCAAACCACCATCGACTCACGCGGTATAGACCTTTTCACCCTCCATCGCATGGGCGCTGCCATCTTGGAATCACGTGACGTGGCTTCAAATCGTCGCTCCTCTCTCCGCTCTGCGCCTTGGCGAAGGCGTTGTATCTGTTTTTTTAGTTGCGTTATACCGCGATTCTTTGTCTTGCTTTGTGAAGTGCTGTCTGATACTTATTTTTACTACCTAACTGCATGCCATCATTATGTGCACAACTTCTGCACTATTTGCAGGGTATGACAATTTGCGTCGTTGGCGTACCGAATACGTGCGAGGAGAGGAGTCAGTGTGAGCACTGGTGCACATTGAATATCCAAGACAGATGAGGGTTGAGAGGCCAGTTATTTACGACTGTGGAAATTTTCTTAAGTAACAGTGGCTAAGTGTTAGTGTCGCAATATGAAGCGCAAGGTATATTTATGGTTATGCATTTATGATTTTAAAGAAGGCAAATGCAAGAAGTCACTATATGTGTTTCTCGAAAGCATCGTGCTCTGCCTTCTTAACAAATTTAAAACAGTTGCTTTTGATTATATGGAGGAATTATCTTTGCGGTATAAAGAATCACTTGATCTGTTTATTTATGAATTTAAAGAAGCTACACTGTGCTCGGTCTCATATCTACAGTCATTCAATTTTCGTAAGATATATCCAATCCAAATAATTTATTTAGAAGATATATCCAATTCAATTTATTTATTTAGACACAACACAAAGGGTTGGGCTCCCCGGGTGAAAAATGTGTCAAAGACAGCTTGTGAGTGCCTTACAAAAGCGGCTGAGGCACGCAATATGTGACGCCGAAAAGATGGAAATCACTCAAGTGCAGCATTGTCGATGTCGGATTCACTCTCGATGCCTTTCAAAGTAAAAAGCAAATCTGTTCAAACAAATAAAGATGTGTCTACACAGGTTTATGAAGTGATGCATGGCATTTGACTTGAGCCAAGCTCGCTAAAGGTCAGTTCTCTTGCGCCACTTAATTTTATGTCGCAAATTATACGGAAGACAGACGTCGGACTTGTTTGACGAGTTTGTCCCTTATGTCATATTCTCAATACATTGTAAGGAAATGTTTGTGTAACAATTAGTTTTCTAAGTTCTTTGTTGTAAAATGCTGCTAATAAATACTTTAGCAAGGCTGATGGTTGAAAAATAAATTCCTACTCGGCCTATGACAGAGCATCAAAACATCTCTCGAGTACTTAATTTCTTTAAAGAAACTGATGGAGAGAAAATTGCTTCTTTTTTGCATTCCATGTGTCATCACACTTGAGATTTCTCGGTCGGCAATTTTCACAAAACATTGGTGTCCTCAAAAACAGAACAGCGAAGCACTAAACTTGCGAGTTCATCTGTTCACTGCGATTCAGCGCATTGTTAGTCAGGTCATCGACCTGCTTTTTCACTCCGCCTCCAAGTATTAGTTTCTTTATTAGTTTATTTTTATGGAAACTAGTATCAGCGGGCACGTCCAGTATGGCCGTAGACATCCGCAATCCTCCCCCAGAATCATTCCAGTCATTTCGCCGCCAAACCTGGCCGAACGAAGAACATGATCAGATGAAGCTGTTCGTAAAAATGTCCACAATTTAGGCTTTTAACTATGTCGTAGTTCTCAAAGTGGCCTATTACCAATGTATCATTGGTTTGTACCACAAGGGATAGATTTATATCACAAAGCTAAGCAAAAACGACATGGCACATCAACAGAGCCACGAGCCTGCTGAAACCGAAAACACAAATTGAAGCCACATAATGGTGCGGCGTGTGTCAGCGCCAGGGTGTCGAACCGGAACCGAACTGAACCGAAAACCGGAACAGAACCGTTATTTTTAGCCGAACCGGAACTGAACCGAACCGAAATCTTCGCCGCCATCTTGGAACTGAACCGGAACTGAACCGAAAAAAAATATAACGGTAACCGGTTCAAAACGGTTCACGGTATTTTTTTTGTTAGTATTACAAATTTATTATTATTGGCACGTGTATTCCTCTACGTATTGATCAAATCGTCATATACAGAATTGCAATGTATAATAAATCCTGGTTTTTTGCGGCGCTTTCTTATTGGCACTATGATTAGCCATGTGTCACAATGTCACGTGACGTGATGATGTCAAGACATGCTGTCAAGTAATGTCACATCACGTGACCCCGTGACGTCACGTGACTCACCGCGTTAAGTCGATTCGAATTGAGGACGTCGCTAGATCTATTAACGTTGTTGATACCGTGACGTCACATGACATCACAATTTCGCACTGAGAGTCACGTGACACCATGATGTACCCGATTGTCATGATCCCGAGTCAAATGCTCTGGTTCATGACAACCAGTATCGCCAAACATTCGGGTAACGCTCGTGTTCAACTCAAAGATTATGATGGGCCCGAGTCCCACTAGAGCTAGAAACAGAAACAAACGAAAGCGATAAGCCTCAGACACATGCAGCATGTTCGCGATGGTACCTTTATACGGCTTTGAGTTGTTCGGTGCTCGCGAAGTTAGCACGAGTGTTTACAAGCCTGCAAATGGTACCATCGTGTGCATGATACTCGTGTTTGAGCATAGCCTTCTTTATTCTACAAAGCCTGTCAAATCGCGAAATACTCTGGTTTAAGGCTAGCCGCTGTCGTTTGTTTCTGTTTGTCGCTTTAGTGGGGCTCGGGCATTATAGCCCAACTAAAATTATATCTGAAGATCAGCCCATGCTCTCTGCTTTGCCAACCCTGCGTATGACTATGATAAACACTGACAATGTATATATTAGGATCAGATCACGTGGCTGATAGTTCTAATTGTGAGTTGAGGAGGGGAAAGCTGTTTCATTTTTTTCTTTCGACTGTCTGCCATTTCGCGGAGGATGCTTTTGCAAGTTATCAACGTCAAGGATTACAACTTAGCGGTATTTATTGAACTTAAGGCAAAAACAAAAAACAAGAAAGATGCTGCACGACCCATTTTACATGTATGCACACCATTGAGGCTCCCAAACATGTTTTCCTTATTGCTGAACTGCCTCAGAAAGTTGTCCCGAGAATAGAAGTGTTAAAGGGTCTAAATGTGACGTATTAGTCGGACGTTACATGGAACTATTAGTGTGTACGGGACGGATACCTGAAAAGAAAGATCCTAGTGGCCTCACGGGGATAGCCGAACGTTGGCAGCCGCTCTAAGTCTCACAGGAGTGTCGCTCTCAAGTTCTCCAAGTTTCAATCGCCCTGTATTTTATTTAACCTTCACAGTTTGGTGCAAAGTTAAAGCAAGGAAGAATTACTGTTAACAAGTGACACAAATATAATTGTCGAGTGAACACCACTCAGTACAGAGCAGGCAATCCCTGAGGAATAAAAAGTATCTTGAGGAGCAATTAAAAAAAAAAGGGAGTGGGGAGGGGGGTAGTTTTCAAGCATACTGTGTCGTAAAGATTCCTCTGCCTCACATTTTCGGCGCAGACTAGAAAGCGTGGCCTGGAAACGATAGTGACAGATGGGTAGTTGGTACAACTTTTATTTGTAAAAACACTCTTGCCAGAAAGCACGTTTTCGTCGTGCCAGATACTCGCGCCGTGCCTAACGACGATGTACCAACAAGATAAATGTGTGCCTCTCAAATACATAGCTTGCACTGAGCGCGAAACTTTTGCAGCGTGCATTTTGCCAAACCGGATTTGATTTTCTCAGCAAGAACAACTCGCAATGACAACCAGTATCTAGTGCGATTACGTCACGTGCAAACCATGTTAAATACTTCAGCTTTCTGGTGAAGTGCGACGTTCGCAACACCAGCAGTAGACGTCCAATGTGTAAAGTTGTGTAGTATTTATAGTAGTCTCGCGTTGATATACGGCAGCCTAATGAAATGTTGGAGCACATGACTGATAAAGAACAGAGTCATGAAGTAAGGTCTCAAAACAAGTGCACGTAAAACCTAAGATAACATTAGCCTCCCGAGGTAGTATCCCGCGACGTTTCGAGCTGCGGCAAGCTGATGCCCAAAAGTGATTTATATTAGGATTCTAAAAAATCTTTGTTTGCCCTGCGCGGAATGTATGTTTAATTAGGAATATCATTTTATGCATTTCTATGCATTTCTTTTTGCAATAAAGCGTCGTGTAAGGGATTATTTAGAAAAAATTGCGTGTCATCTCCTTATTTCTGCACATTTAGTGTATTTGCCTTCCGATATATCATGTGACCACAGTGTTTTTTGGCATGCCTTGCAACCCACTATTTTACACTGCAAAACAGCTAACAAAAGCACGTTGCCGAAGACACAACAGCTGGCGTATTTTCGAGTATCGTCCTTCCGTGTCGGTCTCAGGCGGTTATGTGAACTTCGTAAAGTCAAATTTATCGATGATAATAAAAATATACTTAATTCCTGTCTGAAGATTTGGCAGCATAAATAGAAGATTCTCACCTCCAAGATATATAAGTAAATGCACCTTTAAATTATCTGAAAGATGTTCGGCAAATATTTTTCGGCGCTTTTATCCTCTATAGACACGTTATAGGTGATTTTGAAAAGCTTTAAATAATGTTTTTTTTTATTATTTTGAAGCTAATTTAAATAACTATATGTGTTCCTCACGCATATATAACTTCTCAAATATATAGAAGTTTATTATCGCGTTTTTTATGTGTTTTTATTATCGCCTTTTTTTACTGGAACGAATGGTGGAACTATGACGATTGCACACTTAAACTCTCAGAAGCTGTCCAATTAGGTAGCTTCCGAATTGAGTAGAGCATGAAATACCACTTTCTTCTATTTAACAAAAATCATCAATTAGCAAGGGTGATGCTTATTTGCAAATTAAATTGACCTGCATTTTGTCAAGAGCAAACCTCAACATCCAGGCTATGCCAGTTTATCCAATATAAGAAAATGTTCACATGGGTAAGCACTGTTTTAGGTCAGATTCGATCTCAGTACTAAGGTGCTCAGAGGTTAGAGTGAACAATTTCAGCCAGTCCTTTTCGCATGATTCGTCGCCCGCATCATGGTGCTGAGAGCAAACAATATGCTAGTTAGAAAAACAAGCATTGCGATTGTCGCTTAGTGTTCCTATAAAATATAGACTGGAAGGACTTGTCCCGTGACTTTCGTGACATTTTGAAAATTATATTCCCTTAAGCTCAGTCGTCTCGTCATCATATATATATTGTGAAACGTATTCCGTAAAACACATTTCATGATATATATGGCGACGAGGTGCCCATTTCATGATTGTATTCACCGTAATTAATTCCTTAGTTCAAGGGCAAGACCACGATTCAACATCTAATACTGCGATACAAAGTTGTACCAATCACGGGTATTTTAGGCAACCTACTTCACTTCCGAAAACATTTCGATTCAGGTACAATATATGTGACTCTGGTAAACGAAGGGATGTTGAGTCGTATAAACACGACGTTTTGTATGTTAATGTAGATTTTCCTTTCTTGTTGTGTAGGAATAAATAACAGAATTTTATAATTTTGGTACCTGAGAATAAAACTGAATTAAACAAACAATAATAAAAAAAACTATATACTGTAAACGACTATTTTTCGTGGGCTCAATATTTCGCGATTTAGGTCAAAGCTGAAGTTTTGGAATAATTTGCGGGTTGTAATTTTCTCGACGCGGTGGAATCTCAATATAAATTTCAATCTGTTTACATTTTACCGAAATTGTTCGCGGGACCCATTTTTCGCGAATTGTAGGCGATTCGCGAAATTCTCAAAAATAGGTCCTCGCAAAAATCAGATCGTTTACAGCAGTTAGTTTCACGGCCTAAATAGCGCCTATTGACAGAACAACGCGTAAAATATATTCTCAATCTAGCGGTTCAAACCGGTTCGAACCGGTTTGAACCGTTATTTTTTGCACCCCGGAACTGAACCGGAACTGAACCGAAAGCCGTGAACCCGAACCCGAACCGAACCAATAAAAATATCGGTTCGACACTCTGGTCAGCGCCCTCTGGCCACTGGTCAAGTAACTACTCAGGTGAAAAGGTCTGTAATGCTGGCGGTTGTGGTAAAATTCGACAGCCCACAGCAGTACGACATAAAGAAAACTCAATAGTGTTTCGTTGGAAACGTTTTGTCCTTTGTTTGCTATTTTTAGTGAGGCAAAATCTCTATTTGGCATTTTTAATATCCAGGAAATGTCTTTATACGAACTCGCAGTGGTAGACCTTGGTAACTCGGATTCTGTGCTTCGTTTCAAATGTGTTTCGCCTACTTCGCTGGTTCTTGCACCAGCATTGCACTCAACCCACGTGCATTTGTTCCTTGTGCCGCTTTGCCTAAGGCGGCTCTCTCTCGGCATTCTCTGCAGGTGTCGGTCTCGGACAACCTCTACATGTTCATGCACGAGCTCTGGCTCCAGAACGCACCCATTGGAGAGCTCTCCTAGGCCCGGCCGCATTCGTGGGGAAGATGGTCGGCCGGAGTCTGATTGTCAGGTTGTGTTGTTTGTTAAGACAGAAGGTCCAAGACGACCGTACGTGGTTGGGAGTCCTGCACATTGCGCTTTTCACAGCACCCTTGAACAGAAGCCACCGTTGTTAGAAATAGCGCCAATTTTAATTTGGCCGGCTGCCCAGTTGGACGGCCACTTTTTGTCTTTATTCCTTGTTTTACTGCTCTTTTTACGGATTTGTCCTAGAGGTATCCATCGGCATAGGTTGCCGAAAGAGCGTGTCGGGAGAAATACCAATCTATGTGTCGGTCGACATTGCTCTGCGACTTTTCTTTTTGTGTGTGTGCGGCTTGGGGAGCTTATGTTTCACAACCCATTCCCACTTGTGGCCCAGCAGCACTGCACCAGTGCTGATGCAGTGCGACTTAGCACCGATAAAGCATTGGTTCTTCGAGGGTTTTTATTGGGGTGAAAGGATAAGCTCAGTCAGCTGCGGGTTGTTTTGGTGGCTCCCTCTCATGTTTTATGCCCGGTACTTTGCAAAGACGTGTTGCAGTGCTCGTGATTCTGGTGACTTTATTTTCTCTGGAAATAACAGAATCGACAGTGTGTGCAAAGAACATCTTCGAAAATGTCCACGGTTGCTCTTGCCCAAGACCGTAGACCCTGTTTTTGGTAGGAATTAATTTCCACTGCCAAACGAGGCAGAATCACTCTGAAACGGTTACATCAAGTTTAGGGAGGGGAACACTTGTACCTCCAAGGTAGGATCTCGCAAGAATCGTCTTGCTTTGGAGTTTTCAAGTGATTTTGCAATGGGTAAGGAGATATACAGCACTGATTCTGCACTGCATTGCAGGTGAGAATTGACCTAAACTTCACTGCTCGATCGCACTAATTTTTTTTCGATGTTTTTAAGTGTTACACATTTTTGAAAACCGGAGACTACGGACGACGAAAGAGACAACACGCAAAACGTCGCAAGACGTTTTGTGTGTTGTCCCCTTCTTCGTCCATCGTCTCCGGTTTTCAAAAATCTGTAACATCAACCAGCTTGCCTGCCTACTTACTTTATCTTCAATCTTTTTAAGTGTAGTGAGTATGTTTTTTAGAATTCATCTGGGTGCTTTGACTAGAAGTGCTGTAGAGACTGAGATTTAATTTACGCACGAAAAAAATAAACAGGATGGAGCACAAAACACATCTTTCATAGAAAAATGTTGTGTTCTGTGCTCCATTGTATTTGCTTATTCTTTCACGTGTAAATTGAACTCGACAGGCTCTGTTTTTAATAAGATTGTGAGGCATTCCTATATTTAGAGGACTCGAAATATCTTCTTTTTTTCTTTTAGAAGACAGTTCTCGGACGTTGAAGGTGCTTTTTTCTGACCTATATGCATTACTGCCATTTAAACACGTAACATTGTGCTTTTTACGCAGTGTACTTATTTCCATTTGTGCATCTTGGGTTTCAACGAAGCTAAAACAAGCTTGCTTGCCTACTCAAACACTGAGATGTGGTAGCGTTTGTGAGCAAGAATTTTGCCTTTGCAAATGTTGACATAGTATTTCCTGTCACCTCAGAGTTTTCAGCACCGCTGAACATCTTTTTGTGATAGTTGCGGTTATGTGACTAACATGTGTGTCAGTTTTTATTGCAGATAGTAATATTAATTCAGACTTATATTTGGAGCAGTGTATAATGTGCTGGGAGTTTTAGTTGCACATATGCTGGGAGTTTTAGTTGCACATATCTTTATCATATAGCTTGTAGGCCTAGTCATTGCACTGCTAAGCTGTTTTCTGATGAAGCCACTTTGCATCGATATATTTTTTGGAGATAGTTTTGAAAATTGTTTGTCAGTTGATTGTTAGTTTGTTCCTTTTTACAGTAAATCTATAAATAAATGGTTGTTGCAAGTTAATATTTCTCGTCAAATCGACTGGGGCTCAGTGTATATACGCAAAACTGCTTGTTTACAAATAATATATGTGTGGCCTTTGCATATCTTCTTTCGAGATCTTGTGCATTCAAATTCATTTTATAAAATATTGAAGCACATGCTGAAAACATTGGCTTACATGCACACTTGTGAATGATACAAAAACCGAGCTTCCAAGGATGCAAGAATAAAAGTGTGAGGGGAGTGGAAGGGAGTGTTAAAAAATACTTTGAATCTCAGCTTACAAAATAATGAAAAATGGCAAAAGCTGGACATTTAAAAATAGCAAAAGCTCATCGATTTTGTTGCTGACCATAAACTCGACGATTCGTTTTTGCACTTTTCGCTTGGTCTAGCGAAGCGAGAAGTTTTACTTTTATGTACATCATTATTTGTTTGGATATTTTTGTCTGTGGACCCAAAGGTAAGTGTGGATAAACCACAACTCAACTGCTGTGACCAGTTTCGGCATATTTTTTTATTATTATTGTGCAGTGATTATTGTAGGTTCAATTTATCTAGTCAAAACAAGTTAAAAGCCGCCTTTTCTTTTTACGTTAGTGGCGTTTTTGGTAAATGGCCTAATGTTTTTTTTTAGACCCGGAAAGGAGGAGTAAGGGTGGCATATATATTTAATTTCCAAACCTGTCATTTTCAGCATGTACAGACATTCTACCGGCGTAAACTTGAGCTATCAGTACTGCATGGTTAACTTAAAATGCTAAAAACAAAAAAAAAAAAAAAACCCATAAAATTGGGATTTTTTAAAGCTAAATTTAGAAGTTGATTTGGAGTATTCGGAGTAAATGAATATATCTGCTGGGGGTCAATCGTCTCCAAAAGGTATTAATCTGAAATCGGTCATGATAAAAAGCTCGCCTTTATGAATTTGGCTATTTTAGAAAAGGACATCGAATACCGGCAAGCCTTTGTAAGAAGTATAAACCGAAACTAAGTCAGTAGTTTCAGTTTCGCAATGGATGTTTCGCTCATCGACCGCCAGGTGGCCAGGTGGCGAGTTAATTTCAAAATGGCTGCGTCCGCGGGATGCGTGCTCCGTTTTTAGAGGCGGATACAGACCCCAAGTTTTTATACGTTTTTTCGACCTCATACACCGCAATATTTCTTCCAAATTCACCGACAGCAACATGTTCGTCACGGCCAGGGCCAAAGTTCTCGTTCCGAGGTACTCGTGCCGTCTCTGCAGCAACGTTTTCGCCGAACCCGCGGCCCCTACCTCTGTCGCCGCGGTTAACGAAGGCACCAGCGGCGTGGAAAGCAAGCGCGACGTACGGGACGTCTCAAGACTGAACCGACGCGCTTACATGAGAGGCGTCAAAGGGCAGTACACCGCGCCCGAAAACGAGTTCGAATACTACACCGGCAACATGCGACGAGACTACGCAAGGTACGGTCGGAGCACGGGCCTGAACCCAGGCATTCTATGGCCCTCGAAAGAGCAGCTCCGCGAAACCGCGTACTACGAGGCCAAGTTTTACCCGTCGATCCGCGAGCTGCTCGACAACGAGAAGGCCAAGAGGGACGCCGAAGCCGAGGAGGCGCGGAAGCGCGAACAAGAGGTGGAGCGCAACATCGCCAAGGTGAAGGAGTGGAGGTTCGCGATGCTCGAGCGAGAAGCCAAGAAGAAAGCGGCCGCCGAAGAACAGCGCATTCAGCGGGAAGAGCTCATCAGGGAGGTGCGCGAGTACATCGGCTACAACGTGGAGCCGTCGGACCCCAAGTTCCAGGAGGTAATGGAGATGAAGGAGGAAGAGCGGAAGCAGGCGGCCAAAGAAGCGCGCAAGAAGGCCAAGCAGGAAAGGATGCTGGCCAAGTTGATGGCAGTGGGAGCGGTAGATCAGAAGGCCGATGCCGAGAAGGCTGCCGAGGACAGCAAGCCCAAAGGAGCCAAGAAAGTGTCGGAAGCGTCTTCGTAGAATGGGCGAGCATTTCCCTCGATTGGTGTAGCTTTCAAATAAAGGTGTATATAGGCTGGCATAGTGTGTCGTGACTATCTGTCCGGTCATGCTTATTAAGTCAACAAAAGCTATGCAGTCCTAGTTGGGGGCTATTGCGTGATGTGTGGTGTAGCACAATAGGTCTAATTTTGAAAAAAGCAGCCATACCACTTCTTTGTTATAACCAGTTTTGCTTGGCAGAGTTTCTTACATTTCATTAGTATGCTGAACAAGATTGTGGTTGTATGCTACGTTTAAGCTGTAGACTTGCCGGTTTTAACCGAAAAACGCTAGAAAATATCCGCAAGTGTCAAATATGCAATATTGGCTTTTTTTGTTTTGCTTCAAGCAGAGATTAAGGCACTCCCTTGTTAAAGATTGACCAGGCATGTAGTCTTGCCTGGAATCGAGCATCCAGCCACTCCCGAATCAGTGGAATCACTGACCTTGGAGTTCAGTGGCATGAGAAGTAGGTCAGTTTTTCAGTAACCACAAACTGTTACACTGTCTCAGGTCAGAGCTAGGTTCAGGTCAGAGCTAGACAACCGTGTGCAAAATTAGACTTGCAGTCGTTATTGGTTGAACCTTGCAGCAGAAGCAAGGGCAACCTGCCTTCCTTGTGGCAGAAACATTTTGCTTGAAAACAAAGCTTTTGTCATCACACGGGGTAGAAGGGCAGCAGGATACAAAGGAAATGAAACTCTCAAGGTGATTACGGTAGGGTACTTGGACTTGAACTCGTGTTTGAAGTCACCGTCTGCCGTTTGCAGGTAAGTAGTACTGCCCCATTACGGTGGGCATAAAACGTAATAAGGCTAACGAAAAAATAGTCAGAGTGCAGGCGAGCTGGTGTAAGTTGAACATGATTGTAAACCTGAGACTCGGGCAGAAAAGAGAACACAACAGAAGGTAGTAAAAGAGGAAGCAACGTCTCAAACTCAGCTGCAAAGTTTATTTCGAACACGCTTTATATACCCCATCTCCAACGCCGTCTCTACAAAAAAAAACAAAAAAACACACACGACAAGAGGACAATGACGCTTGGGTAAACCTTCTCTTATCTCCCTTGACCTCGGCTGTGGGACACTCACACAAAGGGTCACATTCTAGCATAACCACCACCACCCGGCTGCATGCCAATAAGGCTGCACGGCAATTGTAAATTGAATTTGAACTGCTTTTTTATTAATTGTTTTTTTTTTTTTCATTGTAATCACTACTTTTAGCATTGCTACGAAAAAAAATGGCAAAAAAAAAAAAGAAGAGTAACACCGGCAAATTTGAGGTCTACCTATATCCATTGGAGCATATGGAGTAAGTAGCATCCTGGTTGTCATGATGGCAAGATGGAAATGCCAGCCAGTATAGTAAACACAGCCATATATAAAAAAAAAAAGGGTTTAGAGACTGTGGTTTTATAGTTCTGCCAAATAGACCCTTTCCGACATTGGGAAATTATGCATAGATTTATGTGCAGCCGCCATTTGTTGGTCTCATCGCTACCGGCGTGACACCCGCGTCGAGCACCGACACAGCATTCGCGTGGAATGCATTTCAGTCTGAGCAAACACCAAATGCTGACAAAGCGCTCATGTCCCACACGTGCTCACATTGCATGACCAACTAATCGTGGCCGCACATGATCTATACATCATTTTGAAATTTCAAAAAGGGTCAATTATGATTGTCCCGAATGTGCTGACCGCCCACACAAAAATGAAGAAATTGAAAGGTAAAAGTAATTACTAAGTCTAAAAAACATATTATGGCCTTTAGCACTCTTACCAACACATACAACCAATGACATGAAACCCATAAAAAGATGTGAACATTAGCCAATAGATGACATTCAATAATTTAGAATGCATCGCACCCACAGGCTGCAAGAAACATTATTCTAAGGACTCCAGGCAAAGCTATGGTATGCACAGCTATGCCCGAGGGGACGGACCAGTTGAGGTAATTAATGCTGCAGCTGTGTGGTCTCGCATCTTCTGTGCAGCTAAGCGGTCTACTATGGAGAAGTATGTGCATGTAAGCAGTGATCACCAAATTGGTTGACCAAACTGTCAAGCATGCTGGAACCTAAAGGGATACTATTGACTTACAGACTGCCACATTGAAAGCAATCTACCTGTAGACGATGTTACTAAAATTAGCTCAGTTAATCAGTCCTATCAATCAGCCATGTCGGGCTGCCCAATGGTACCTATCTTGTTTTAATATCAGAATAGTCTGAACAATAATCCAACCTCCAAAGATGCCTACCTCATTGAAAGTGAGCAGAAAAATAAGCCACTCTAGGAACTGAGCTACCTGGACATGAGCAATTTCTGACAACCTTTCAATAATTGCAATGGTCTTTTCAACAGCTCAGAAGACAAAATAAAGAGCTGGTCGTTTTCTAAATAACATCATGTTCGTAGTCATCTTTGACAAGCAACGAGTGCATGAACAAGAACAATTCTGTATGAATATTTTCAAGCTTTCTTGATTGCATATCAAAATTTAGCACAGTCCTTTTTTCTTCTCCCAATGCACTGTATTTGGGACACTGAATCATCTCTGGGATATTATGGTTGTATTGATGAATCCAACACAGCACATGTTCCAATGGTGTTTACTTGGTGTACTCCCATGATTACAGATGATACAAGTGATTCCGGGGAACTATTATACATGGTCGACCAGATGCAGTAGCATCTTCCCATCGTCCGAATGAAAAGCTTCAGTCGTCCATTCCATACTTTTTCTTGACTCTGTCGATTTCTTCCTTTTTCTTGTCTTGGTCCACGCGCTTGAAAGCCTGTAAAAAAGAAGAAACAAAAATCAGTTACAGTTAGGAAATACATGCCACCAATGAACAAAGCTCCCAAGTACCATATTTTCTTGACTACAGATGTTTAAAGTCGATACTTTACGCCGAGCGGACTATGCAATGATTCTTTTTTTTTTTTTTATCACTCGTGATTAGTACAGTTTTTGAGTTCCACTGCTTCAGCAAGGAAAGCTGCAGCTGTCAGTGTGCTGCTTCACCCACGGTGTTCCGTGAGTGACACGCAAGATAGCTGCACCCAAGCGAAAAAATGTGGATCAAGCTTAATCTTGATGACACAAACACTTACTGCATGTGGCTGTAAAATCGCTACTACAGGCAAATAAGTGACTATGGAGTCTTTTAGGAATCACGGTAGCCTTGGAAATGAAGATACAATTTCACACTCACATCCCTTTTTTTAATACAATACTAATCTTAAAATAACATTAACAACTATGGAAAAAGACGAGTTTGCATTCATACTGTTTTATTAGCCATAATGAAGTGCCATTTGTTGGGGAACTTGACGGCATATTATTTTAGCAGGAACGAGACATGGATGAACTCTGAAGTAACCCCGTAATGCGCACTACATGAGGTAAAACATGTTTCCCTTCCCCCAACTGTCTATATGTCACAAAATATGGTAATTTTTCATTTGCACCTACCTTCGTAGGCTGGTAGTAGAGCACGACAAGGTACCGGTTGCACACGTTGAAACCGGAGAGGTGATCGCAGGCGTTTTTGGCATCGAAAATGTCCTCATACACCACAAACGCTGTCCCACGCGTTTCGGGGGTGTTACCACTGAAATGAGAGAACACCAAGTGAAATCAATACCTTAATGGCTGTCGACCAGACTTGAGATTCTGCAAGGCAAAAGATACTCCTCACAATGAGGGAGAAGCAAACAGGTAACGGTGGACAAGGTAGAGGGGGAAAGGAGGAAGCGAGGGAAAAGTGGAAAGTGCAAACTGGTCGTCGGCCTTTAATGAAGCTACATGCACTTGACAGAGTTGTTGGGATGCAAAGATGATTCGTGCTTACACTCTGATTTGCCGGATGGCACCATATTTTCCGAAAATGTCGTACATTTCTTCTCCAGAGATCTTGTACGGTAAATTCCTGACGTACAGTATTCTGTTCACTTCAGGCGGGAGCCGAACCTGAAAATATAAGGTTTACATCGGAAATCGTCAACGCAGGTGTAGGGTCGATTGTGGTCTCCACTGTCCGCGAGAAGAGCCTTTGAGTTTAGGAAAAAGCTTTAGAGAATCTATTGTGAGTTCCAAATTCAGTCACCACATTCACGGAGAGGAGGATAATATCGAAACAAAGCAAAAATAGGTTTACATACGCTTGTTTTCCTTTGCATCGCCATGATTGCGTTTCTTTGGTAATGGCGGATGGATGGGTGCCACTGTTGCCAAATCACAAAGGACAAAAATAGCCGAACGGCTCCCCAAATGCCCCAAATCTTTATGAAAAAAGCTAAAAACAGCTAAAGTTCCCGGGTCCTTTCGGAACCTTTTTTTAGTGCCCAATGGTCCGATAAAGTTAACCCTAGGGGTGTCGAGACCAGGTTCGACTTTTTCGAACTTATAGTGGAAAAACAGACAACAGAGTTGTGTTGTCTTAAATTTTCCTCTTTCCTTATCCCAAAGCTTTAGCGTGCGCTATTCTAAACATGACCGCTTGATTCGTCGCTGCGTCGCTGCGACACAAAATTTAAGCTGAAGGAATGGGAACGCTTCTACGCTAGGTGGCGCAAGTTAGCGCGTATTACAAAGTTGATGGTAGTACCAATTGTCTATCCAACACTACAAACTTTAATTTTTGTTGCTTAGCGTTTTTTTTTTCTGTTTTTTTGTTTTGCTGGGTTTTGCTATCTGCCTGGAGATTTGAGGCGTTTGAGGTCTTTGTGGGCAGCTTTGATCAACCACGTCATTTGCAGCTGGACGAGTGGGACCACAGAGCAGACATGGCTAGCTGCCTTCGAGTTGTCGACCTTCTACGAACAGTCTCAAGAGCATCGTAAGCCCACCCCATCGAGCTGTTTTTCGATCTGCGCTTAATTAAAGGCGTATTCACTGTCCGGTGCCATTCTGTCTGCCGCAGCTGCCGCTGCCCTGCCCATGCCACAGCGACAGCCTTGCAAGGTGAAGAGAGACGGTGAACAGGGGAGGGGAACGTGTTGGCGGTGGCCACAAGTGCTGCTTGCAGCCTAAAGAATACACTTTTTTTTCTTTTTTGATTTTTGTTTAGCTTTTAGTGCATTGGCGTCTTATGCTTCAAAAATTTTACCTTGTGATAACATATGTACTGTACTTGGTGACTGCGACCATTGTTGCAATCGTAAGGAATGACGCCCAAGTTTGCAGTTTATTTTCACGCTAAAATCAATTCTGGAAAGTTGCTACAAACATATCCAGACAGTCAGTTTAGATTTAATTCAAAAAGTTAGTTTGGGCTAGTTGGTTCATTGACGAATGGAATTGAACGGCACAATACATGATTTGCACCTGACGACGTCCCGTCAGCTCTCCGGCAACCGCCAGAAAAGAGGGGAAGGAGGAACTCCCTTCTCACCGGGACTCTCTTTTGTGTGTCCCAGACAGAGTGTCGAACCGGACCGAACCGAAGACCAGCATCGAACCGTATACGAAAACTCCCTAATAGGGAGTTTTCGTAGACTGCGTTTCACCCTCCGCTAAGCCCTCCGGAATGAAGAAGTTGCTACTGCGCTTGCGCGCCGATAGCCTTGACTGTGGAGAGTCCCGCTATCATAGCGGGTTGTGAAGGGCCTTGTGGGACGGCGAAAACGATTTACGAAAACTCCCTATTTTTAGCAAAACCGGAACTGAACCGAATCGAAATCTTCGCCACCATCTTGGAACTGAAATGGAAAAAAATGCAATGGTGACCAATTCAAAACAGTTCATGTGAATGTTTTTTTAAGGTGCAGCTTTTAGGTGCACGTTTCCAGCTTGAGCGGCGTCGCCGTCGGCGCAACCGCACGGTGCATTATGGGCAAATTGCTTGCTAAATCTAGCGGAAAAATTTCCCCGCTAAATCTAGCGGAAAACTTTCCCTGCTAAATTTAGCGAAAAAATTTCCCTGCTAAATTTAGCAGAAAAATTGCCCCACTAAATTCAGCGGAAACATTTCTCTGGGGGGTCACGTGACCCCCCGAGGTCACGTGACCCTCTCCACCCCTCTGCCCCCCCCCCCCCCCCCCCCCCGAGGTCACATGACCCCTCCCCCAACGTCATATGACCCCCCCCCCCCCCCCCCAGAGCACGTGACCCTCAGTACCCTTCCCTCCTCCTCCTCAAGAGCTGCACTCTAATTCGGCATTACAGGGAGTTGTAAACGACTTTCACTTTTTTTTCTATTTTGTTAGTATTACAAAATGAATATTATGGTGAATTCCGCTCGCAGATCTTGAGCGCTCCAAAAGCGCTCCATTTGGAGCGCGCATATTCCACTCGCAGATCTGGCTCAAGTTGGTCATCTTCCGCTCGTAGATCTCTGGCAGCGCCCGCTCCACGGAGCGCCCCAAACTCCGCCGAACTTGCTCTGCGGGATTTCACAGATCTCTCCGGAAATTGACAGAGCGGCCCACGTGATTTCCGTCTAAATCGGCGGTGCGCATGCGCGGCGAGGTTGGAGAGATCGGCGGGCCGGTCGGTGGAGTTGGATCTGTTCGGGTGCGTCGGTTGTTTACTCTGGACTGTGACGGCTTGAACGCTTCTACCTCGCGTAAATCAGGGATAAAAAGCCGGGAATGTGGAGCGTGGCAAATCGTAAGCGCTGACATCTGTGATCACCGAGGAAGAACGAAAAAAAAGAACGACAGAAAAGCCGGAGGCAGACGCAAGGTTAGGCCTATTCATTCTGCAGCCAGTGATTGTTTACCTTTTTACACTGCATTCCATCGGCGTTTTCCCGTGAAATAAAGCAAGAAGTGGTTAGGCAACGACCGCGCAAGTGATGGTTTGTTACCTCTGTGTTTATTAAAGTCGTACTAGCAATCTGAACTCCACCGCTGGCAATCGCTGTCCGTGCCCCGCCGCTTCGAGGCGGCCGAAAGGTATGTGACGGTGCCGAACGCGGACGTCTTCGCTATTTGTGACATGGGCGCCGTGGTACGTATAATTCCGCCCGGCCTGTGTCGCGTGTTACTTCTGCAGCTAAGCAGTGACAGTCGTCACTGGTCGTCGGAAAGATCAGCCGGCTGAGGCGTTGGTGGGCTGGTCAAGTTCGAGCAGCGGCCATTTTGAACGGCGGAAGGAGGAGGGGTGGGGAGGGGTGTGGGGGAGGTAGCTCCAAAAATGCAAGTTTATCTTCCCCTCGTCGATACGGAGCGGGTCCCACGGAGCGGAATTTTGCCTCCCTCGCGGATTTTGGAAAGCGCTCCAGATCTACGAGTGGAATTCACCATTAGAGAATAAAAAAATGGCAGCCGTATTTCTATGTATTGATCAAATCGTCATATACAGAATAGCAATGTGTGATAAATTGTGGCTTTTTGTGGCAACTTTGTATTGGCACTATGATTAATTATGTGTCGGTTGACGTCATGGCATCAAGACATGCCATAAGATAATGTAACATCACGTGGCCCCTTGACGTCACGTGACAGAGTCGTGTGTCTCAGTGCGTCAAGTCGGTCTACATTGAGAATGTCTCTAGATCCATCAAAATTGTAAACACCATGATGTCACATGACATCATGACTTCGAACTGCGACATCGTGACATACACGATTGACATCACCCCGAGTCGAGTGCTTGGGTTCATGATGGTCAGCACCGCCTAACATTCGGGTAATGGCTTATGTTCAGTCAAAAATGAAAATAGCCGAATTCTAACAATGGCTAGAGCTCTGCCCATGCTCTAAGCTTTGCCATCCCCAACACATGACTATGATGAACACTGACGGTATATAATTGATGTCGCATCACGTGGCCGCTTGTTCTAATTGCGAGTTGGGAAGGCTGTTCCTTTATTTTTTTATACACCTGCCATTGCGCGGAGAGGAAAACTAATGGGTGTTTTTGCAAGTCATCATCGTAAGGTATTAATTCTTAGTGGTGCTTAGTGAAAGTACAAACGTTTTTGCACGGCCCGTTTTATATGTCTGGTCAGAGTTGGATAAAGAAATTTCGGGGCCCTGGGCCAAAGTTGCTGCTGAGGCCCTTATGATAATGACGATGATGATGATCACAACAAAGATGATGATGCTATCACTGATTAACATAGTACATTTTGGGAAGCCTAATTTAAAATTTTTACATTTGTAGTTTCTTGAGTCACATTTATGAGCAATGTTATCACTGAAAAGGGGGAAAAATGTGATAACTTCAAGAAAATTACTATTTATAGGCGAACGTAACGCAGCAATCTAATGTCTGCCCCAACTCGCTTTCCAGCAAGCGCTCTCGGTCGGAAGTGCCAAACTGAGCTAACCACACAACAATGGCAATTCGATTGTCTACACTCTTTTGATGGGCTCTTCTGCTTTTTCTCGCCCGCTTTAAAGCACAAATCCTGTGAATCGCAAAATGTCTGGGACTGTTTTGAACCTCAAACGATTTGCGCATGAAGCAAAACACACATGCTTTGGACCATGTGGTCCAAAGCATGGTCTACACGAAAGGCTATTGGCCTTTCGTGCGAAAATGTATGTGTCCTCTCTCTCACAAGTAGGAAAATATTGCGATCGATTTTAGACTACTTTTGCGATTCTTTCTCAATGCACTCGGTTGGGAAGTTATCTGGTACGGCGGCGGGCCGCTTTGCCGGATCACTTTCTAGGCGAGTGGCTCCTACCTCTAGGGGTTACGTAGACAATTCCAGGCATGACAAAATATCCTGGAGTTGGTGAACAAAGGGGACAAGGGACAAACACAAATCTCCAAACACAACTAAGGGGGCTGGTGCACGACCAAAAGAATTCGCAAGGTCCTGGTATCGCACCAGAAACCTCTCCATTTCCAGTGGAGCACTCTACCAACTGAGGGAACCGGGAGTTAGACGTCAGTAGAGCAAACATGGCTTTATCAGCTGCCACTAGTCTAACACCAACAAGAATGAATGGCCTGCATTTTAAGGTTATGATGATAATGCAGTTGTGATGCATTTTATAATGCAGTTGTGATGCATTTTATAATGATAATGCAATTGCAATTGCATTTTAAGGTTATGATGATGATGCGAGGAAGTTGCCTGTTTGCGAGGGAACGAGCAGCGTCGCTACAGACTTGATGGTCCCCTCCAGGGATTCGGGACACCCACCACGACCAGCATGGCGACCTCCCGGAGACCGACTACGCCTTCGAGATGGCGTGCTCAAACATCCGGTATGGCCCCGGAGTCACCAGGGAGGTCGGGATGGTGAGTCCAGGACACTGTAGCGCGTACACATTCTGTCTGCAATGTGTCCGACGTAATGCTAGCCATCTAAAGCGCACTCACCAGTGTCGTAGTCGCACTCAGTCCTGCAAGGATAGTATGAACCAAACTTAACTTTGCTGGAATGATTTCACTCTTCCGGTAAAGACGTTATGTATGAGGCAAGTGCGTCACGGCAGTTGAGACCCTCGTTCGCCGTAAAATTGTTGAAGACTAGTTGCTGACCATTCTTGTCATGTAAAGGCTTAATTAAACGTTTAGCCCGATGCTATTCGTGCCGGGCTTCACCCATCTCCGTGCGATTGCACCGATGTCCTGCAATGTTCAAAGATGACGGATCATTGATCGGTCCGTCCTGTGCCAATCGGAGAGATAAGGATGGGAGCAGAATGTGGTAAATCTTAAGTGCTCACATTGGTCTTCCCAAGAAAAAGAATGAGAAAGAGAGCGAGAGCGGAGAAAGAGAGCAGATAATAGGTTAGGAGTCTTCGTCTTGCCACAGTGAGTTGAAGTTGTTTGACTGCTTGGTCAACTTTATATATATTTTGATACGCTCGATTCCGGTGTTTATTTTCTGCAAAGTAAGTTAGAAAAGAGCTAGGTATAGACCTTACTGGTGATGTATTCCTGCTTTCTTGTGTATGTCAAGGTGTCGCCAGCAATCATCATCATCATCATCATTTATCTTCCTCGAGGACCTACGAGAGAGTGGCGCCTGTCCGTGTCGTATGTGTGTCTTTTTTCGTCCTGTTTGTTCGTGCCTTTTAACCTTTTATTCGAGGGAGTGGGCATTCGTACAATATATATATTAATATAAAATGCAATGAATGCAGCAATAACTCAATATAAAACACTGTAATCTAATTTGAAGGGTTAAAGGAGCACTGGGACACATCAAAATCACATTTTTTTTAATTATCTGTCACAATTGAAAACGATGCCGGGACATTACCCTCAAAATTCGAAACTTGGGAATTCAGTGTTTCTGAATTAAAAAAACAATTTCGAAATGCCGAATTTGAAGTTCTTGCGCGATCCGCGCCAGTGCAGTGAGTCACATTTTGCGGTCTCCTGTGACTCGACTTTCTTTCGGACCTCCGATCCCTGCTATAAAGCAAAGCGCCGTTGCCACAGCGACCCGAAGTCAGGAGGAGGTGAGCAGGCGAGATAGAAGGGCGCCGGCGCGGTAAAAAATCGGTTTCTTTCCCGACTCGCCGATAATCCTCTGTTCGAGCGCCGCCAAGTTTTCCGATGGAGGATACAAATCCAGGAAGCGACATCACGCTGAAGTCTGATTTTTGGTATTTCAAAGAGAGGGGCCGTAGTGCATTCGCAATTGCGTTAAAAAACATGTTTTATGATTGCCATTATTAAATGTTATAGAAATGTCGCCTACAAAGCTTCTAAATTTCCTGATTTTTGACGTCACCGATCAAAAGAAGCAAGGAGGTGAGTGCGGAAGATATAAACGCCAAAAATAAAAAGGCGCGCGTGCAAGGAAATTTTTTTTCGCGGTGCATTTTTTTTTTGCGTGTCTATGACTACAACTTGCATCGTTTTAGACAATTTAAAAGAATAGAACCTTTGGGGTGTCAGTGCCCCTTTAAAGCAAAAAAGCGTAGTAGCTGGTGCAAATATATTATTGTTATTTATAGAGACAATGTGTTTTGGTAGTTTGGTTCTTTTATTGCCAACGATCATTTAGATAGTTGATAATAATTTGGGCCCATTGGGACCACGAATGTCCGCGTTTATGCCCTCCATTCCGAAGCAGCCGGAATGCATGGACTCTGAAATTGGTAGCCAAATCATTCCTGCGAAAAGTATGCATCACACAGAAAAAAGTTTATTGCTGTATCGGTGTCTGCCAAAGGGTCCATTTGCGAAAATGAATGACATTCGGTATGATTAGTTGGTAATTAATTTCTAGTAAATAATTTTTAATTGGTGAATTTATAGGTATGGTTTCAATTAGAAGCTTGCCGAGGGTAATCGGAAACCACAAAATCAGACTATTTTAGAAATATAGAAGACAGATACATAAAACCCTGCGTATCCGCAGATTACCCGTGGATCTTCCGTGGATATCTGCATTGAGCTGGCAGATGCGAATAAAAATAGATCAGATTTATAGCTTGCGGATTGGATGCAAATGCCAGAGGAAGCGGATCGGATGCCGATAGCTGCCGGTCCGAATATATGTTTTGGCGAGGTGCGACTGCAGAGTGTAGAGTGAGTGAAGGAAATACTATAAAATGCATCCTTGAATGCCTTGTGGAAGCAAATTACTCTCTTTAAAAAAAAAGGTGCTATTTGGGGAGAAACTTGGTCTTTACGCCAAGAAAGACATGATTCTCACCAAAGATAGAGTTTAGAGCGTTCATTTCACCAAAAATACTGTCTCTAGAAAAAGTAAAGAATGCAGGGGCATCAATCGGTTCTTCCGGGAAAGCATGCTCTTTTTTTTGGCAGATAAAGAGCAGAAAACGTTCTTCGGGCAAAGAAAACCCAAAGTGTATAAGTCACAAGAGAATAGAAGCCTCCTTCTCCTTGTGCATGTGTGTACATTTTTTTTCTCAACAGTTGGCAAGTTGTTGCTAAGTGTGTGGCTCACAAGATGCAGTTGTGGGTCCATGTTTAAATCTGAAAGTGATAGGAAGTCTTGCCGGTATTGAATACTGTATGATATTTTCCCAATGTTGCATTTGCTTCTTGCCACAAAAATATGAGTACTTTGCTGTGGTGAGTTACCGCCTTTCCTCTCCAACTTTTTAATTGTCTAACCGAATAAAGTTGCATAAAGTTACACAATGTTATTAGCATATCCTTTGTTAAGTTTCATGTATACGATATATGTGTCTGCATTAATGGGGTGTTACAAAACAAGAAAATTTTTTTATTTCCTTTCCTTTGAGTGCGTCTTCTGGGCAAAGTGTCACAGACTCCCAGGACGATTCCATAACTGAAATTATCTTTTGGGCGGCACAAAGTGTCCCTGGAAGGATGATCGCTTTTAAAGTTTATAAATATGATACAACGAAACACAATAAAAAAAAAAATTACTTTCACCGTATTTTGACTTGAAGAGTTCTTTGTACAAGATTATAAGTTATAAGGTACCAGCCAGATGCTTTCTTGTTTTTCAAGCTTGATATTATATTGTAAAATGGATGCGCTGATTGCAGGCCAGGTGCGGTTCCAAATTTTGCGGTCATGGTTCGGATGCAGGCACAAAGCATGCAGATCGGATGCAATAATTTAACAACATTGCTGATGCAGTTTGGGTGCGGATACAAAGTCTGCGGATGCGATGCGGATAATCAAACTGTTATCCGTGCAGGGGTCTACATATACAGCACTTTACTGCGTTCCATACAAAACGCTTAATCTGGAGATGTTTCTCTAGGCTTCGGTTTCCTATCCGAGCGCATCTTTGCGCCAGCGGTCCTGCGCCTTGGGGCCAAAACAGGCAGCTACCGCATCACCTCCCTCGTAAGAGGGAAGGAAGTGTGGCGCACATGCGTCGCGCATCTCGGCCACGTGGGTCAGGACCGCTGACTAGAGATGCTGAAACCGAGACATAGAAACATGTCCAGATTGAATGTTTTTTTCGGAGTGCAGTAGAATGCAGCGTGTGCCTTCTGTATTTCTAAAATACGTTGATTTAGTGGTTTTCGATGATCCTCGGCAAATTTATAAGTAAAGCTATACCTATAAATTTACAAATAGAAAAAGTTAATTACTCGAAAGTAAGGCACAAACTAATTATGCCGAACGTTATTCATTTTCCCAAATGGGCCCTTTGGCGGAAACCAATACGACGATACACTTTTATTTGCACTATGCATACTTTTCGCAGAACAGTTCGGCTCACATTTTTGGAAACGCCCTGTATTAACTTTATGGTGCCAGTTGATGTCGGTAAAGCTTACTGCGGCGGTGCTCCCACGGCCCAGGACATGCACAACCTGGGTGCCACCAAAGTCTGCCTCATGGCCGACCCCAACTTGGTGAACCTGCCGCCCGTCAAGGCCACCCTCGACTCCCTGCACAAGCACGGCGTCCAGTTCAGCATGTTCAGCGACATATCCATAGAGCCCACGGATGCAAGGTGCTGTAGTGGGGCTCGTCGCATTACCTTCGAAGTTTGAAATCCAGACGATTCTGGGGCGGAGTTTGTGAGGCACCGGGCAAGCATTTAAGGCATTCAGCCACTTAAGGGAGAAATAAGGTGGAAAAAAAAGTTTGTCTCATATTTCTAAGGGTTAAGCGTAAATTTGGCCGGCAAAAGAGAATTTATTTGTAGGATGTTTCAGGGAGAGACTTCCCCCGAAGAAGGGAAGCTTCTTGTTGAAACGCACGTCAAATGGTCTCTGTTGCTATTTAAATTTCTGTCAACGTATATGACATTGATGAAAAATACATATATTAAATAGATTTAGTTTATACAGGGACAATAGCCTTCAGAGCTTCTGGGCACATTACATTTTTTCCCCTACGATATAGTACCTTTTTTTGCTTCGGTTTTAATGCTGCCTTGTTTGAAGAAGACATTAAAGTAACTTACCGAAATGGCAGCCGACGATCGCTATAATTTCATTTTATTTATTGTTCCCCTAAATCGCCCGCAGAGCGCATTTATGTACAAGTATATAAATGTCGTCATTTTTGGATGACATTCATATATTTTGGCCCACGAAAGATGTAGCTTCTGAGGCTTTTGAGGAATGGTCTGTCCACAGGCGTACATCTGGAAGCATTTCTGCCGTGAAAATTGTCAACAGCGGGCAAAGGAGCGAGCAGTGTGCAAGCACTGAAAAAATTGCAGCCTTCCTTAAGCCACCTGTTTACTAGACATTCACTTTCCATAAAAGATGTCTGCAAGACATCGGGGAGGCACACACCAAGGAACACGCGCCTCTTCAGTTAGATCATGCCAAGGAAAATAAATGGCTTCAACGATGCCGACCTTCCAGTTTTTTAAACTTAGAATGTGTTCAAGGCCTGGGATCCCCGACAAAAATGTGACAAACGCCGGAAAAAACCATTACCAAAAATGTAACATATACTTCAAAGGACAATCTGTATAAAAGAATGCACAATTGAGAAGAAACCATAATTAATTGGGGAAGAAAGAACAAAATTCAAAGCACGATTTGGCGGGAGTCAAACCCACGACCCCGTGATTTTGAGCCCAACACTCTACCACTGCATGCACTGTAGGGGAGGCTTGTGAAGAAGAAACAGCTCGTCTTCTCCCTCTGTTTCTAACCATATAACAAAAAACAAAATTGTGATTTCCTAAAGATGGCTGCAAAAACACGTTCTGTGTATGCCGGCTTCATTCGTACGATTAAGATTTTTCCGACTTTCTTCCGAATTCCCAACTCTCCCCGGAAGAAATATCTTCTTCTGCTCAGCCATTCGGAATTTCCTCCAGTTTTCCTTCTCTGGGCAAAGTTAATGGTTGTCTGTTTCGTTCCTTGCCCAGCTTCCAGAGGGCGATTGACTTTGCGAGGGCGGGAGACTTTGATGCCTTCCTGGCGGTGGGAGGGGGCTCCACCATGGACACCTGCAAGGTGGCCAACCTGTACTCCTGCAACAGGGAGCGGGAGTTCCTGGACTTTGTGAACGCCCCCATCGGGAACGGCATGCCCATCCCGTCCAACCTCAAGCCCCTGGTGGCAGGTGGGCGCCCCACTCCGACTCTGGGACTTCTAAATTACGTCCTTTTAACCGTTTATAAAACGGGCCTTTGCAATGGCTTTGTGATGGCAAAGCCATCGCAAAACATAACTTGATTGCACATAGTCGTAATTTTCGAGCAATAATGTGAGTATGTGTGCAATGTTTTGTGTTAAAGAAACAACGTACATTACTTCTAAATTACGTCCTTTTAACCGTTTATAAAACTCGACGGAAACTGGTCCCTTTGCGATGGCTTGGTGATGGCGAAGCCATCGCAAAACATAACTTAATTGCACATAGTCGTAATTTTCGAGCAATAATGTGAGTATGTGCGCAATGTTTTGTGTTAAAGAAACAATGTACATCACTTTTAAATTATGTCCTTTTAACCATTTATAAAACTCGACGGACACTGGCCTTTGTGATGGCTTTGTAATGGCGAAGCCATTACAAAACATAAAAAACATAACCTAATTGCACATGGTCGTAATTTTCGAGCAATAATGTGAGTATGTGCGTAATGTTTTGTGTTAAAGAAGCAATGTACATTACATAGAAACTCTGACCTCCAATGACATGTGGGAAACGTGTGGTGCAGTGAAGTACTGAAAAAAACAATAGACGACATCCATGGGCAGTAATGTCCTGCTAGGTAAATCTAACTCCTCTATTCAACATGATTAACATGCAGTGTAAGTTCCTTTTTTTTTCAGCTTTTTATTTCATTGATTTTTATTAATTTTTTTGATGATAGGTTATGGAGGTCTGACGACGTTAAAAGTGTTAGGAAAGTAATTCTCTGTCTTTTCCCGTAAGTTGGACATATTTTTTTAAATTTTATATTATTTAAATGGTATATATGCTTTCGGGTTTCGTTGATTCTGCTGACTTTTCCTGAATTTGCTAGGACTATAATTATTTGCTAAAACGACAAATTTAAAAACTTCTTCACCGCTCATACTCTTGCCTGTCTCTAAAGATTTATACTTTGAATCGTAAGTTATGTTTTTACTTTGAACTGTAAGCTGTTTTTTATGAATCTACCTATAATAGAATCACTTCTGCCTTGTTTATATTCAGAGTGTGTTCCATAAATATCAACTGCTTTGCACTTGCTCCTTTTCCTTGCTCCTTGCTTCCCTGTAACTTCTACTCCTCCTGAAAGTTTGATTCCCATTCTATTTGTAAGTATCACTGACCCGCTAGAGCCACTGCAGTGGCAACATGCCTTTCTCTATGCCTCATGTTTCGCGCATGTATATAGTGCGACACGGCGTCCCGCCAAATCAAAGGCAAGTCACAAGTCACGAGTTGCGTACGAAACACCATGAGAGACATAAAGTGAGGCACGTGAGGAGCGTGACGATGCTGGTACTGTGGCACCCTCTAAAGAGTCGGCAATTAGCTATTTACGAAAAGAACCATCCCCTTCCCTTTGAGCAGAGAGCGTTGTTTCTTCCTTTCTGCTTTCCCACCTTTACAGTTGGGAGGAGGAGGACATTAAGAGGCATTACACAGGTGAAAAAGAAATCTAATTGGGACCAGTTGGAGTTTTTGCTACGAGTCAACTGGTCCCGCTGGGAATCACTGGTCCCAACTAAGATTCAATGGGGACCAATTGGGGTTAAACTGTGATCAGCTAAGGGCCCAACTGGTAACCACTAGTCCCAACTGGGATTTGATGGGGACCAGTTGGGGCTCGACTTAGATCAGCAAAGGGACCAACTGGGAATCACTGATCCCAACTGGGATTCAATTGGGTTCAACCAGCTAAGGGTGTAACTGCGAATCACTGGTCCCAACTAGGATGCAATAGGGACCTGTTAGAGCTAAACTAGGATCAGCTAAGGACCCGACTGGGGATCACTGGTCCCAGCTTGGATTCGATAGGGACAAATTGGGGCTCAACTGGGATCAGCTAAGGGCCCGACTGGGAATCACTGGTCCCAGCTTGGATTCACTGGCGACAAATTGCGGCTCAACTGGGATCAGCTAAGTGCCCATCTGGGAATCACTGGTCCCAACTGGGATTCAACAAGGACCAATTGCGGCTCAACTGGGATCAGCTAAGTGCCCATCTGGGAATCACTGGTCCCAACTGGGGTTCAACAAGGACCAATTGGGGCTCAACTGGGATCAGCTATGTGCCCCTCTGGGAATCACTGGCAGCTGGGATTCAATGGGGAGAAATTGGGCCTCATTTCGGATTAGCTAAGTGCCCATCCGGGAATCACTAGTCCCAACTGGGATTCAATTGGGTTCAACTGGGATCAGCTAAGTGCCCATCTGGGAATCACTGGTCCCAACTGGGATTCAACAAGGACCAATTGCGGCTCAACTGGGATCAGCTAAGTGCCCAGCTGGGAATCACTGGTCCCAACTGAGATTCAACAAGGACCAATTGGGGCTCAACTGGGATCAGCTATGTGCCCCTCTGGGAATCACTGGCAACTGGGATTCAATGGGGACAAATTGGGCCTCAACTGGGATTAGCTCAGTGCCCATCTGGGAATCACTAGTCCCAACTGGGATTCAATTGGGTTCAACTGGGATCAGCTAAGGGCCCAACTGGTAATCACTATAGTCCCTACTGGGATTCAATGGGGACCAGTTAGGGCTCGACTTGGATCAGCTAAAAGCCCAACTGGGAATCACTGATCCCAACTGGGATTCAATTGGATTCAACTGGGATCAGCTAAGGGCCCAACTGCAAATCTCTGGTCCCAACTGGGATTCAATGGGGACAAAGTGGGGCTCAACTAAGATCAGCTAAGGGCCGAACTGGGGACCAACTGGGGTTAAATGGGGTCCGATTGGGGCTCAACTGGTATTCTATGGGGATCATTTAAGGCTCAACTGGGCCCAACTTGGAATCACTGGTCACAACTTGGGTTCAGTGGGGACCAAGTGAGGCTCAACTGGGATCAACCAAGTGTCAAACTGGGAGCAGCTGAGGGGTCAACTGGACACAGCCATTCCCAGTTGGGAGACGACTGTCTTAAGCGCGATCCAATGCGGATTTGTGCGCGCATAGGCCGTGCGGCTCCAGGAAATTGCATATTTCATGACATCGCACTGATTCCTTGCGCCTTCCGGGCGCGCATAAGAAAATTGGATGATTTCAACATTTTCTGAACTCGCACGAAATTGCGCTGTGACGTAGTAGGGTGCACCTCTCCCATATCCTCTCCCGGCCAATCGATGGAGGGCACTAGTTCCGGCTCTTCGTTTCTTCGTCGTCTGGTACAGGTGCTCTCCGCTCGCCCAAAGGTGTGCCATGCCATCGTCCTAATCAAAGCGCATGGTTGTGACTCAGAAAGCGCCCCAGAAACAGGAAAAACGTCACAGACACGCAATTTCTGGGAAGCGCACAGCTTACGTGCGCACAAAAACGCGGTGGTTTGGATTGCGCTTTATCTTTCTCACTCTGGGGAAACTTTATGGGACCAACTGGCAGATTCCCATTCGTGGTGTGAGTAGTATATTAGCATTCCCAACTGGCTATGGAAAGCTTGGCTGTCTGTCGGCGTTGGTTGGTACCTGAGGGGCACCACCCCTTGGCTCCGCAGTGCCCACTACGGCCGGCACAGGCAGCGAGACGACGGGGGTGGCCATCTTCGACTACCTGCCGTTGCGGGCCAAGACGGGCATCGCCCACAGGGCCCTCCGGCCCACCCTGGGCATCGTGGACCCCCTGCACAGCCTGCACATGCCCGAGAGGGTGGCCGCCTACAGCGGCTTTGACGTGCTCTGGTGAGGCGGCCCGCAGGATGCGTCTCCGACCGGCGCCCCCGGTGTCCCAAAAGGCGAGCGAGCGACGGCAGAACGGGCATCTGCCGTGTTCGGCTTTAATACCCTACCGGTAGGGTGCCTGGAATGCGTCTCCCACCGGTGCGTTCACCGTGTCCAAAAAAGTAGTCTCTCATTTTTCGTGCCCGACGACGTCGTAAAAGTGTCAAGTTGTCATCCGCCGCGTCCCAGGTGGCATCGCAACACCGGTGGTGGATGCCACAGATGCCTGTTTCGCTGTGGGTTGTTCTCTAGTGTAATAGCCCAAGGAAGCTTTGGCAGCTGGGTGTCGAGACTCTGCGACGACGGCAACACTCGCGTTTGCTCATGCTTCTTGTTGGAACTTCTACGACCAACCGCCAGGATCGCGACGTCCTACGACTTGACACTCCAGCTTTTGCAATGCCATTTCCTGCCGCTTGGGGACCACTTGCGATCCATGGGCGGAATGGGACGCTAAGTGCGCCAGTGGGAGGCGTGTTCCAGGCGCCATACCAGCGGTGCCAAGACAGTGGCAATCCACGGCACTACCCTGCCAGGACGTCGCCGGGCAGAAACCGAGAGGACCAAGTATGTGAGCGGTAAATGCGACGATTCGAAACACTTTCTAGGCAGCGTGGTGCTTTGCGACGGAACGATTGGTGGAGCTTGCATTCTCCGAACAGCCAGTTCACATATTTGCATGTGAGCGTGCTCGAGCGCAACACATTATCTCGTAACCGTTTACGACGGGAAAGCATGTTGGCAAATTCTAGCGGGTGTCCCGGGATCTGCGTGTAACCGGGCCTAAGCTCTTAATTCTTTGCTATATGCACTACCTACGATAAGTGGTCGCTCATATAACGTCAGAATCACTTTGAGCACACGGAGAGGGTGCTTGAACACGAGCCTGCAAACCATTCCTCGATTCCAAACCGGAGTCAAGAGATTGCCGTCCTTGCGGGCGGTGCCTCCGTGCAGCCATGCCCTGGAGTCGTACACGGCGATCCCCTACAACCGGCGCTCCCCGTGCCCAGCCAACCCGATCCAACGACCCGCCTACCAGGGGAGCAACCCCATCAGCGATGTGTGGTCCCTCTACGCGCTCCGCATCATCCGCAAGTACTTCAAGAGGCAAGAAGCAGCATCCCTGCCCATGGACGCCGCCTCGTGCGTGCGTCCCCTCCTCTAGGGCACGCGGCTCACGGTCATGCCTCGGTGCTCAGGGCGGTCTTCGACCGGGGGGACGTGGAGGCCAGGTCCCAGATGCACCTGGCCAGTGTCTACGCCGGAATCGGGTTTGGCAACGCGGGAGTTCACCTCTGGTAGGGCCGCCTTTCGTTTTGTGTGCCTTTCCGTTGCTGCGCGTATACTCTATCGTTTACTTCACTTTAAATTGGCAAAGAGCGAACTCTACGGCCTTCTCGAGCCAATTGGAGTGACGTAGGCAAAGCATGTGACAGCCTTTAGCAAACATGCAGGGGCAAAAGCGTAACCAGAGCAGCTGGAGAAAAGGGGAAGGAGGAACTTCCCTGTTACCCGGACCCTCTTCTGTGTGTCCTAGACGTCCCCCTGGTTGCCCCCTCAGAAGTCAGCTCGTCACTTGAGATTCATACAAGAGCGGCTTTTTTCTGCCCTCTCAGTGGCTGTCACAGCACTGTGTGCAACTAGTGAGATAGAATGTAGTCACGCGCCTCCCCCGATGTGCTGATTGACTCACCAGGAATGTAGCCTTCGCTCTTCGCCCATTTACAATGAAATGGGGGGTGTACTAGTTGCATGCGGCATTACCGAAAGTACAGGGGCGAGTGTTTAACCGGTGCAGTCAGAAAGAATAGGAAGGGGGAACCTTCCTCTTAGTTGGACACGTGTGTGTGTCCTAGATGTCGGCTTTGTCCCCCTTATAGTTTAGTCCAACGCTCAAAATTTTTACGAGAGCAGTTTTCGTCTCTCTCCCGCCATAGCTTCTACGTCACTCTGCGCAACCAGTTCTCAAAGCTCTAGCGCAATGGAAGGATTGCTCGAAGCGAGAAATTAAAATATGTGCTTTGTCGTTTGCTGTCTCCCTTTGCATATATGGGTGATCGGATCATGCATATAGTCATATATTATTACTTGTAAAGGCTCGTTCACACGCTTGTAGCTGCTTACAACCGGAAAGGCTAAAAACTGGTTTTAAGCTTCTTGCGACTACAGCTACTGTGCAGACGGTCGTAAGCAGTCACAAAATGAAGAGCCTGTAGCCTCTCCAGTCGTAAGCAGTTGTAAGTGCGTGAATAGGAGACAATCTTCACTGTTAATTCTAAGGTTACAAAATTATTTTATTAATTTTATTATTAGAACTGGAAAAGATGGCAATTGGATGTTTGTGTTAATTTCATCCTGGTACAACACACTGGGCTCTCAATAGTTCAGACAATTTTTTTTTACTTTTAGCTATTTTATACAAATTTTAAAATTTTGGTTGTCTTGCTATGTTTTCAATTTATTTATAAACCGCATAATTCCGACGGCGTTTTCGTGCAATTCATACTTTTTGTTCTCGCGGCCTCATTGAGCGAGCTTTTTTTTGAGTACCGCTGCACTGCAGAGAAGCAACACCCGCAGAGCTCGCTTCCGCGGGAGTTGCTTCTCCGCAATGTACCAGTGCTCGGAAAGAAGCATTCTCAACAGGGCTAATAGTTCACCATAGACAACTTTTTTGCTGGATGAACGAAATTAATTTTGTTTTGAGGTGTCATGTGCTGTCGAAACAATCCACGGTAGACAACATTTTTGAGGAATGAATCAACTAATCTCATACATTTCACCAATGTTTCTTGTGTGGCACACCAGCGTATGGTTAGTAGGCCTGTGTATAGGAAATGATTAAATATCTGCTGTGTATGCATAGCCATCCATATAACAAATCATAATTTTATCTTGAAATTCTTACACAAATTTTTGATAATTCAAGCAATATTTGTGGCTTCCTGGAGTCTGAATTAATAGGGAGTTTTAAAATAGCATACGCAAAGGCATTCACAAAGAATAGCGTTGTCTCCACCGCACGTGTGCTGAACACTAACCACGCTTTTTGCTTTTGCGTACGCCATTTTTCGGAAATTGTGCTCGTACACGAAGGAAGGGTCTTTGCGTTCCTCTAAGGAGGGCTCGTGATGCACGAGAAGTTGGCTAGAGCCAAGACGAGCACAGTTAGAAGATGGCGGCTCCCAGGACCGCGGCTGCTGCTGCTTTGGCGGTCCTCGTGAGCACGACGTCGATGGCATCCTCGCGACTGCGGTTTTCAATACAGGACAGCATTTCACTCCTATGAGAGGTGCACATCACAAACAGTTTGGAAGACCCAGCAGGTGGGCAACTTCCTTCTTGCAAGGCGCGAATGTTCCTCGGTGAAGGACCGAAAGTATGGTGTGTGAAGCTCAGTACACGAGACTCCTTTTTCCAAGGCAGCACAAGCAGACACGAACGGTCGATCGATCATGTTGCAATCTCATATTTAAACAAACCAGAATGCTACATTAAAATGGCACTAAATGTTACTCTAGACCAAAAAGCTTGTTTCTTTTTCTAGAGTTGAAGCATTTCGTGCGTGAAATAAAAATTGTCATTTAATCTTGATGGCGTTACAAGCACAAAATGCTGGGATTTTGTTTCATGGCCAAGAAGCGCTACTCAAAAACTCTCTCGCATGGCATGCACTAATGCAAGTGCTAGATTTCACGCTACCATGCTCTAAAATTGCATATGTTATTCTAATACTCCCTAATGAGAGTCTGCTGTACTGTTTGACTGCAAAGCAGTAATTACCTGACCCGGTTGAGTAAAACGGAGAAGTGACACTAATGCTCGATGTACGAAATATCCAATTACTTTTGGTGCGATGTAGCGCAATTATTTTCTTCTTTTCATTTTCTTTTATTAGAGTAACACATATTTTGAGTCTGTTGACAACCCTCTTACCAGAGCTGTTAACAATGTTTAGTATTTTTTGTTCTCTTGCGTAATTTTAATTGTGACATGCATGTGAAAGTAATGTGCACGCAGTTCAGAGCTCTAACAAAGCCTCTTTCGCATTTTTTGCAGCCATGGAATGTCCTATCCGATTGCGGGGCAGGTGAAAGACTTCTATGCAAAGGACTATCCAACGGACCATCCGATCATTGTAAGCTTCTGCAGCTGCTAATTGTACAGAAGTGAATCAAATGATATGGCTTTGCGAGACTGCCGCTGAGGTCATATCAATTGTTAGTATATAGCATGGGTAATTTGTCTGCTTTACTGAGATGGAGATCGCAACAATGTCTGTGAAAGTGGGAGTCGCTTACGGGAATCGCAGTGGCGAGGAATGGCAGTGGAAAGGGAGCTTACAAGCATGCTGTTACAAAAATGTGTCGGTGCGTGATTCTTAATGTGTATTCCAAGTGTCAGCTAATTTTTTTTTTTTTTTATTATTTACGATATTGAAATGAAAGTTTCACAGTTTATGGTGCTTAATCTTCTCTTTATAAATCTGATGTTAGATTTGATATACAGTCAAGCATAGATATATTGAATTGAAAGAAGATAGTAAATTGTTCGATATATTGGCAATTCAATATACAAAAGTGTGTTCTTAAAGGGATACTTCAACGAAATTTGCAGTATACCCATCGTGTTCCAAAATACTGTAAACGACTTAATTTTCGCGGGCTAAAATTTTTGCGAATTGGGCCAAGGCTGAAAATTTGAAATTATTCGCGGGTTCTGATTTTCGCGAATCGAGTGTAGCTTCCGTAGCGTTCACATATTGCCCGAATAGTTCGCGGGACATATTTTTCGCGAATCGTCGGCGATTCGCGAAATTCGCGAAAATTAGGTCCTTATGAAAATTTAGTCGTTTACAGTAGCTTGAATATGATCCACAATATCTGTAAATGATAATCGCACGTTTGTATTTTGAGCTTACCAAAATGAGCTTCCAAGAGCCGCTAAATACAGTAGAGCGTAGTTGGCAGAAACTGCAAACACCTTTATGCGGGATCTTGGCCGCGACCTCCTCACAGCAATACGACAAAACACAAAAATAAAAAAATAATAAAAAAAAAAATGGAAAAAGTTAGGCTTATAAAAAATATCTCTTGATCCACAGAAAAAAAGTAGATGTTTACAAATCTCTGTAATGCGAAATTGGAGGGCAACTCTTGAGGAGGAGGAGGAGGAGGAGGAGGAGGAGGAGGAGGAGGAGGAGGAGGGGGGGGGGGGAGGCTACGGAGGGGAGGGCATGCCCCTTCTCCACCTCATCCTCTCCTCTTCCTCCTCCAGCTAAATTTAGCTGAACAATTGATGCCGCGCGACCTCAACGCCAATTCAGTTTCACCACTAAACTTAGCGAGGAGAATGACGTCACATGACTTGGTGTCACGTCACCTATGAACAACTTCAGTTTCTCCCCTAGATTTAGCGGGAAAATTGATGTCACGTGACCTCGACACCAATTCAATTTCCTGCTAAATTTAGCGGGGAATTGAATTGCTGTTGAGATCACGTGACATCATTTCCCCGCTAAATTTAGTGGGGAGTTGAATTGGTGCTGAGGTCATGTGACGTCAATTTTCCCACAAAACTTAGCGCAATTACGGCGACGCCACAAAACACGGAAACGGGCGCCTAAGAGCTGCACTCTAAAAAGTCAAGCAAGCAACAAAGAAGAAAGCTCACTAAAGTCTGGCAGCAAAAAAAGAAAGGCAAAACGAAACTGGCAGAATAATAACGGTGAAAGATAAAGGTAAACAAAGATAAACAAGGTGTTCAAAGTGCCACTGCACAATCGTTGTTGTCAACTCAACCTGTTAAAGACTTTTTTTTTGGGGGGTGGGGGGGGGGAGGGGGGTTATGGAGTCGCACAGTGACAGCATGGTTCGTGGAAAGAGCACGCGCTACCGTTCCAACAGCAAGCACTCCCTGTCCTCCCTACGCGTGCATGCATGTCCTTCCCGTTGCTTTCGCCATCCTCCAGTTTTTTTTTACAGTTGCCGTTGTCTCCTTTTTCCCACAACTGCTCTTTTGCTGTGTCTCCCCATGCGTGTATGCTAGCTCGGCGGTCTGCCAGCCACGCAACGCAAGCTATGTGCTTCGTGCTTGCCGAGTGTCCCTGTCATGGGAGTTCAATACAAAAAAACAATTCACCTATACTTTTACATGTGGCTTTCAAGAAGATGTTTTGACTGTTCGATGTAAACAATAATTCGAAATACCCGAGTGTGATATAACTGGGCTCCACTGTAGCTTGTTTTTTAGGTTCACAATGCAATGTACGTGCAGAAAAAAAAGTTTTTTTACTCGCACATGAGGCATGGCAACGCACTTAAGAAAGCCTAGTAAAATAAACTTATAAGTATAAAAAATGTGCATTTTAGCCAAACCGAGATAGTGGCATCCTACATATTCTAAAGTATGTGCGTGTTAAATTTGGTTGTGATAGCACGATTTTAAGAATGGAAATTCTTGTGCACAAGCTGTGAGGATGCCCCAAAATTGCATACAAAGAAAAATTCATTCAAATGTTGCCATTGATATGTAGCTATACTTCTTCGCGGTGCAGAAACTAATATTTTCATAAATTTCCACGAGAAATTGAGGCTACAGAAGACTGCAATGGAGAGGAGACGGCAAGGCCTACTTGTCAGTGTGATGGCGGGCAACGTTGCAACTTGAAGAACCACGCGGAGAAAAATGGCTCAAATTCATGCTGTTCTGGATTGCCTGGAGGTCTTCAAATGCATATTTGACTAGTTTCAGGATTATAACCGGCATTAATTATTTTTATACATCAAGTATAATGATTAAAAAAATAATAAAACACCATAAAAACTCAAAATCACATTTTTCGCAAAATTTTACCGTTTTCGATCTTCATCTCACCTTAACTGAGCCAGATATATGTAAGCCATATTGACTTTTATAGGAAGAACAGTGGAGCATACGCTGATGGCCTGCCCTTCCGGCGTTCAGAAGATGGATCTAGATTCGTCGGACGTAGCCACACGGGTACTGCGGATCGACTTTCCCTCATAATTGAAGCCTGGCGATATAGCGGATTCTTGCAGAAACTATGGCTTCTACAAGAAGCCGTAAACTTCAAATTTCACTTTCTTCTCAGAAAGACAAATATTTTGACGAAATTATTTATAGGCATGCCCGGGAAATAGCATTTGATAGGTGGAGCAACGTTTATAAAAATCGGTGACCTTACAAATTTTGTTGGAGCTCCTTAAGAAATAAACATATTTTTACTGTTTCAATGTCAATGGCCTTAGAGATACTGCTTCTGGGATTCTATCACTTTTATTTTTATACATGTATGTGGCCTTAAATATTGGCCTAGAACTTGGGAAATACAATGTGTCCCCTCCAAAATTTCCAGTTTTCTTCCCCGCAAAAATAAAGTATGCATCGCCAAACGCTCATTCTTTGCCCAAATTTAGATTCAATTGGTCGGAACGAGATGCCAAAGCTTCATAACTAACCGTCATCTCGTACAAAAGTTATAATTGATTTTCGTAAAATTTCAATTGGAAAATGAGGCCCGTTCTCGGTAACTGGTGCCATTCAGCTCTACATATTCAAACGCTCCAATGGCCACCATTTTTCATTGAAATTATCAAAAACTTGTTTATAAGTTTTTAATGAGATAACAGTTCTAAAACTTTGGCATCTGGTGCGGACCAGTTGTGCTTTATTTGGGAGGAGGATGAGTGCTCAGCATGCACAGTTTATTTTTGCAACGAAAAAAAACCCAAAAATATTTTTTTTGCTACACACTGTACTTTTTGTTTTGCATTGTCACTGTACGTGGCCACGTAGAAGAGGGTGAGAGCAGCCCTCAACACCCGATTTTCCACTGGTGGTTTTCACGCAGAAGAAAACCACAGCCGTAAATATATTTGCTAGGTTTTCTGGGCTCTTGTAGATTGGGTAAGCATGAATGCCTCGTCAGTTTCCCCAAAAGAACTTGTACGTTCCTGGTGTTTCACCATTCTGCAACTTTTGTGTCCAGCCGCACGGACTGTCGGTGGTGATGACGTCGCCGGCCGTATTCAGCTTCACGTCCCGGATGTGTCCTGAACGTCACGTCGAAGCTGTCGAAGCGTTGGGTCAGTTGCACTTTGCCACCACTGCAGGACGCATTCTTTGGCACGAGGGTCGGGAGTAAAAGAAGAATCCGGTTGCGTGGGGATAAACAAGGCATGCAAGTCACAAAATACTTCTGATGTCAACGAAGGTCTCGGCTCGCAATGTTTTTGCAATCTTGGTGACAAAGAAATCTGGTGTAGTGTTTTACATTGAGAAAAATAATGAGCATTGCCTTTCTGACGTCATGGCAAATGGCTATTTAGTAGTAGCCGGTGGATAGTTATTCCTAGCAAAATGAATATTTAGTGCTGCAGGGGTTCTCAAACTGGATTCCGCGAGCTGGTCTCATGGGTTCCTCAAGCACCCAAATTGCAGTGTCCCCCCCCCCCCCCCCCCTTTAGTTTAACCTTCCATGTACAGAGCCATGGATTGAGGTGGTGTTGCGGGCAAAGCAGCCTCACCCTTCGCAATATGTATGGTATATATTTTACATTGTGCCCCAGGTTAAACCCTTTGCCTTCTTATCCTGTCTGTAGTCCTCCATTTTGTCTTATTCTGTTAGTGCAATACACTCTTGTTCACTGTGTGAACAGCTTGTTGGGTTGGCAACCAAAAGGGTGGGAGGGTTTGAAACTTGTTGGGGTTACGTGGCACGAAAAAGTACCCCTGATTTAGTGTAAACACTAACATTCTAGAGGGTACTGCGCTCAAGGAAATGCTACATCATTTTTTATTTTAAGTGTATTAGCACGCTGCTTTAATAACATTAAATCGTTAAGACCTGTGTGCCCTCCACGTTTTAATTCCGGCTGGGGCACTAGCGATGCGTACTCGCCAACTTTAATGCCGCAGTGGGTTTTCAGTAACTAAATGTTAAAGACGTAATCAAGTAAGCTGAATGCCGTTTCAGTGGGCTCTTGAACAAACAAAGGTGTCCTCAAACCGTGCAGGCGGCGACACGAGCAACTTGAAGGAGGCAGACGCTGGCAGAGCATTGTCGGATCTCCTCCGCAAGTACATGTCGGACCTCAAGGTGGACAACGGACTGTCTTCCCTGGGCTACAGCTCTGAAGACATCCCTGCCCTGGTGAAAGGGACCCTTCCGCAGGTACCGGGTTGGCACGTGGTACAGCTACTGCTTGCACCAACATTGTCTGGCGCCGTACACTCGTCGCAAAAGGTGACTGTGGCACTGTATTTCGTTTCCAGGAGAGAGTCACCAAGCTGTCCCCGCGCTCCCACACCGAGGAGGACCTGGCACAACTCTTCGAGGCTTCCATGACGGTGTACTGAGAGCCGCCGACGCTTGAGGAGAAATTAAATGCCCTTGTTCATTGTTACAAGCGGGTGTAGATGAGAAATTATTGTTCCAAGCTGTAGATCAAAAATTAAGCCAGTGCAGTACAACTGCTAGCCTGGGGTCTTTTAACGTGCATCACGCAGTAGTGGTACACGACCGCACGCCGGTATGATGCTCATCCAGATCGAAACGGGCAGGGATGGAGATTGGGTTCTGCAACGCGATTTTTCGCTCTACGTGTTCTGAGCTGGTGTGTGCTAGCCCACTCGGCCACCGATCCCCCCTCATGGCCTCGCAAAGTAACGCAAGCGCCATTTGGAACTTAGAGGAGGGAAATTCTGCTCAGTTCTAAAAATTTGGGAATAATAGGGGACTCCACATTGATAAATACTAGCAAAAGGCCCTACATTATTTGTTTCGCAGAAATTATAAAATATTGTTTGTGTGATGCTGCTTGGAGACTATCAAAAACTGAAGCTTGGGTGTGCATTTGTCCTGCACTGTGAATGACATGGCCAATCATGCAAAAGACAAACTTGCAGTGCACTGCTGGCACCACCTGTGGGCGTTTTGTGAGCATGAAAACAAACAAAAGCATAGCTAAAATTTTACTGTGCCAACACTGCACTAGTTTGGATCGGATTGCCGTGGCTTAAACCTTCGCATCAGACAGTCGGTGTAAGAAACAGGATCTAGTTATGTTGCCTTCTGTACTTGGCGACAACTTTTCTTGGCAATGCAGTGGAGAATACGGGCACGCGTTCCCTCTCTTATTTTGAGTGCTGAATAAAGCTCTGCGCTGGCTCTCCTCTCCACTGCACTGCCAAGAAAAGTTGTCGCCGAGTATAGAGATAAATTTCTGCGGCTTCAAACTTTGCTGGCCCATGTCGGAAACTTTTAGACGAAAATAAATTGTAGTCTTTGGCACATGGTGTTCTTGGATGTTGAAGGCCTCAACAAGCAGCTCTTTTGCAGTTTTTAGTGCAGAATATGTTATATGACTGCCACCTAACCATTAATGGTTAGGTGCCAGCGACAAAGGTCGACTGCCAGCCGAACGCCGACACAGTGCTCGTCTCTTCCCCGATTGGACACAAGTGCCAGCCAAACCTCTTGGAGTGCATCAGTGTTACTCCCGGCAGGGGAAAAACATCATGTGTTCAGATATACAGCGCAGACGCTCGCTTAGCCAAAGGGATGCTGAGCTGAAATCTGGATTCTCCATAACACGCGGCAAAAGCGTGCAACGGGATGCTACAAACACCAAAACATTACTCATACAGCGATATCTCGAACGGACGACCATATTTTTCAAAAAAAGAGGCGCATTTGGCAGGAATGTTGACGTCATGTTTCTCCGAGAAGGAGAGGGAACGGTCTCGCGGCCTTGAGGGAGCGAAGCCAAGAGAGGAGAAAACCAGGTATCTTGACGGTCACGCGGCTCGTTGGCCTGGTTCAATCTCGACCTCTTTTTCCATAAATACGGCCGTCCATTCGAGATACCGCCTTACTAGTAGTGTTGTAGGGATTGTAGCGTCCCGCCTACATCTCCAGCATTGTTTTTATGAAATCCAAATTACGGTTCACCATCCCTTTTGCCATACACTGTCTACTGTGCCTCACTCCAACAGGCTCCGAGAAAGTAAGTAGCATTTACACTGCAACCGCAGAGGCACCCACAAGCACATCCACAGAGTGCTCGGTGCTTGCCTTGCACGACACACGGCAACTTTGCACAATGCAGTCCCTGAATGTGTAGTTTCCCCACACTAACCCATTGTGTTACCACTGCCTGTGCCAGCTAGTATGGCAAAGAGACCTTTTTTTTTTTGCCTGGGAACCAGTCCAGTGTGCTTGGGGGGAACCTCGACAAGGGCTATGGGTCCAATGTTCTCGCACATATTGAGCGCCAATCATAGCTGTGCTCGTGCTGTCTTCAGTCTCCAAGGGTGCAGCTTTTTACAATGAATCAGATTTGCGCATCTGCCAAATAAGTCAAAGGTACCCCTCTCAGGCCATTTGCACCTACCTGTCCATGAAGTTAGCAATTTGTTTTCTGTCCCATGCCTTCATAACAACTGTTGCCCATTTTGCTTGGGCAGTGGCTCAGTGACCATGAGGAATACATCCCTCATCCTCATTACATAATGTCATAGCAAATTAGCCTTCTCTGGTCTTGCAGAGCCACAGGTCATCCACATACAAAGGTACCTGTTGGAACTAGTGAAAGAAGAGGAAGACACATGGGCATGTGCAATGTACATTTTTTTCCTTTTTATTTGAAGCGAAGAGGGAACTATGCGGTGAGGATGCAGGCACCTCCCACGTTCTTGATCTTCTCCTCCGCCGTCCGACTGAACCACTTGGCCTTGACAATCACGGGCTGCTTGGGCAGGGCTCCCTTGCCCAAGACCTTGTAGTACCCCTGTAACGACCACAGAAACACCGTCAATCTGGGGCACCTCAGATGTGCAGTCCAAATCTGTTTCACCATACCTAAATCAAAGGGTCCTTTTCTCGGATTTTAGACACCTCAGCTCAGATACCTCCCTACAAGTGAAACTGCAGTTATGTATTACCTATAATGCAGTAGGTAAAATGTTTTGCACGTAATGTTTGGCTTTAACAAAAAAAAAAAAAAAAAAAAGGGGTTACATTTAAAGGTAACTGTATAAACTATTGCCGCAACGCTGATTCTCGAAGAAATGTGTTGGCAATTCTCTTGGCACTTTAGTGCAGGGTGAACATTCCTGAAACCCCTCTTCTCCCTGGTGCAAGCAGGTCACTTGGCATGTGCATAAAGGATGCATGTGTACGGAAAACAACAGAGCCAGTTGTGTGCCCAGGGGCAACAACACCGTGCACTTACAGCCCGGTGACATGCGCCTCGAGAACGGCGTGGCAGGCCAGAGAACGGAACCGCAGCCCGTGTGCAATTCCGTTCTCGGCGGTGGAGGTAATTCCGAAGGCAGCCAAAGCGACATTTTTATGGCACCATTGAAGAATATTGTAAATATCTCCCTTAACCTCCCCTACGGCACTTGCTTATTTCTTGTGGACATAGGCAATTACTGTTTCAGCAAACTGAAAAAGTTTCCCCCAAATACTTACTCTGTAATCTATCTAATAATACAGAATAATTTATCGTTTCAAGAGCCCTAGTCGTCTATAAATAAGGCTACTATATATTTCTCGCTGTCCATGTTTTTGTACCCGTAATCAAAAAAGTCCTAATAAATCACGCGTTCCTATATGTTCTCTAAACCCATACTGTGTATTAATTACTTAATCGCGCTTCATTATAAAGCTTCAAAGTATTTTATGGATATTTTCCATTATATAAGTCAATACCAATATGTGACAAGTGTCCTGCTTTCACCCACCAGGGAGGTGTATGTGGCAGACTATTCTGCTGTAGATCACAGCAGTCAGACAACGAAAACTTCAGCATCAAGGAGTTTGCAGCACTTGCTAGTATTGCACAGAATGTTTTACGAGTTGTTTTCTACGAGAAACCCTTCGTGAACGAGCGACATGCTGGGAGCGCTGCTCGACGTTGAGGTTGTATATTCGCGGCATATCACCACCTGGTGGAACTTTTTCACACCCCAAAGTGAAAATACTTTAACCTCCTCTGCTGGTACAAGCACGTGCAATGCCGAGCTTCTATGCACTATGAAAATTAATACAGAACCGCGTCGGTAGCATGTACACTACTGATAGTGAGGAAAACAAGCGTCCCTTGGGAGCTTCTCACCGCAAATATTTACAAAGGCCCGAGTACAATCAACATAGGAAAGATGTACCAGTGGGGGCTCGAACCTGGGTAAGCGCGGTGGCAGTCGGATACTATAGCCACTGAGCTTTGTTGCACAGCTACTCTATAAACAATCCTCGCCGAAAAAAGAAAAAAAAAAAAGAAGGGTGGCAGACATTGTGCTTTTTGGTCTTTGTCAGCATAATCAAGCTTGTAAAATTTTTTTCATCCATAAACTAACACGATTAATTGCTAGGATCGTGATATCAGACAGCATGACATGCTGGCTACTACGACAACTTGTTTTAACTTTTGTTTGTTTTTAATGCATGGGAAAAATAGGGCAACACGGTCAAAGACACGTTCCAGGTGCCACAATTTGAACCATACAGGCCATCTCTAGGCTCACACTTTGCCTTTGAACCACCAAGACGGCGTAATGGATGAGGCAAACAAATACCTTTCAGTAAATGACGAGCTCGTGCAAATTAACCGAGCACTTTGTTAGTCACCTTACTACTTTTAATCTATCTAGCTTGTAACCAGCTCCACGATAATACACTGGGCTCTGGTCGATAGTGAACTGCGTAGACCAAGGGTCACCCGCGGCAGCCAAAGGTACCGTGCCCACTCACGTGCTTGACGATGTCGATGACTGGCGCCTTGCCGGCGGTGTCGTCCTTCAGCCTCTTCCTCATTTGCTCTGACACGAGGGACCAGATCTTGTCGATGTTGATGCAGGGCTTCCAGTAGTGGTTCTTTTTCAGGTGGAAGTTGCGCATGCCCACCTTTCCAAAGTAACCCGGGTGGCTGCACATGGGGAATCGGGGTTAGCCATGCATGTGGCAACCAAGGACTCTACTCCGTTTCACCTTACTCCCAGAAGCAGCAGACGCTACAAGCTATCCTAGCCAATTCCGGAGGCGGCACAGCGATACGCCTTCCGCGTATCGCTGCACCCCCTTCAAGGTCACATGACATTCGCACGGCCTTGGATTGGCTCCGATGGCTCGTAGCATCCGCTGCGCTCGGACGTAAGGTGAAACCGAGCATAGTCGTGAACGACGTCGTCTACCGCTTTTCCAGGTGCTACAGAACGAATGTTGCTGTTGAAAAATGGCTGCCGACAGAGGCATCGGCTTCCACCTGAAGACAGCACTGTTTTCCCCACCAACTGCCACCACAGATGCAAAGTGTGATGCAAACGCGGCCGGCTTAAGTGTGATGGGTTGTCGGCACTTCACTCAGCCTCATCCCATAATGAACAATGCGTTCTGAATAGATCCGAGTTGCTCTGGCAGACCATATCGCGCAACAGAGAGCAATCTTGGATTCGCGAGGCTTTCAAATGTCATGGGACGAAACTTCTCTGGAATAAGATTGAGTAATTATGTAACAGCCATTTGCTATCGACTCTGGATGGAAGTAATGATGAATACAGCATAACCTTTTGAATTGGGCAGCAGATTGCACCACCTAGCCATTGTAGTCGTTCTTACATAACGAAGAACATGTTTATGAACCAGAGGTCATGCGGGAGATCACTCAGGTTGACAAAAGATTCATACAATTTGACTGTCAGGCAGAGTTCAACAGTGCAAATACTCACTATTTGTCGAAGTTGATTCTGTGGTGATGCTGGCCACCAGCGTTACCGCGACCTCCAGGGTGCTTGCGGTGCTTTCCTGCACAATCATTCAAGATGGGTTGGTTCGCTTGCTCTTACGAAGACTGTCGTTAACGTGGACGAAGTTACCGGTCAGCCTACTTACCAACCCGACCATGTCCGTGGCTCACGTGGCCCCTGAGCTTCCTGGTCTTCTTTTTGTTGGTCGACTGTTGAACAAAAAAGATTGTTAAGAACCCCCAAGGCAAAACCAGTTGACATACAGTTGTTGCGAGACGTTCGTAAGCACGGGAATCGGCATGTTTCCACGAGCATCATCTAACTTCTTTAAACAAATAAAGAATACGATTTCTATTTTAAATTAACACTAAGTTCGTTGTATGTTTGTTCTACTATCCGTAACTGCTGAGAGTATTCTTATAATTTAGGATTAATCAGATTTAATCGAAGAAGCGCAAACGGTCAGACCTACCATTTCGCTTGAGCGATCCGGAAAGGGAGAGAACCTCAGCGCCAGTTCTCGCGGGTGGCAGCTTTCCGCGAGATGCCGCGAGATTCAAAACCGGAAATGAACACCATTTTGTTTCGATCAAGCGACGAATCAACAATCAACCGTACGTGGGGGGGAGCCAGGGGCTAGCAGCCAGCAGGTATGGTCCGTTCTGCGTGGTTGGGACCGATTTTAAAACGTTACTGTGTTGAAAGTAGTACAACCAGGACGGGCAACGGCCCGGAGACCCCTTCCGCAGATGTTGTGTCGCGTTTCAAACCGAGTTTGCGGCAGCTGGAAGCCGTCCGAGCAGCATGAGTGTCCACCGGACGCCACCGACGCACTCCGACGAGCACACTTCGGTCACACCACGGAGACCCCAGCGGCTCAAACGATCCATTCCGGTCAGCGGTCGACCCACAAACGGCACGGCGTCCCCGCTCGTACAAAAGCTGCGGGAGAAATTCGAGTCCGCGAAAGCGTCTCCCAATCAGAACGAGAGAAACTGCCGTCCGTCCAGCAGCAGCTTCGCCGCCGTGGTGCGTGACGGCGGTGTCGGCTGCGGGGAGTGCCCGGGTAACCTGTATAGCTATATCAGGAAAAATCTGCAGCCCACATCTCTCTCCAGTGTGTCGACTTCCAGCGAAGCCATCGACGTCGTCGACTCTTCCGATCCTAGACCGGAATCGGAAATCGTTCGGAATGTTCCTCGGAAACCGAACGCCGTCGAAGCTGCCATCTACGCACGGCCCGTCAAGTCGAAATCCTCCGTTCTCCAGCGCGCTCGCCAGTTCGACGACTCTGTTGTTCGCTCGTCCTCGTTTACGGAAGACTCCGTCAGGCGCACCGGTGCCCCGAACCGGCCCACGTCGGTTCTGTCCCCCGTTCCGAACGGGATGACGTCGTCCAACGGGACGGCGGCTCCGCCGATCAAACCCCCGCGGACGTTCGCGCACGACATCTACGCCAAAAACAGGCTGCTGCAGAGGAACCCGATGTACGGCCAGCACTTGCTTTGCGCCGTCGGCTCTAGTCAGAGCGCGCAGAAGAGGGACGCTCCCGTCGTGGCGGCGTGCCGCGTTCCCAGGCCCCCGACGACGAGGGTCGAGGACGACGCCGTGATCCACGAGTACGACGAGGTATGCGTCGAGGACGTGACGAAGGCCTCCTCCGTGGGTGCCGCGGCTCCTCGTCGGATGATGTTCAGGTCGAAGCTGCGGCGGAGCATGAGCGACGAACACATCTACGCCGAGCCCGAGCCGCTCCCCGCTCGGCGCCAGACCGCCGACGACGACACGGCTGTGTTCAGCCGTCCTAGCGGACGTGGTCGGGAGAGCGCTGCAAAGCGCGAACTGCATTACATGGTGAGAGAAACCCCGCCACCTTAATCATCCGAAACGGCTGGGCTAAACCCTGAATGGGGGATGTTTTCGTTCTCTAGCTGCGGGCAATGCATTCGTGTGCTATGGGCGAAAACATGATACGTAGCAACAAGTTATGTGTAACGTTGCTATGGAGGAGATTCAATGGGGCTTGATTAAAGTAGATGCTGATAAAATGCGGGGCAATGCTGCAGTTTGCTCAGGTGGGGTTGAAGTGACCGCGATCGCCATTGGCCAGGCAGCTGAACAAGTAGATACTGCTTACTAGATCTTCAGCAGTTCGTTTGATGAGCGTCGTTTGGTGCAGAATTGATGTAGTGCAAAAATAACCACCTTTGCAGTGCAGAGTTCATATTGTACTTTTACATTGCGTCCTTTTATTTTCTTTTATAAAGCAGCTCGTGAGTAGAACATCTCTTATCATTGACACCTTTGGGACCTAACCAAAGCATGCCATCATACATCACAGATTGGTGCCGGATTATTTCTTTCTCATCACAGACTTTTGCTTCCAGAGTTCACCGATTGCAGGGGCTGGCGACGACGAATTGTTCTCGCCAAGCTCTCAACGATCCAGGGCGTTCACTTATCAGGTCTGTCTCCCTTCTAAACATTCCCCCCCCCCCTCCCCCCTTCGAAAGATTGCTGGAGGTGTAATGTGATGCCAACGTTCCTTTGCCAGATTTTATTTTCTAATGAACCCTTTGCGAAATTGAAGGCCATCTTGTGACTAAAATTGCAGTCACACTTTTGCCATACTAGTAATGGTGGTAATGAAAATACTCCATTATTTTGTCGTTCACCATTGCTTTCCTTTGTCGACGGCGAACAATATCTTCTTTGCCATTCCCTTTTCGCTTGATTCACTTATATTTTTAAAATTTTAACAAAAAAAAAAGGTGTTTTTTTTTTTAGGTAAGTTGCCCGAGCGTGTGCCTATAGTTTGATTCAATTTGAGCCTGACGCAGACTTCAATTTTGGTTCGTGCATGGCATTTCCCCGACACATGAAATGTACTGGCCTAGAGTCATCCGCGGCTTCATTGGCCATAGAAAATATCGTAGGTGCAGGCACTTGCAACGATTGTGACAGAGCAGCCAGACTGAACCTCGGAAAGGGTCTTTAATGGTGGGCACGGCTCCTTTTGCAATTGCACATCTTTGCCCATTACTCTGCCGCTTCGCTCTTGCGCGGGAGCCACGAAGGAAGGCCCACAGTCTGGCGTGCCTGACGCCCCTCCGCACATTTTCCAGATCAGGGACGCCATCAATCAGTCCTTCACGTCCGTCAGGAAGCAGGTGCGGACGGCGGCGGCCAAGTCGGGAGACCAAGGTGACTCGCGCTGATTTACGGGCACCTGTTGCACCTTTTTCTCTCCTCTTTTTATTCCCACTACCGTTTGTGTGCAATCGAGTTGCTTGTCGTTGGAGCGACTAAATTCGGGAAGTCCAACCTGATGATAATAATCCCTGGAGAAGGGGAACAAAAGGGACAAAGGACAAACCTCTTCACTGGAATTGGAGAGGTCCCCGGTTCAATACCAGGACCAGGCGGATTTTTTCGGTGGCACTCACCTTGCTGTGTTTGGAGATTTGTGTTTGTCCCTCTTGTACCCTTCTCCAGGGATTATTATCATCATTCTTTTCTAGCTCGCTTGCACCTTTGCATTAATTGCATTATCACTCCAACCTGATGCCTCCTTAATTTGTTTCAAAGTATTTTTTTTTATTTTTAGTGAGTCATTGATGCATAAACTCTTTAATTAAGGGGGAACCATAAATCAAACTATGCTGAGGTCTAAGTTTGCCAACTGCACATCATGCAGTTGGCAAACTTGGTTGGTTCAACCTAAGGGACACGAGAGAACTAGCGCTTGACGGCAACAAGCCGGAGATATGATTTTCGCCGTGAAATTTCAAGATAAAAGAAACATCAAAACGGACTTTTTTTTTTTTCTTCTTTTGGGAAAGTTTGCCAACTTTATTGCAATCCGTCCTGCCTCAAACGGCGCCGGTACGGCGTGGTTAAATGGGTTCCCTGATTGGACAAGCGTGTGAGTCACCGGTCAGGTTGCACGTGCTCACAGTCATTCTGTCTGCAAATATTTATGCTCACAATCGTAACCAGCCAGTTCATTGATACAAATTATCCGACTCTCAATTGGGAGATCAGCGTGTGTTTGGAGCATTGTCAACTCTGGCAAATGGCTGCGACAAACATTGGCGGCAAGTGCCAGCGGAGGGACTTCGACCGCTTGCTGTGGCCGCAAGTTGAGAAAGTGATTGCTGTTCAATTTTTTTCTTTTTTAATAAGAGTTTGCATGCAGAGTCAGAAACTACGAAAAACGCTCGTCGGTAAAAATCTAGACAATTGTAATTTATCTGAAAAACATTGAATTTCGAGGTCACGATACAGAATAAAAAGCAAAGAAAGAAGGTATTTTACTAATAATGTTTGTCAGAGTATGGAGTCAGTGGTCGTAAAAAAAGGCCAATTCATTCTTTTTTTTTTTTTTATCTCGGGACTATTGACAGAAGGGTTTCTAGTTTATCTCGTCAAGGTTCGTTCAGTGCAACGGGCCCATGTACTTCTGGATTACGACAAAAGCCACAGTTACGGTTTCCAGTTTGGACCATACATTTTGTGCTTCGTAGGGGGAGGCGGGGTTGGGCTTTTATCACAGTGAAAGATGTGAACCTGTAAATTTTATAGGATGAGGACGGCAGCTGAAGTTTTTATGCGGCCAGGAGTTTGGCTATTCCAAAGCAGCGACATTTATTGAAGTTACACTTGTTTTCAAGATTTGTCGGGGGACAGTTAGTACTGCTAATTGCAAGGGTGCCATATGCAGCAACAAAACTGTCATTCAAAACCGGTATTTTTTTTCTTCTTTCTGAATTTAGTTTATGTTTTTGTCAACATTTTTTATTTAAAAAAATAAAACAATAGTATTAAACTCACACATTTGGAGAATTGGAAATCTACACAAAAATAAACTAATAAACCTAGAATTTCCAACGAAAAATGAACTCCAAATTTTATAAAATATATGATTGATTGATTGATTGATTGAAAAACACGGAATCCTACTTATACATTATGAATGTCTCTAATTGTCTAAGCAGTGTTTAAAAGAAATTTAGAAACACATTACATAGTCTCTTCAGGAACACAAGCAAATTTGGAAGTTATATTTTTGTATGTGACCCACGACACATGCATCGCAGGCACTTCTGACCAAGATTTAAATCAGACACTCGATTTCTTATTATTTAAAGAGACACTGCAAGGAAAAAAACAATTTTTTTAAAGGGCATAAATAAGACACATTATTCCCCCAAAAAAACTCCCCCCCCAAAAAAAATTTTCACAATATTTGTGCACTTGAACAGGCTAACAAGCGTAGTGCCTCCCTTTCGCATCATCTGGTACGTCTAGTCTGGAAGTCTAACATCGCCTGCTAATCATGCGAGCAGATGAGTGGCAGCTCTGGCATCGTCTGCTATTTTAGAGCCGTCTATCGTTGTCTGCAATGCCTTGAGACGCGGACCCGACAGCTGCGCGTCGGCGTCCGTTTTTGCTTCCGTCCGTCTGCCGTCGATCCGCCGTCTAAAAACTCCTACATCGTTCGGAAGACGCAACCATGAAAGCAGCATTTTAGCATTCCATCATGCCCGAGCTACGGTCCAATACAAGCGTCTGTCAGCGTTTATCAATGTGCGTAATAAGTGACCGAGAGAGAGAACAGAAAAGACAAAAAAATAAATATGCAGCCTTTCTAGTTTTGTTGCTGTTATTTTTTTCACATGGCATCCGTGAGCAAGGTGGGTGAGCATCATGACTCACAATTAAAACTCGACGTAAAAGCATTCGCCTTGGTTGACCAGGTGCACTGCAAAACTTAAAACCTTGCCTTTCGAGGCGCAGTGACGGGAACATACCTTGACAAACTTAACGCGAGCCGAACGCTCTATCGCCTCCAACCAAATGGCTCGCAAATTCTTACATGTGTAAGTATTCTTGATATTGAAACCGTGGTCTAAATCATAACGGTCACACAATTTACAGAGCAGCGGAGCTTGTTTTATGGGAACCAACATCTTTATTCAGCATCAACACGCGCAAAGGAAGAAATCAAGCCAGCTGAACCAAAATAGTTGGTCTGGGATTCTAGGCTTAGGCCAGTCCCGCTATGAGACCAAGGCTTCCGAAGGCGCATATTTGTGGCAGTTGTTTGCTGCAATCTACGTCGGTTGAAGAGATCTTTCTCTAAACACGTCTATGAACTCGAAACAACTCGCACTCATAAAAGTTCGAGAGATGAACGAGCTTTGCTCGTTCATCTCGCAAATTCGCAAAATCTCGCGTTAGTTTTTTATGCCTTTCAATCTATGCCCTTCAAAAAACAATTTTTTTTTTCCTCAGTGTTTTAATAAATGAGTTAAACTGTGAATCAGTCGGCCTCGCCGGTGATGCACCGCGGAACACCAAAACGGAAGAAACAAGAACCTCAAGTGTTTGCACTCTATAATCGCGTGCAATGGGTTTGACTGCGAAATCACGTTTTCTCTTCGTCTCGAATTCTCTCCAGAAGTTTCGGTTTTGACTCTCGCTAGTTTATGCGCAGTGTTCATTTCTAAAAAAATACAGTTAGAAAATTCTTGACAAAAAAAATTGCGCAACATATTAAATAAAAATTACCAACTGTTCACGCTACGTTAGGCAACTGGTGGACTCGTAGTGACCTGCTATGTCGGGCAGTTGTGCAGAGTTCCTTTCGTTGCCAGGATGCCTGGACATCCTTAGGGCGAGTAAAGCTGGTCCATTGCCGCAGGGTAGCTCTCTCGCATCCGGGGTGCCAACCAGGGGCAGACTTAGTTTGAAAAAGGCAGAGAGCAACTTCCCCCCCCCAAGCCCCCCAAGGTCAACTTATTTTTAATACAGATATTGATATACACCAGCCAAAAGTTTATTTTTTCGTGACATAGTGAATATTGGGTCAACAAAGTAGGAACGTTTTGGCTGTAATGTCATATCTCAACAGACTCCATCTTCATCTCCCAAGCCTGATCCATAAATCCAGCCCTGGTGCCAGCCGGGTGAGCATGGTGCTTGACAGAGACGTCCCCTTTTATTTTTCCTCGCAGCAGCGGACAGCAGCAGCGAGGTGTCGGTGAAGGACGTGCAGAAGCGCCTAGTCTACGTGCGCTCCATCAAAAGGGTGCGTAAAAGAATGAGTGTTGTGACACGTTGCGTGCTGCACGGTAATGATTCACACAGGACTGCGACAAAGGAGAGACTCGTAATTTTGGTGCGAGCACCGGCCTCCCTTGACGGAAGCAAAAGGCTGCGACCCTCTCGCTGTCGCAGCCTTTTGCTTCTCATCACCGAGCGATGGTCGAGCATTCCAGTTGGTTGGTATAGAAAACCGAACAAGTGCACTGTGCCTGTGCTTTCGTCTCAAAAGAAGCCTATAAAATCTACCTCTTTTTTTTTTAAGGGCCGACATTTTCCTCGAGAGCTCATTTTGACAGTCAGTTTTGTGCTTCTATATTTTGGAACTACAGTACAATCCTATACCTCCGGAAGAATTGAGAGCGCTTCCTGCGTTCAAATGGCTGAGTGTCCTATCAAAATTAGGGGATTTCGACCAAAAAAAAATTGGGGTGTATGTATGTTTATACTGCCTAAAACTTGTCTCCCAGCTGTAAATGAGAAATTTAGCCAGTGCAGTAAAGCCGCTAGCCCGGTACTTTTAATGTGCATCATGCAGTAGTGATGCACGACCACACGCCGATACAATGCTCGTCCAGATCAAAACGGGGAGGAGTGGGGGTTGAACCCAGTATCCCTAGGTTCTGCAGCGCGAGCTTTCGCTGCTCGTGCTCCGAGCTGGTGTGAGCTAGCCCATTCAGCCACCGACCCCCTGGATTTCGATCAACAGAGAAAAGTGTATGCTTCTGATGTCACCAAACAACACGCGAGCGCGAGTGTAAAGTAGACTCGGCGAGAATTTCGGCTCGCTAGACTATGCTCTGACTTTCCGGTGCAGTTTGACCACACGCCATAAAAATTGTGGGTAACGCCTCGTGCGTGTGTGGTGGGCAAGCTGCTTTCCAGGATGTACATAACTCGTTGCAGCTCGTAGATTAGACGGCGATTTGTTTCCCAAAAGCTTCGTATCCTTTGCTTTAAAGCTTCTGTAACTATTGTTTGATTTCTCAAAGGCATACATGGAAAGTCCGGTTTCGGACTGCACCACAAAAGCTCCGGTGCTCTCCTTCGTCTTTGTTGTTGGCTACAAGAGCATCGACGACCACATGCCCTCTCAGCCCGAAGTGCTGTACCGGTTCCCCAAAGAGGTGGGTTCGTACTGTCGAACACGCGTGCTTACCCTCATTGTTTCGAGACTTCCCATGTACGACGTGAGGCGGTGCTCAGGAGCCGTCGACACGGCTTTTGTTTGCTCCGAAGCAACAGGATGAGACGGATTGTACAAACTTCGGCTGCTTTCTCTTTCTAACCTCCGAACCCCTACGTGGAGAGTGATTTTGGTGTCCGTCCCGGGTCCACATACATAGTACTTCCCGTCCACATGCACAACCAACCTGTGTGCTGAATCTATATTTGTATCTGCATTTGGAAATATCTTTGTTCTACACATTAGGCTCGTGCTTGTGCAGAGATAACCTTCCTAATGCCACGCATTGCGTGCCTTTCACGGCATTCTGTCGAAGCACTCGTGCCAAGTTAGGAGTGAGCCAAACCCAACGAAAAGCTTAACGGATGCCCGGAACAGACTTTGTAGGGGCAGGAGGCTATTCCCGCGTGTGTCATAGAATACGTAGCCTGTGGGAACGTGGAACTCCAGTGATCCGGTCAGCACCCTGCGCGGCTTTCTTTACAGACCAGTGACTACAACTACGACCCCCTGGTGATTGCGCATCTATGCCTTCCGTTGGAATCCGGTCTAGCAGAGTCGGAGTCTTCTGAAAGGTGAGGATGTCAATTCTCTTCCCGTTTAATGTCTGGTGATTTACAGCGAGAGTGACCTGCTAGAACCAAGCTTAGTAGCTACAACAAACATCTGTGCAGATAGTCTCTCTAGTGACCGTATGGAAAAGCGGATTATTTTTGAGAAGTTTTTTTAGTAGGACTGTCGAGAGAGTTTTGAAAAACCACTGTCGGGACAGTTCTGGAAAACGACCATATCATAATTTTTATGCTTTCTTTGAAGGAGGCACTTGTGTTGACTTTTCCATGGGGCATGTTTGTGGTCAATGGTTGCAAGCTGCAGAACAAACTGAGCGAGTGATGAGGTTTCGAGATGTCTGTTGCTTAAAACTGGGTCCTGGGCTGTCTTGGGCACATTACTGCTAAAATGTAACAGTGCGACAGTTAGAGTGACTTGGGGGAAGAAAAAGTAACTTTGCTACAGTTACAGTTACAAAATTGAGAGAGTAGCTTGTTACGGTTACAGTTACTTCGCTAAAGTGACACCGTTACTTTGTCGTTACTTTACAAAAAAATGCTTTCGAAAAGCCTGCCTTTCCGTGACGTCACGGCATCGAAAAGTGCGGGTACATTTGAATCTTGGTTTTGGCGTCATTTTTATTCGCCAATTTCACAGTGACTATTCTGAATTTCACAATACTAAATAGCATACTGGAAAGAGTAAAGGCCGGCGATTTCGAAAATATAGTTAGTTGGGGTAGCTAAAAAAAATCGCCGGAGTATCCCTTTAATTTGAGACTGCAGCCAAAGCTACAAGCGCGAACTAGTTCGCATTCCTGGCTTTGAGACATGCATTTCTAGCGCGAGTGCTCGTTCTGCGGAAGAACACTTTAAAGCAGCAACCTTGAGCTCTCCTAATTGTGGCACTGGCTACAGTCTCAACTTGAGGGTGAACAGGGTATAGTTACACCTTCGGGGAAAACAAACGTGATATTCAGATTTACGGGATTAAACTAATCTAGAATTCACCTCTAACTCATTTTTTTTTTTTTTAAGAACCTCTTCAACTTTCTTTTAAATAGTTTGTCAGGGAGAGTAAAACAACTACTCTATGGCCAATTGACTTTATCCAATATTTTCCGCCATTTAAAAAAAATAACTGATGCACCTCCAGTAATTCCTGGCCCCGGTGCAATGCATACCAGTTAAAAATAAAATCACTGCGTTGGGGAATTCAAGGACATCATCAAAGATTGTATTAAAAGTACATGTACTTTACTGTTAAAAGTACATTGTATTTATAGTAGTTACTACTTTACTTGAAGTACATAACATCTAATTTACTCTGTACTTCAAGTACTTTTTATATGTACTTTACCCAACACTGGGACGTTACAGTTAAAAGTAATTTTCACTAAGCAGCAATGAGTTAGAGTTACTAGTTACTAAAAAAAAGTAACTTATTACCGGTGATGCATTACTTAGGAACTAGTTACTGCCCATGACTGGTTCTGGGCCTCGGAAGCATTTTGCCCAGTATCACGGCATTCATATTTGCAATGATATTCATATTGCAATGATATTCCAGCTGACACTTCCAACTGGAATCGTATATAAGTAAGTCCAGCTGCAATTCTGAAGGTGCATTAATTCTAAAGTTTGGTCATTCCAGGTGGAATGGAATAGTTTTAGAGTTTTCTAGATGGAATTTGGAAACCCCAGCTGAAATCATGGGAAGTTTAACTGGATCCAACACTTCCAGCTGGAATCATTTCAAGTTCAACTGGACCCAATGCTTGCCCAGCTGGAACTATAGGCAATCCAACTGGATCCACTACCTGTCCAGCTGGAATTTTTCTATTCCAGCTGGAAACATTGCTTGTCCAGCTGGAGCCACTCCAATTCCAGTTGGAATCAACTGATTCTAACTGGTACCAATTGGTTCCAGCTGGGATCAACTGGTACCAGTTAAAACCAGAGGCTGAATTTTTGCCTGGGTTATTACCCTTGCCTCATTATGTGCTAAACTCCTTCCAGGCTCTGTGATATCATGTAGATAGAAGGTTTGGGTTCTTGAATGTTGCAATTTGTTATTGGAGTAAATGCGATTACATGTTCTGCTTTGAAAGTTGAATGCCTCTGGGATGGCATGAAAGATGTTTAAAAAGGGGGCTGGCTCTGCAGAAGTGCAGATGAGGGATGTGGACTTAATATGAGCTTTGATGTTTTCAGGGAGATCTTCTATTTCAGCCTGGTTCGAGAAAATGGGGAGAAGACATTTTTTCACTGCCTCAAAACATCCAAGGTAAGCCTGAATTTGTTGTAGTTTTATTTTAACATTGCCTCCTTTCACTGCTTCATTTCGAACGGCCAAGCACGTTCGAGTTATCTCGGTGGTAGTTTCTACCTATGGTAGTTGCCAAAGGAAGAAAGCCTTGAGCTTTCAGGCTGGCTTTTTATTTTCTCTTTGCTTTATTTTATTTGGACAGTCTACCTATGAATTTCTACGAAATGATTGAGTTTCGAGAGGAGGGTAATACTCCATCAACCTGCACCGAGGTTCTCACTACAACATTGCAATTGCTCACACTTTTTCCATTTACATTCTGTGCCAGGGGTTTTCAAACCGGGTTCCGGGGAACACAGGGGTTCCACGAGCTGGTCTCATGGGTTCCGTGAACATCCAAATTGCAACCCCCCCCCCCCCATGCCGCAGGCTGCGCGGCAGGACCATGCAAAGCGCCTTCATCTCACCTTGTACTGACATCGCGACTGATATGGTGTGGATATATGGGAAGCAACACAAGCGAAATTGCCTACCATTGTGCATCTGTTGCTTCTCGGTTGGCGAATATGGAGGGGGGGGGGGGAGGGGGTTCCGCGGCAGTTTTTGAGGCTTCCTGGGGTTCTGTGAGACCAAAAAGTTTGAGAACGCCTGCTGTGACCTAAGGCAGGCTTCTGTACCACTAGTTGCGTAGGTGTGCGGTGCACTAATTATGTGCAATATATGTAGCTATTTCCCACTGATTTGAGTCTGAAGGCAGTTGCATGAAAGTAACGCATTTCTTTATACTGTCTCAGCATTTCGGGTTGCGTGGTAATTGCTCTTTGTAAATGATGGGTTCCCTCTTTTTTTTTTTTGTCTTTTGCGCCCAGTGTCCAAGCGCCGTTGTGGGCGACGGTGTCCAAGCTCCGGTTGTGCTGTGCCTCGCTACGGAGGCTTCTGCTCCAGCGTTCTATCACAAGGTGGTCATTTTTCACCCCTTCTATCAAGTGCTAAAAATGTCTTCTTTCAAGTCAACCTGTCTACTTTTGAAACACCAACAGGGGAAAGGTTACTACCGTACTTACTGGGATAATGAACACACTCGCATAATGAACGCACCCCGCACAAGGGTACCAATATTTGGACTTTTCTTTTTCCCCTCGCGTAATGAACGCACCTCCAATTTTCGGCTCCGCGACTCTCAGATTGTGTCCAACTTGCTAGCCACCAAGCCCATTTTCTTTTGCAGCCAAGCGGTCAGGAAAAGTTAAGCCAAGCCAAGCCACCCCCGTAATGGATGCAAGTGCATAGTTGCGGAAGTGATAAACCGTGAAACCGAGTGTCGCACACACTTGCCGAAGCTTGGGTCGAGGAACTGTCCAGCACCAGACATTTTTCGCCTGTCGGATGCATTGACGTCAACAATTATTGCATCTTCTGTGGTCCACTTTCAGACAGTGAGATCGTGAAAGTGGCTAGGCCTAAGAACGTTTGCGTTGCTCTCTATGCTGAGTGAGCTTCGTAAGGCGTTTTCCTTCGGCAAAAGGCACGCCGAAAGCGCCCTAAAAAGGTTTGCGATTTATAAAACACGGTTACGGTGGCGCGCCCCCGACCAGCCGTGGGCGCGCCTCCACCAGTGGAGACATGACACAGTGCCTTGCCATGTCATATTGGCACCTAATATATGACATTTGCACGGAGTGGGTAAATGTAAAAAGTTTATCGTGCTTAATGAACGGACGTCCCAGATATGTGTCAATTTTTCGAGATAGAAATTGCGTTCATTATGCGAGTAAATACGATACTCATCCCCAAAACGTTGCCCATATTCAAAATATGGCCACTACCCGAAATGTCACCCATCCCCAAAATGAAAGATACCCAAAACGTTGCCTCTATTCAAGATGTGGCCACTACGCAAGATGCCACCCATACCCAAATGTCAGAGATACCCAAAATGTTGCGGCCTCAAAAATACGAAAACATTGGCCACCCCCTCTTCTTTTTGCTAATCGTCTGCTGTCGGTGGGGTGAGCATCCAACTGTGACTGTGTAGAGAGCAAGCTTGCCTGACTCTAGGGGTGCTGGTGCAGCTGGTGTCCGACCTGGAGGAGCCCTTGGCCCGCCTGTCCGAGGCCGGTTGGTCGGACCTGCTGGGCTCCCTGGCCAAGCAGTGCGTGCCTTCGCCCGGCTGCAAGCTGGTCTGCCAACGGCTGTCTTCTGTAGGTCCCCACATAGGCTACATGGGACAGTGGATCTCTAGCCCCGGGAGGGATCGTCCAAACATGCAATCTGTCGCCTCCCTAGATTACAAGCTTCAGTTGAGCTAGTTGGTACATATTGACGAAGGTCAGCTTGCACTTACAGAAACGATCAGAGAAAGGACGGAACAGCCGATTCTTCGAACAGTAATTCTTCTTCATATGCATAATCGTTTTCTTCAGACACTGTTCGCGTGTACACAAAATAACTATTAGTTACAAAAAGATTAATGCGAGGAAATTATTAAATTTAACATTACTTGCCATAATTTATCCTACAAATCATCTCGGTGTGAATATACTACTTCTTTAGTGTGGATAGTGATGACTAAGACATCCAACTCCTTAGAGTTGGATTTTTGTGTATTCTGGTAAAATGAAGACTTTTTTTTTTGTCGAAGATGGAGATAAATTTTGTATTATTCTCGACTCTCTTATTTGTAAAAGCTACGCTGACTGATTGACATTGACGAATGGAAGACAACATGGTCAGCACGGATGTTTTTTATAGCTGGGTACTCTGCACAAGAGCTAAGGCGAAGGGAATTTGAAAGACGGCGACTAAATGATTGATACGGTGATTGAGGAGATGAGATTTAGAAGCGTGCTTGAAACAAGAAAATTTCCACCGTGTGGAGCAAGCTGATTGTAAACATTGTTTCCACGGGGGGCAGATGCTAAGTTGCCCTGGTGAAACCTATCATTACTGCTATATAGCATAAAAATACTCGAGTAATTATTTTTTAACTGATGAAAATCAATTAACGAGGTATTCGGTGACGACCTACAAAGAAAGAATATAACAATTAAAACTGGGACAACACAACCACATCTTTCAATTTTTAATTGTTTTATTCTTTCTTCATCCATGACTTGAACGAACATGCTCTTCTCCATTGCAGACCTACAAAGCGGTGCTCTTTAGGTGTTGTCAGTTAACATTTTAGAACACTTACCAAAAGCTGAAAGCCTGCATGCTCGCACTTGAAGAATACAGAATTAGCAAGTTTTAGTACTCTCTGTGTGTCTGTGATTTTCTATACCAAGTCTTTTGTGGAACATCTTGGAAAAAATAAGTTTTATAGTTAGTTGTAATGCATATGTCGTTATAGCTTGATTAGTGTTCTCCTCATATTGAATAGCCTAATTCTCTATGTAAGGAACCACGATGAAGTCTCCAATCGGTGCCTTAATTTCTCTCTCAAGGGTCAAGGAGACGTCGCGCTTGCCACGGCTCGACCCCTCGACGACAAGTTTGACTGGGTGAGCCCACGCCGCCATTTTCCGTTTGCGCTTTCTTTGGGAAAGATGGAAAGCGGTTGGAGTGCCCAACCCATTGCCTCGTCAATCGCAGGTCAAGCTCACTCCCCTCCTGAGCGTCCTGGAGGACTCTCTCCTACTCAGGATCATCTCATCCCTCGTCCTCGAGAGAAGGATCATCCTGGTGTCGGCCAACCACGTGTGAGTCTTGCCCGCGGCCTACCTCCACTCCGTCTTCTGCGAGGCAGAAGCTCCTCTGGGCTTCGTTCTTTCCCCTGCTAAGAGGGAAGGGGAAAAGAATGAAGTGGGGCCCACCTAAGCATGTGACTTGCCGTACACCGTAGCATACACAGTCCTCGAAGGTGGGCTAACGATGGAATAGTGGAGCTGAAAATGGTGGTTTTCGCACAGATTTCACACTCTGTCTTCTTTCCGCTAGCACAGGGTGTCTCCAACTTTTCAGTCTCTCGGAACCCCTTCCCCCTTGACTGGTAGCCGAGGAATAGCTCCCGGTCTCAACATTGGTGCAACAAAGCAGGGCAGGCCCCTATAGACCTTGTAGACAGTAATGCAGACTGCTAGCGAGTGCTTGGCTCATAGTTACCTTAAAATACCGGGGAAGCGCTTGCACCACTTTCAATGAAAAATGGGTTAATCTAGACGTGGGTGTTTGTCCGGTCAAATCGGTAATAACCAAGATGGCGGCGGTCAATAAAGAGCTTTGAAAGCAGGGTGAATATTTTTGGCTGATGCCGGCATTTTGGAAAAGATGTGCACTTAGCCTAATATTTGCAGAATTCCTAAGTTTGGGATATGTTCATAGTGGGTGCATGTCTGAATGAAGTGCTTTCGCGGTATTTTACGGCAGGGGTTATCGAACTAGGTTCTGTGGAACATGGGTTCTGTGAGCTGGTGTCATTGGTTCTGCGAACACCTAAATTCCCCCCCCCCCCCCCCCCCCCCCCGCCCCCTCTCGACGCTGCGGGCTGTGTGGCAGGATCGTGCAGAGCGCCCCCATCTCACTTTGTACTGTCATCGCGATCGTGATATGGTGGGGATATATGAGAACCAACACAAGCAAAATTGCCTATGATTGTGCTTGTGTTGCTTTTCAGTCGGCAAATATGGTGGGGAAGGGTTCCACGGCAATTTTAGAGGCTTCCTGGGGCTCCGTGGGACCAAAAAGATTAAAAAAAACCTGTTTTACGGCATACATCAATGGGTGGCTGAGATCTGCCACAATTCTACTTAAACCGGGGGACAGGGGCCTTGTCAAGCTGCTCGACCAGGTTTTTTTTTTTTTTTTAAAACACCTTACCTAGGGGCAAAACAGGTCGAGGAAATTTCGGATCCAGGAACATGGGTTCCCAAACTAGGAACTTACCAGTTGGAGAACCCATGTCTAGAAACATTTCAGCCTTTCCACTCTGGTGAAGAAGGAAGATCAGCGAAGCTATACTATGGTTGGACAACCTCGAGGACGACCTCAGGGACGACATCTAGACGACCTCAAGGATGACGCTTAGGACGACCTCAAGGACGACTTCTGGGACGATTTCGAAGACGTCTAGGACGACTTCTGGGACGACCTCAAGGACGACGCCTAGAGAAATTTAGCCTTTCCATTCCAGTGAAAACCAGAGTGGAAAGGCTGGAAAGGTGGTCGCCATCTATGAGCAAGGCCAGCAAGCCGATCGTCTGGTTGCCGCCGTCGCTCATAGATGGCGGTAGGTGTCCAGAGTTCGGTGTCTTTTTTTTTTTGTGGGGGACACGATCCTGGGGAAACTAGCCCTTAACAGCTCCGCTGTAAAAAGTACAGTGGAACAATGTCTACCTTTCTCTCTTGTCCAGCCGTAAACCTTTCCTCTCGCCTCTCGTACAGATTTGGGTCATAGTCCACGGGAGCTTGACCCCCGTCCCGTTGGATGCAGGTTGCTACGTGGCTGGGTGGAGGCAGTGGAGTCGCTGCTGTACCCGTTCAAGTGGCGCCACGTGCGGGTGCCCCTGCTGCCCAAAAGCCTGCTGGTGCAGTGCTCCTCTCCCGAACCCTACCTGCTGGGTGTGCCCGACGCCCTGGCGCACATGGCCCTCGAGATCCTCTCCGGTCCTGTAAGCGGTCCCGGCCCACTCGTAGCAAACATTCGCAAAATGCCTTCATTCTATCAGGAGTTTTTTTGTAAGTGGGCTAACATCTGAGTGCAATGCGCCCCGCTCGGTATACGTTGACATGCGTTGACGTCGCACGAGCCGCCGTTGCGGTGGCCTCGTTCTACAGCACCCAGTTCGCACCGCCAAACATGTTTTACAGCAGGGCTGTTACGGGCTAGTTTTCCCAGTTTCGTGTCCGTCACCAAATAAATGTCAACACAAAACTCTGGACAGCTACCGCCATCTACGAGCGACGACAGCAACCAGACAACTGGCTCGCCAGTTGTCTGGTTGCTGTTATCACTCATAGATAGCGGCAACCTTTCCAGCCTTTTCACTCTGGTTTTCACCAGAGTGGAAAGGCTGAATTTCTGTAGGCGTCGTCTGAGAAGTCGTCCTCAAGGTCGTGTCGGATGTCGTTCTTGAGGTCATGCTAGACATCGTCCTTGACTTTGTCCTTGAGGTCGTCTGATAGGTTGTCCTCGAAGTCGTCTTGGGAGTCATTTTTGAGGTCGTCCTATACGTCGTGCTCGAGGCCGTCTTAGAAGTCGTCTTTGAGGTCGTCCTAGACGTCGTCTTTGAGGTCGTCCTAGACGTTGTCTTTGAGGTCGTCCTAGACGTCGCTTTTGAGGTCATCCTAGACGTCGTCCCTGAGGTCGTCCATAGGCATCGTCCCTGAGTTTGTCCTAGGCGTGGTCCTAGAAGTCATCCTTGACGTCGTCCTAGACGTCGTCCTTGAGGTCGTCCTAGATGTCGCGCTCGTTGAGCGCGCTCTCTGGCAGATGGCAAAACCACCCTTGTTGCTCCATTTAGCTTGGGCAGTTTGGCGCGGAGGTCCACATCAGTCAAAAAAGATATACAAAACCTTTTTTTTTAATGGGTCAAGCAAGAGCCATATGAAGTAGCACCCGTGCAGTGCACTCGTCCGCTTGGTCCCGCACTGGCTAACGTCTGTGGAGTACAATGAAAAAACTAGCACAAACAACTCACGGAGTGGGGTTTGTGAGGGACGTATTCCGTGCTCCCCGGTCTTCGTCAGCATGGTCATGCGGTCGAGAATTTTCTATCTTTCCTCGCGCCGTCTCCTCCCGGTGCACAAAAAATGTGACCCCTCCCCAGGTGCTGGTGGTGGACGTGGATCGGGGGGCCCTGCTGAGCGAGGATGAGGACAACCGGGACGTCATCCCCAAGAAGCTTCAGAAGGCCCTGTGCATGGCACTCAGCCTGGCGAAGAACATGACTGGCAAGTAGCCCTACCCTCCCTCCGGCGTACCTCTCTGCTCGGGTCACAAGCTGCCCACCTTGCCCTGTGTATCGGATTTGAGCGCGGGTCCCCAGAACCCGGCCCGCGGATGGACGCAGTCTTTCCCGTGACGCCCGGCCCGCGGCCCACTGCTACCAATGCAAAAAATAATTGTGCTCGTTAAAATATCGGTGCCATGGCACGCACTAGAAACACAAATAAAGATATAAGAAATAATGAGAGAGAACTGCAGTGTTGTGCAAATACTTTATTTTTCAAATAGTAGTTTTGAATAATCCGCTGTTCGATATTTGCTTCGAGATAAACTTTGATATTCATATTTTTCGAAGTGTTGACCGCAGTGGGATAGCTCCGTTGAGCGTGCTTCTTACCAAGCACCGGTGCACTGCGGAGAAACAACACCCACGGAGCTTGCTTACGCGGGGATTGCTTCTCCACGGGGCACCGCTGCTCAGTGGTAAGAAGCACGCTCAGATGTCCTTAAGAGGAAAACCCACTTTCAAAGCTGGATGGCGCACACGCACGGATGCTGCGTGCAAAAAGAAATGGAAACTTTTTTGTGAGTGTTGGTATCTATACTACAGTAAAGTTTTCAAAATCTAACCGCGGCTATTGTGCGAGAGAATATGTTAGGCAAAGATGTCCTGACAACTTACGTTCGTCGTTCATGATTGTGTTTTTGTATTTTTTTTCTTCAAATTCTGGATTTAATAAAGAACATTTGCATATAGCAAGATGACTTATAAATCCCATCGATTAATTAATGCTGGGCATCCCCATAGGTTTAGTTTTATGTCAAATGCATCATTCACTTGCCGTTCCCATGTAGGCAATGGACTCATAAGGAGTCAATTATTGCACTTAAAAATGAAGTCCCGTAATATACCGAGTCATCGCCCGACCCCCCGCCGCCTGAAATTCTTAAAAAACGTGGGGTGGGCCATGTCTCGGTAGGTGTGCAAAAAGTTTAGAAAAAGCTAAAAAAATGCCCATTCTTTTGTGCACATCTAGTGCGGCTGCACAAAAGATACGTTATGCTAAACACTAGAAGTAGTTTCATTGTTTTATGTAAAAAATGCTCATGAAAGAATGTTTTACTATCACAGTCCATTGCTCGCACAAGCACGATGAACTCCGCCGAACGTCATACAGCACGAACATTTGTTCCATGAAGGCACATTTCTAACACCACTATGTTCCCTTCGTTAATAAAAAAAAAAAAGTCAACAAGAAAATACGCAAACCAACCAGTTGCAACGTGTGAGCGAGCAAGCAAGTGGACGAAACATGCGACGAAGAGCGACGCGGCAATGCTGGGGAAGTGGGAAAGTGGGCAATCATGTTGGCAAGTATTTCGGCGTCGGGCCAAGTCGGGCGCCTTGTCAATCGCAGGGAGCAAGCTCTGGCGCAACCTTCTTGTTTGGTGCATACTTGCGTGCAGCCGTGTGCAACGTGCTACCAATGCGGGTTGAGGCGGCGTTGCTGCGTGGCGTGGGCGTCACGTGCACGAACACGGAGCTCAAAATGGGACGCTCTCCAGACGTCTCTGTGTGGCGTTCCAGCAAATCTTTATTTATTCGATGGCATTGTCTTAAACATTGCGCAAGTTTACCAACCGCGGTCGCAAGATTCCGGGAGAAGGAGCGGGTACGCGGTGGACCTTACTTCGGCGGAGACAAACTTTGATCTTACACTCCGCGGTTGCATTCCAGGATGTGGGGAGTTCGCTGACCTCGCGATCCCTGAATGGGATACTGCTCGTGTTATCTTTCCAACAGTGTGTTTTTTTTTGTTTTTTTTTTTTCGAACAATCTTTTTATATGCAAAACAAAATTTTATTCTGTTACCTCTATTGTTTTCCTTTTGCACGCATGTACGACGACTTTGGGGTTGCAAAAATTGGGGAGGAAAATGCGTAAAAAAAGTAGTGTCTTTCCCTCTTTCGTTTTACTTTGTCAGGGTCATCCTTCAAGTATAAGGTCGGCGGCCGCGTCATTCGGGAAGTGTGAATGTTTGCGGATCACGGAGTCCGCGTTGGGGTGTTCGTTAGGGGCAACGCTATTAGATTACCTCAGTTACGGAACTGCTCATAGATGCCGCATGCACGAACAGTACCCCCCTCACTCACCAGACCTCGCCAAGCGTCGCTCGACGCGCCGCCAGACGGCTGCTTTAGTAACTGAATCCGGAGACATACGTTTCAATGTTACTAGAAACGTATGTTTATTCTTTCTGTTTTTATTAAAAAAAAAAAAAAAAAAACTCTTTTTGTAGTAAATTTTATTGGAGTTTAGTACAAAATGGGGGCGCCTGATGTTTTCTAAAATCTTTAGTTTGCTAGGTTTTGCGGCACAATAATATATTTTTCATACAACCATGCCTCACCGGTAATTTCAGGCAGTGCGTCCCGACCTAGGTTCATCTTAACTTCGGGGTGATTTCACGGCGCGTCCGCTGGGGAGACGGGGGTGGCATCCCTGTAACCCTTTTTACTGTATCTGTTTCGGCTCCAATATGACCGATTGAAGCCAAAATAGATGTTTGGTGCAGTTCCTCGAGTGACCGCTGCAGGGTAAATGGCGGCGTTGTGATCGCCATTTGGCGCTTCAGCTGGGCTCTTTGAAACGCATAGTTATGAAACGAAAATATAGATGGCGCTTCGAACGACGCTTGGCGGATAGAAGTGAGTGAGGGGGGGTACCCCCCTTTCCGGGAGTTTCACAACTGAGGTAATCTAATAACGTTGGTTAGGGGTGAGTGATCACCTTGCTTTTTCTTTTGGAAATCAATATTCGCCCAGAAAGTGGGGTGGGAGATGACTCGAGACGGTATGTGTATTTGTCCACCTCACATTTCTTTTTGAATTTTTGCTCTAATTTAAGTCTCTGTATTTGAATACTTCTTTAGGCTTATTTATTTAGTATTTCCGCGTTTATATTGTCTTACCTAATTTCTAGCTCTTGAGTGTGCAACAGGTCCCCAATTCGGTCCCCTGGTCAAAATGTTGGGAGACCCCTGGTTTAGACGAAATGTTCCGAAACTAAATTTCCGTCGGTTGCTTTCGGAATTATGACATCACTATCTGAATTGGCCCTTCCCGATATTCATTGTCACCTGGTGGCTCAAACTGCACTCTGAGTGACAATAATGAAAATGTTGCGTTCGATCGGGCACCGTCACTTTCATGCGTCATTAGCAGACGAGGATGTGTTTGTCGCCATTCTTCTTTCCCAGTTTGTTTTGGTTCCTATGATGACAGAGAGGTGCAGGTGTGCACGAAGCGCCAGTTGTAATTTCCTACATTGGGCATCTTTGGAGCCGCCCGTGTGTTGGCAGGTCGATTTGACCCTAGTGGTGCAAGTACATTTCGGAAAGGAACTTTCTCGCTGCGGCGATACTGTGGTGTCGGGGTCAACCTTTTCAGACCTCCTCGATCCACTCGTGGGTGTGAGGAAGCGTTTGCTCGCACGCTCGCATCTTCTCCTCGCACCGGCCAAGTGACAAGACGACCCGTTGGCGTCCCGCAGATCCGACGGAGCGTGTGCGAGACATGATGATCACGGAGGCCTTTGTGCGGCTCTTCGTGGAGCTGGTGGGCCACTGCGACCAACACGTCTCCTTCCTCGACGGCAGCGGCTGCGGCTCCGCCTTTCAGGTGGGGGAGGCTGCACGGTGCCGCCGGTTTCGCTCTGCAGCTTTCGTGTTGGCGTGACGGATCCGAATGTGCCGGAGTTGGGACGGGGTAACGCCGGGTATCGACGAGATTACATGGTTACGTACCGACAAAAATAGCGTTAATTTTTGCGGTCTTATAGCACACTTGTTTTTGCCTAGTACTGGGTTCTTTGCAATCATGTAACAAGAGAGATCTATGATGTGACCCTGGAACTGCATTTCATAAGAGAGAAGGTGTCTGGGTATTTGCAAGATCAATGGTACATACAGTAAAACCTCGTTATAACAAAATGGGATATAACAAACTAATGGATATAACAAAGCAATCATAATTCCCCTTGCTTGCTAATATTGGGAAGAAATGAACAGTGGCTATAACAAACTAATGGTTATAACAAAATAATTACGACCGCTCCTTCAACTTTGTTATACTAACGAGGTTTTACTGTACGACTATGTTTGAGAAATGGTCTTCCATAGCATTGTCAAAAGTTGCCAGTAAAATGGCGTGCGAGAAGAAAAGGAAGGGGACTGCAAGTGTTTCTCTCGACAGATGGCCCTGGCATTTTCTCTCGTCATAAAAGATTTAAAGAGGTTTTAAGACCCACAAGGTCCCAAGTTTCGCCAGCGCGAAGCGACCTTTCACGATAGTTTGCCTCCGTTCATTCAGAAGTTTCTCAACGTCCCAAAGTTTTGTAAATTGTGCCATTCGGGATTTTTTGGAAAAGTTAGGCGCTCCTAAGAGTGAAAAGTATCTACAATTACGACTCGCATGTAACCGGTATTCTGCGACTAGCAGAATTAATGTGCTGCCAGTTCGTTACTTGCCGCATACTTTAGTGGGCTTCAAAAAATTTTTATTGGATAAAAAATTTTTATAGTCAGAGGAACCATTGCTTTTCAGTAGGCATATTTATTCTAATTCTCCTATCTCGGTTATTAAGCTTCCAACATTCTTCTGCCGTTTTTCGGTACTGGTGCAGTCGGAGGCGTGTTCCATAGCGCCGCTCACGATGGTCCTTCCCGCGTTTGCACAGAGGGAGGCCTTTGTGAAGGCGCCGTCGTCCAGGGGAGCCCAGATGTTCCTGCAGTGGTTCGTGGAGACGCAGGCCTTTGAGCTCTTCCTCCAGGAGCGGGTGGAACGGCTGAGGCAGTTGGCCAAGACGCCCCAGCACCACCTGCTGCCCAAGGGTAGGCCACCAATTCTCTCGGCTCCATCTCGCTCGCTCTTGACGGCCCCTCCTGGGAGAAGCGATAGACCCTTTCCGAGATTCAGTTCGGTAAATTTGATTGATTCATCATCTCAGTGCGTGGCATCTGTGCCAGACTGATGGCGGCCTTCTTGAGGCCGATGAAGGGAGAAGTTGAAGGTACTGCCGAGCAGAGGGTGTATGTGAGGCCCACACGTTCGAGACGTCGATGAAGCGCGACAAATGAATTACGTGCGATGGCTGCGTAAGCGTTTATTTCGGAGCGTCGTCCAGTCGAGTTCTTGCTGCATGTTTGACCCTAAGCCTTTTGGTGGCAGAAGATTAATCGAGGCGCTTATAAGCCCCCACTTTGTACTGGTCAGTTCTTACACTCACGCCGTCATGACTGAAACAAATCAAGAAAGAATTATGAGGTGGTCGGAGAACCAATCCTCATCTACCGTATTTACTCGCATAATGAACACACTTTTTTTCCTGAAAAATTGACACATATTGGGGGGGGGGGGGGGGGCGTTTATTACATGGGGTAAAATTTTTGCATTTACACACTTCGTGCAAATATCGTATTAGGTGCCAATATGACACGGCAGGGTGCTGTGGTACATCTCCAGTAATGGAGGCGCACCCACGGCTGGTCAGGGGCACGCCACAATAACCATGCTTTATAAATTGCAAACCTTTTTAGGACGCTTTCGGGGTGAATTTTGTCGAAGGAAAAGATGCCCTACGAAGCTCACTCAGCACGAAAAGCAACACATCCGTTCTTAGGCGATATATACTGCTAGTATTTGGCGGGCACGCTCAGGTATGTCCACGACTACACGTATAAGAACTCGTGCGAAGTCGAACCCCTGACCGCAGAAGCCCGCTCGCATGGATCCAGTTTCGTTCACGGAGACAAGGTATGTACCAAGTCCAACCCCCGACCCGACCCCCAAAGCGGGCTCGCAAGGATCAAGTTTCGTTCACGGAGAGGCTGCCAAACAATCGCTGTGCCGTTCTGTTACGAATTAAATAAATGCATTTACTCGGAGTGTATGAAATTAGGCCTAACCACTTTCATGATTTCACTGTCCGAAAGCGGACCACAGACAACGGCTTAGTTGTTGACATCAATGCATCCGATAGGCAAAGAATTTCTGGGGCTCGGCAGTTCCTCTAGCCAAGCTTCGTCAAGAGTGCGCGACACTCGGTTTCACGGTTGATCACTTCCGTAATTACCCGACCTACGCACTTGCGGCCATTACGAGAGCGGCCTTCCTGACCGCTTGGCGGCAAAAGAAAACTGGCTTGGGGCTTGCTAAATTGGACACAATTTGAGACTCGCGGATCCGAAAAATGCAGGTGCATTAATTACGGGAGGAAAAAAAAAGTCAAAATATTGATTCCCGTTGTGCCTTTCATTATGCGAGTGCGTTTACCATGCGAGTAAATGCGGTACCATTGTCGTGCGAAAGTAATGGTGCCTGAGGAAGTACAGTTTCCTAACCGCCGTTATCTTGTCGAAGGTGAAACTGCTTTTTGAGCCACTAGATGGCACTGAATTTTGAAAAGGGTCCATTGTTGCGACCATCCCGCCTACGGGAGAGGCTGTCCAACTTCTGAGCGGGACTGAACATTTTATGGAAACTGTGGAGCTGGCTGTAATTGTTTTGCACCCTGGTCTTCTTCAAACAAATTAATGACAAACGTTGGAGAGATCTCGCACGACTCGCCTAATCCAGACTTTGGGGGTCGGCATGTTTGCCGAGTTTTGTACGGTCATCCTCGGATGTTTTTTTCCATTTAACTCTAACGTTCCGAAAGGATTGGTCACCTCTTTGTGCCGTGGTGTTGAAAGCTGGTCATTCTTTCTGTTGCTTTTTTTTGGGGGGTCAACCTCGCATTTTGTTTTGTTTGGCAGTTTGGAGGTATGGCGTTTAGGATTAGGAAAGTGAAGTTCTTTCTTTTGTGCGTGTTTTGCTCTGTAGTTGGGGCACTTAAAATGTAGTCTCGACACACCCTGCTTTGTCGTTTTACACATTTCTCTTCCCTTTTTTGTTGCACAGGCTTCTTTGAACGTCGCGCCAACGAGTACCTGCTAGACCTTGAGCAGTCTGGGAGGGGCCTTCGAGAGTTTGGCAAGAAGGTCAAGAACATCGGTGGGTGTCCCTCTGCTGCCAATTCCTTTTGGACTCTTTTTCAACCCTTTCAACCTCTTTCAATTCCTTTCTGCCCCTTTCAATTCCTTTCTGCCTCTTTCAATTCCTTTCTGCGTCTTTCAGTTCCTTTCTTTCTCTTTGTTCTGCACTCTTGAGCTCCAGCCATGCTTAGGCAGTAGGGACGGCCAGAATAGTTTGTCGGGTATGGTTGTAACTGCAATGCCCAGTATATTCTGGGAGGATGTGTTTTACTTGGCGTGCTTGGAGTACCGAATTGTGCTTTTGATTGCATTTTTTTGTTTTTTTTATACCAGAAATGTTTGGGACTACCGACTAAACTGCCTGACTGACCGTTGCAACCTTTGTTTTTTAAGCAAAGTGTCGAGTTTTTGTTTGCTCTTTCTGCTTGAGTAAGTAATCTGTAAATTTTTTAGTTGACTGATTTTTTCTCACTTGAAACGTCTTTTACAGGAAACGAGAGAAATTATGTTAAAAGAAATGCTTAAATATCCTTTCAAAAGCGTATTTTGTTTGTGTCGGCTGTTCTTTAACTTTTTTCATATGCAGTAGAATGTTTTTGGTGCCTTTTTCAGGGTTCTGTGCTAATAGTTATACGATCCAGTTAAAGACAGCACTTTTGGAAGCCTATGGATGAGAGAGGAAGCAAATCTCACGCAGCAACTTATTTTGTATGGATTTTCACGGCTGTGGAGAACTTGTATGTTTATTCAAAGACAAGTCGACATTTCTTTATTTTCTAATTGTTCGTAAAATCAGGGGTTGGTCTATAATCGTAAGCAAAGAATGTCGACCCGTAAGAGGAAACAAAATTTCCAAGCTCATCGAGCTAACCCACACACTCCCCGCATCAGCCGCTGGTCCTGGCACGCCGGTGCAAGGTGGAGAACCTTGATGCACCCGCCATGCACGGTGTACAATTACGAATTTTATACTAAATGAAGTTAACTGAAGAGGAAGTCGGGGAAACCGAACCATTGAGCACGGAACAAGCGCACGTGAACCCTGAAGAAAGAGACGGAAAAATAAAGGACTTCCGCAAAAGCTTGAATCGCCTCTAAGCCTAGCTGAAGCTAGGTCATGCCCACCAGGACAAGAATAGCGAAAAGGAAAGCAGGAGGGTGGCTGCATTGGGCGTCAGTGTTTGGACATAGCAGCCAGGAAGATACATGCAACAGGATGAAAATTAATGTGCCTAGGCTTGTAAGAGTTCAACAGGACCGGTGTTTGTGAGCTTAGCAGCAGGGAAAAGATATCACCATATCAACAAGGTTTCATTGTATTAGTATATTTGATAATATGTTATAGATTGTATAATATAAATAAAATTCCTCTCCAAATCACCTAATACTCTTGGCTATTTTTAACTGCAGACAAAGCTCGGTTTGCCTTTTGAGTGAGCCAAAGTTGTGGAACCTTGTTTTACTATATCTGTACGGAGCTCTATTTTCCTGTAAAAACTTGTTTTACTATATCTGTACGGAGCTCTATTTTCCTTTAAAAACTTGTTTTACTATAACTGTACGGAGCTCTATTTTTCAGAGATAGTTCTTAGCCTGGATTTGACTTCAGCTTGTTCTTGCTTCCTTCTTGCTTCTAGGAGAGAAACTCCGGAACCTGAAAGCATTCCAGCGTGACTGATGCCCCTTTCAAGGGTGTCCTTGGTGGATGGAACTCTTTTTCCCTTTTATTTGTTATTTGTGTTCTACATGCTTTGTTTCGTGTTACGACAATTCATACTTTTTCGGAAGCTCTTCTTTGTACATTTGTATTTTTAAGCCTCGCGATCCATTCGCCCTTGTGTGGCATCCCAGCCGATGCCACAGAACAAAGAGTTTATTTTAAAGTTTTGAAAGGCTAATGCCGAACGTGTTGTATTTAATATCTTTTGGTTGTTGAAGAATCGAGTGGTAGAAGAGCCATCTCAACACTGCCCCGTGCGACTATTTTTGTGGCAGTTCAAACTGCATTGCCGAAGACTCAAATGATTGGCTTAAAGACAGACGACCAGTTCGCGCTTTCCACTTTTCCCTCGTTTCCTCCTCTTGTCCCTTCTACACTGACCACCGTTGTCTTTTTACTCCTCCCCCATGGTGAGGAGAATTTTCTGCCTTGCAGAATCTCGAGTCTGGTCGTCGGCCTTTAAAGACCCTTGTTTCTGCTTCGACAAGGGGACCAATGTCGCGCTTATATCACCTATGCGATTGTGTGTTTCTTAAAGGGACACTGACAAGTCAAAATTATATATTCTTTTATAGTCCGAAACAATTGAAAAGGATGCCTGGACATTACCCTCGAAATTCAAAACTTTGGAACTCAGTTTTCGTGAAGTAAAAAATAGAAGTTTCCGTGCGATCCACGCCAGTGTTTGACGTCAAAGATTGAGTTGTCGTGCAACTCGAGTTTCTCTCACACCTCCGTGTTGTGTTCACCCCCGTCCCGCGATCAACCGCTCCCTGCGTGCCACCTATTACTGTGAGCAGACGACGCTTCACTTTCGAAGTTCCTTTTAGGGCTCTTTCAGCGATACCAAATTCTTTGAAACGGTGTGGGGTCGAATAGAGTGCGCAGTGGACTTTTGTGAGCGACATGGGGGGCCACATCTTGCCGGTTCTACGTGAAAGGATGCCCTCGTGGAGTCGCATCCGAAACTACGGCACACAGGCACCAAACCCAGTTGTTTAAACCGTATGACAATTTCCTTTTTGAAGTCTGAGAGGTCGTTGGGAACCTAAAAAAGTGTACTTCGTCCGATTACCCGACTCAGTGATCATCATCAGTGCTACATGCGTCGAGCGCCGCCATGTTTTCTGAGGGAGGAAAAAAAGCCAGGGGGCGACATCACTCCGGACTTTGATATTCAGTATTTCGAAAAGAAGGTCCGTAGTGCGTTCACAATTGCATTAAAAAACATGTTTTACGAATGCTGTTATTAAATATTATAGAAACGTTGCTTGCAAAGCTCTTAAACTTCATAATCGATTACGTCACAAAAAAAAAGAAAAATAGGTGCAAGGAGGTAAGGAGTGGGAGAGAAAAGCAGCAAAAATAAAAAGGCACGCACATGTAGAAACATTTTTTTTTTTTCGCATTCTGCTATTTTTTTTGCATGTCTATGACTACAACTTGCATCATTTTTGACAACAAAAACAAATACGATTTTTGAGGTGTCTGTGCCCCTTTAAGTTGAACTTAGGTGTTGGTTGTTTAAAATTCTTTTAGCTTAGAGGTTGTGCCCAAAAGTGTGGGTTGTGTTCAGAAAAATCTTTTAATGCCGTGAAATTGCACCCCTAATGCTGAATATCTGTTGGGGTTGCTTCATCGTCCAAGATGTGAAGCTTCTCTGCCTGTTTGGTTGTCGCAATCTGTCATCGTAATGTACCACATTTTTACAAAAACAATTAGGCTATTTTCTTTTTTTTTCTCTCTTTTGCCTATTGTTGCTTGTAATGAACCCTTCCCATTCATTTGGTATGTTTTAACAAGGATCATCCAGTTTCCATTTTGTTTCTCATGTTTTTTTTTAAAAAGAAATTGTAATCTGCAGCAGAGCAGGCTTGATGTCTTTAGAGAGATTGATTCCTTCGTTGTGTTTTCGTTTGTTTGTTACCAAGAAGTCTTAAATGATGCGGGGAGTTTTATATTAAACTGCATGTTGATGGTTGTTTTGAGGGAACGCAGCATTAACGATACAACCAGGGGCGGACGTACCAATAGGCAGGGTACCGTAAAATACCGGGGAAGTGGGACCAATTCATTTTCACTAAAAACTGACTTAATCTAGACTTACGATAGGGAGCTGCCTTGGGCGGCAAAATTTTTGAGGGTGGTCAATTTGTGGCTGCCCCCAAATTAGTTGACGCTTCTTTTAAAATCTAGCTCTGAATTTAGCTACTTTGGGAATTCTAGCTCCAAATCTAGCTACAGCTTTGCTGGTCTTCTTTCTTCACCAGAGTGGAAAAGCTGACAGTTTTTGTTTTAGTTATACTCTACATATAGGTACATAAATGGTGCCATCGCCCCATCACTGGAAGTGCGCCCCTGGCTTCCGGGCGCGAGCTTCATATTTGTGCTTTTTAAAATTTTAACTCCAAACCTAGGTACTCCCCCCCCCCCCCCCCCCCAAGTGGCACAGACAAAACTTTTTTTTGTGGGTTGCTCAGTTTGCTGAGATTTCCACGACTTGGAGTGAGGAGGGAGGAATTGGGGGTCAAGATGCACGTGTATATTCTAGGGTCGGCTGAATTCCGGGGGGGGGGGGGGAGGGGGAGGCTGAAGCCCCGTAAGCGTCCCCCCTAACTATGCCACTGCCCCTCCCCCCACTCCTCAGGGTAATTGACCATGGGGAGCGAGTGTTGTGGGGGTACTGTTAAAGGTGGCCTATGGCGGCAATAGACTAAGTCCGCCTTTGGATACAACTGATATGATTACTCACAAAAATATCTAACCTTTTCATTGCTGCAATTTTGTACATCGGGGCTAGTGAGCTAGATATCTCCTTTTCATACTGTTTCGGAGCCCAGGATCAGGGATTTAATATAATAATGCCTTGTTTTGTACAAATTGTAAAGTATGGATATGTGAATATGGAAGTTGTGAAAGGCCTATTGCATTTCTTTTTTTATTATTCATGATCATTTTTTTCTTTTCCATTTTGTACATGCATGTGTATGCAAGTGATCATTTTTATATTTTGAGTGTGACAAATACTGCCTTTGCCACTTCATCACTAATGTATAGTGCCTCTCAAGCTATTTACTAGCACGCTAAAACAGAAATTAAATAATAGAAAGCTGTACATATTTTTTTCGGAGTGATGCTCTTTAACGGGTTTGAATTGCTACACTGGTGAATGACTTTTACAGATGTTTTTTTTACACTTTGTACTGGCAAATAAATGCTTTTCTAACATTTTAATGTTCTCACTGTGTCGTATATTAGTCACAATGTAGAAGAGGTACCATTTGCTTGGCTGATATTTAAAAATCAACGTGAGCAAAATTGCTTTGGTTCTGTTGGAAGAGGCACTGGATTATTTGGGATCCTGGGTAAAACCTGCACCGCTTTTTTTTTTTTTATAAATGTTAACATTGTTTTAATGCAGAGCACAAGTTTGTCTGCTTCTTTTGCATCTGGTGACGTCAGAATGCCTAGCTCTGATTGAAAGATAGTGGGTAGACCTCAAGGCATCTAGCATTGAGGTCTACCCACTATTCTTCAATCAGAACTTGGAGTTTTGATGTCACCACAATTCCTGCAAAAGAAGCACACAAACTTGCACTCTGCATTAATTTGAGCGTCTGTCTACCATTTAGATGATGCTTGTAATTCGCGCCTTCAAAAAGTATAGAATATCCACAAGATAAGTGAACCCTGTTTTTTGCACCGCAAAAATGAACTATACACCGCGGAGAGCTCAAACTCCGGAGTTGCCATGTTAGTTTGCATCTATGCCGATTAAGGACGGTTTATTGATTAAAGAAACGTGTATGACGGTTTTGTGAGTGATCTTCCTAATAAATAACAATGCCTCAAAATTGCTTTTTATATTAAAATAAAATTTAAATGTTCAGAAACAGGTTGGGAGCTTTACATTGCAGCTTTCACGGCATGTGTTGGGTTTCACAGCCTCTCTGATTCTTATTTTTTTCGTATCTGTGAAAGCTGCTGTAGAAAAAGGTTTTACATTCACCAGAGTAGGTGATGTGCTGTCTTCTTAGCTGTTCACACGTGCACAGTTGTGTTGCAAAGTGGCACTCACTTGTTTTAGCTGCATTGCTCAGCTTGCCAATAGTGACGCTTCTATCCAAGTGTGACTCGACAGTTGCTGTCGAGCAAATGCTCATCAGCAACTGACGCTTGGCTCCTCCCGCATTGAATACGTAGCCAAGAAGTATGTCACACCGCAACTTCTGCTTGAAAAAAACAAACAAATTTCATCAATTCTTAAATTGTTGGCCATGGTACAGTCAATTCAAGCGGTTGGTTAATTTGTTCTCTCCTATTTTTACAAAGAATTGTTTACAAATTTGAAATCGCTCGCTGAGAAGCGTATCACGCGTTATGTGCATTCGGGTCCGCAAAAATTAAACATTCAAATGGTAGTAATTCGTAGCAAGTCTGTTCCTCATTTTTAGGGGACGTTGATGTGTCGCCATCTTGCTACATTTAAGACTTCGAACTTGAGGGGGTCTCGTACGTTTTGCGTCGATCGGGTGAGTAAGCAGGGATTCAGTTAAAACGATTCCGGAAGCCAGCCACCGCTTGTTCCTGCCAGTTATTTTGAAAAAATGTTTGTTTACTGGTTTATAAAATTCAAAAAGGAATCGACTTGGGACTAATAAGAAACCAGCACTCGCAGAACACCAACAGGATACGGGGAGTTGCTTTCACTGAAGTGTTTACCATAACCACGAGAGCTTCTCGAATTCCGCTTTCCTATTTTCAATTCGATGAGACTTTCCAATTTTCAGTTTTAGTTTGTTTGAATTATAATAAAAAATATTTGCCGTGGTAGATGTTGTGGGGTGAAGTACTGGATATTCTATTTTCATCATCCAGCTTTTTGTACTGGGGTAAAGAACAGCCACCACTATCCGAGCGCTTCGACACCTCAGCACCAAAAGCGTTTGTTGCGCGACTGCACGTGCTACGGTTTCAAGCTTTGGTAAAATGTCCTACTACAAATATAACTTCACCAAACAAACACAACGCGTGAAAGAGGCTTCGCTGCGCGTTACCCAAACGGCGCATGAAGCGAGCTGACGAGCTGAATGATCCAGCACGGTATGTCCCAGTCTGTCCTACCCGTGACGTCACAAACGATGATGATGATAGCTAGCGAAGCGCCCCCTGTAGTTCGCGGACGCCGCGAATGGCGCCAGAAACCGAAACTTTGCAAAAATGAACCCCGTTTCGCCATTGAAAAGTAAAAAAAAAAGATCACATAACTGAAACTTTGTCATCTTGCTCGAACGGCTGGGGCTGCATTCTGACCAGAGATTGAGCTCTCCGCGATGCTTTTATCGCGGACGCCCGATATATCTGACTAAAATCAAATGGTACAGCTATAACCTTCCTATATTTGGAAAGATATTTTTGGTGAAGCTTAGATCTGAATCATATATCCGTTTATTATTCGTAATAGTTGGTAGTGGCCGTAGTGGCCAACGAGGTTGGTAGTGGCTAGAGCACTATATAGCTATATAGTGCTCTAGTAGTGGCAAAAGAACAACGTAGAGGGGGGTAAAGCGGCTTGCGCGGATTGATACTGCTACAGGGAACAATGTATAGAACTACTTTTTGGCTATGGTGGCTGATGGTGGCACGTTAGTGGCAGGACGACAGTAACGGTGAAATTGGCTATCGGCTCGAGGGAAAAATGACTCAATACCTCCCTCCAAACCTCCTGGCGCTGTTCGCGCCGCGAGAACCCATTCCTTACCTGCCTCCAACGGATAAATTACCGCACGAAAAGACCCCTGGCACCTACACCGGCGTGGGAAAATACTTGAGCCTATTTGAGGTAAGCGCCAATGAATGCGTGTTGCTCGTTTCCATTCAAATGAACGAGCGCCTTGAGTAACTAGCAGTTAACTTAGCCGTTATTCACTTCAGTCGATGTTTCCTGAAGATTTCGATAGAATACTTTTATCAGGAAGCTAACTGCAACAGAGTTTCGATGATGCAAAACATTCAGTGTTAAGCCTAATGCTGAACTGCTTGTGCTCTCGAATTTCGACGCTCTTTCTTGTTACGCTTTTTCTGCCGTCATTTTATCGTTCGGTTATATTTTTATGATGCTTTCTATTCAAGGTTTCTTGGTTAGCTTAACGAAATGTTTCACCTAGTAATTTTTTGGCTGCCAGTACTGCACCCATAAATGCCAAGTCCCGGTGTTTGATTGCGTACACCTTTGGTTGACCTCAGGATCCCAAGGATACACCACCACCAACGCGGGTAGAAACTCGAGAAGAACGTGTTGAACGCAAAGTGAGTACTTCCTTATTTTATTTTTGCTTGGAAACTTGTCGCACGAAGCGACGATCGAAGGCGACACTTTCTAGTTTTTCTTAAATACGTTTGTCTTATTCATCTTAGCAAGATAGAGCTTAAAAAAAAAAAAAATCAAAAGAAATCCTAATACGTCTTATAATTATTCGAAATCCCAGAGCAGATCACATTGCGCTTGCAGATTTTTGGTTGAAACATTTGCGTTTTCTTTCGTTCTGTAAATCCAATGCTCTTTACTTTATTATGATTAGTTTTCCCTGATAAAGCTAAGTCTCTTAGCTTTATGTCTGCAGGAAATATTGCATCATGTTAGTCCCAGGTGTAAGAAGTTTCTTTTGAGAGCCCCATTACAGCGGTACTGTGCAAGAGTGCAACACTGATTTGGAGAAAATATAAGGGTGCAGGCGAGCTGGTGAATATTAACCATGTTGGATTAACCTGAGACTGGGTAGAAAAGAAACATCAAAATGTTGGAGAGGCAACAAATAGACAGGACGGCGTCTCTCTCGTCTCTCGGCTCAAAAGCTCTCTAGCCAGGCAGAAAATAGACAGGTTGTCATTTTGTCTATTTTCTGCCTCTTCTACGTTTCAATGTTTCTTCTCTACCCCAGCCTCAGGTTGATTCATCATGACTGACTCGGAGCCTTGCTTGGGATTATAATTCTCCCTCTCCTTTTTTAGAGACGAGAAAAAGCAGAGCAAGTAGCCTACAAGTTAGAGCAAGATATTGCCTTATGTGAGTACCTCCCTTCAAGAGATATTGTCTCTTCTTGGCAGTGGCTTGGACCAATCCAAATTTTCACTTGTTTCTTTCAGGGGAACCCCACAACAATGCTGCGGGAACTGTCGACCCATTCAAGACCCTCTTTGTGGCCCGGGTGGTAAGTTTCGTTTCCTCTGCCACTGTTGGTCACCTCGCTTTGACAAGAAGAGTTGGTCCCAGCAAGGCACATATTGAAAGCACCCTTTTGGCATCTGTAACTCGGGGTTTTTGCCAAATGAAGCTTCTTGTCCGATCGTCCCGGGCTTTGTGACGGAAGTGGCACTCGAGATAAGCCTCGCAAGTTGCGACCATCGAAATGAGAGCCTACCACATTTCATACCCAGTGCTGTCAAAGCTGCTGGCACAAGGTGTGGCTTCACATAACTACTCATTCGCACGAGGGCGGTGTGAGCGAACCGCAAGGTAGAGTCGTACGCTCTTGCCAGCGGCTTTGACAGCATTGTACAATCGGTGTGGAGTATAGTCGTAATAGGTCTCGACGGTGTCTTTCGACTATTGTCACTCAGATGTAGTTGCACATCATCTTCCACATCCTAAACTTGTTCTTGAACCCTTTTCCAGAACTACGACACGTCGGAGTCCAAGTTGAGGAGGGAGTTTGAGGTCTTTGGCAGCATCAAGAAGGTGAGCAAGTTCGTTCAGCAGTTCTCTAGCAAGCCACACTTTGTTAAACTGACGACCTCGCTTCCAATCTCTGGCAGATTGTGATCGTGCACAACAAGATCACCGGGAAGCCTCGGGGTTATGCCTTCGTCGAGTATGAGCATGAACGCGACATGCACTGTAAGTACCCTCCTCTCTCCCGTTTAGTTTCGAATGGGTCTGGCATAGCCTCAGATTCTTGTTGTTCCGATTCAGAGTGTGGCTTCTTTTGTGTGCGTCTATCGCACCTTTGTTGTTGCTGAGGGTTTATTACAAATTGCCTTTAAGGCTGTTTAAAGTTTTCATGACTTTTTTTTTTTTTTTTGGCATTTTGGTATACAAGTTTGCGTTGGGTTTGTGCATCCTTGCGTTGCTGTGTGTGCCCGGGTGAAAAACGTGGTTGGATGGTGACTCTTCCTGGTAAGAGTTTGGCCGCAAAGGTTGGAGGATGGCGGCGACTGGCTGGCGGCGCCCCGCCCACTCTGCGGTGGGCCCCGTCCCGAGAGGCCGGTCGGACGTCTGGTCGCCGTGAGGTTCGGGTCTGTGCCTTCTTTGTGGTCGGTTGGCTGCTCTGCCTCGTGCGAGGTCTTCGAGAGCAATTTCTTTTCATGTCTTATGCGAGTCTTTTGTTGAAGAAACGAGACTTAGCGACGGAACGGCCAGTGCTGTCGGTCGGGGCTTAGCATTCGTTGGGCTGATGGGCCTGGCTTGTCACCGGATGATGTATCCGGAAGGGCAACTTCCCAAACCTCTCAGGAAAATGTTTCAGTCGGGATATATTCTTGTGGCGAGCGCTATGTCTCGACTGCGCACTGTCTAAAGTTAGATTTTCTGGTTGTAGCGATGGGTAGTGCGGAACCAGAACCAGGTGTAGTCGTGTTTCGCTTGGACATATTCATCTTCGGACACGAGGTTTGCGCACCATTTAATACCGTCCGCACACGTGTGCGGACGGCAATGCTTCTGGCTCAGGCTGCAAATGTCCGTAGGACAGCCGCGCGACGCTCGCTTCTCGGCCATTTCGTTCGAGAGATGCCGGCCGCGGTGGCATTTAAAAAAGCTGCGTGCAGCGCGGTAGAATTTATACCGGCGCGTTTGCGAGGAAAGCGTGCGGTTATGCGGCACCGACGAGCCCTTGCCGTCCCGTCGCCGTGCCCTAGGTTTCCTCGGTGGAAGAGAGCCGGTTCTGTTCGGGGGCTGCATCACGGTGCCAGAAATGGTTGCAGTGGGCAGTAGCTGGGGTGCAAGCGTTCTCTCTCGGGCCTGCGGATGCGCACATGCGCTCGTCGTAATTCTTCGGGACGGGATGACCCCGAAGGGTCGAGCGAGGTGTCGAGAAGCACGTAAGGAGAGGCGAGACCGACGGCACGTTGCCGGAGCCGTCTTTGCGCCGGCTGGGTTCCATCTCTGGCGTCGCGGCGTGGGAGTGCCCGCAGTGTGCGCGTGGTGCGGCCGGCCCGGGGGGTGACTGGAGCTTTCTGTCTTGTCTCACCACAGACTTGGCGATGCCAGAGGGGGCGTCTACTGTGTTATATGTTCTCGCTAACGGATCATTTGGTTTGTATGGGATATGGTAAGGTGTCGGTAAGGCTCTTTGCGTTCTCCGAGCCCTTGGCAAAAGTGAGCGGGTTTGGTCCGAGAGGAGGGGGGGGGAGAGGGCGAATATAGAAAGAACAATTTTGGTAGAACCAAATTTTTTCCCATAGTTCCTAATGTTTTAATCTCTTGGATGTCTTGGTGGCTTTTACTTTTCTTTTTTTTTTTGTGTGTGCTTTATTTAGTTTTAAATTAGGACAGTTGTCTGTATGTGGCCGCTTTGCTTCATGGTGGCACCAACGGCTTCCGGTTGGTGTCGAAGCATTTGGATGCGTATCATTTCTGAACGAATCTTCAGCTTGCATCTGGAAGTTGCGCCGTGAGGCAAGCTTGGCTGGAGGTAATGGTAGGTGTTCTTTATTTTGATATTGCGCGAGGGCTATACCTGCGCACCTTGGGGTGCTTTATAAAAGCTCTAGTAAGACGACTGCACACTATAGCATCATGGGCACACAGTAAGGGGCTGCATCTCCTTTGAGTTCATTCAGTGCTGGAATCGTTGGCCAAAGTTGTCAGCTTGAGTCGTGGTGTTTTGGGCTTGTTCAGTCTTGTTTGGTTGGCATGTGTATTTCGAAAGGAATGAAACTGGTTGGGGACCAGCGGTACTAATTTCCTATGGATGTCATATTTTCCGGCCTCTGGATCTACAGGCATAAGGTCGCGCGAGTGTTGTTGGTTTTGTTCGTATCAGTGCTGTGGGTTCTATGTGTGTAGTACACGCCAGCGAGTTGTAGGCAACTGGATGTGATACGACGAAAATAATCCCTGGAGAAGGAGAACAAGAGGGAAAAGGACAAACACAAATCTCCAAACACAGCTAGGTGACTGGTGCGCGACCGAAAAAATCCGCCTGGTCCGGGTATCGAATCCGGGACCTCTCCATTACAGGTGGAGCGCTCTACCAACTGAGCTAAGCAGGGGTTAGATGTTTTCATTCTTGTCCAGCTTGCTTGCAGCTTTGCATTTAATTGCATTATAATCAATGGATGTGATAGACTACAGTGGTCGTAGAGGGTCGGAATTTAGGACTTCCTGCTTTGGCCTATAGATCACAACCGTAAGTGGGAGATGGACACATTGTGGTCTGGGCAACTTCCTCGTTCTTTGGAATCGGACTTGGAAACTAGAGTCTGCAAAAGTTCCGTGCCGACTAAACTCTTCGAGTGCATGTCAGCAAAAGTGGATTATGTCCGCCAATGAACTGCTGAGGTGCTGACTCTACTTGAGAAGTGATTGTGCTGAAGACCCTCACTATGCCCGGCTTCCGAAGATCGCCTTCAGGAACGATTGCTCCGCTGAAGACTGCACCATTATGAACAATGGGAAATTCCGCTGTAGCCTTTTTTAGTTTCCTTCGTGTGGACATGTGATTTGTAATGAGGGAAGAACATTTATCGCTATGTTGTTCACTTGTTTAGCATTTATGCCTGGTGGCCTTCTCATGATGACCGCTGGTCTAGGTGATTTACTATGGTGCACCTCATCGACCCTTGTTTGGAAGCAAAATTTCTTTCTTTCAAAAGTGGTGTGCAGTGCAGTGAGCATGGACTTGTTTCCACCAATATACTTCTTGCAAAATAATTGAAACAACAGAGTAGGCTGGGGTTGTGTTTCTGCACGCCTCTAGCGCCGACCTCTTCAGTAGTGAGCGTTTGTTGCAAGTGCCTAAAAATTTACGGTTTGCACAGTACAATGATAGCTGTAATAGAGGTTTTAAAGTAAAGGCCATCATGGATAGCTACAATTCTAGCTTGCTCTATGGCATTTCAATTATTTTGAAAATTCTATCGGTGTCCCTAAGCCCCACATGTGAGGTGCTGTCTCCTTGGCATTCCAAGGGTTTTGTGGGATAAGAGCCCTGGGCTCTTCTCCTTGGCTGCTGCCATATGCAGGCAGCTTCTTGCATGGTGCACAGTGGGGTGTGTTTTTACATTGGGAACCGAGATTTCTTCTCTCTTGGCGGTGGCAAGAAGCCAGTGTGAATTGTTTGAAGCTTGCACTGTGACTGCTTGATCGTTGAACCCGGGTTCTAAGCTGGGCTGGGAGCGGTGTTTTGTCTTGTTTTTTGGATGGGTCTACATACATTTTCAACTAGTCTGGGACAGCGGTGCATTCTGATTTTAAGGACGGACTTGGCATTTTGGTTTTGTATGAATCGAATTATTTTGATTCGGAGGGGGTGTAACTCGAGTTGACCTTGTTAAGAGGGTAAAGGGGCGAGTTGTATGTCACTGATCGGAGTGTGGCGGTAAGTTCTAACTGAGCTGCCGGTAAGTACTCCGGTAAGTGAGCCTCGGACTGGCATCTGCACATCCTCGAGCGACGAAGCGGGTCTCTCTGAAGTCATAAGCTTACGGCCTACAGCCCCTTTGAGGAAAGCTGGAATGGTGCGGCTGCCAGCACCAGAATGGTTATCTGGAATAGTCACTGTTGGCAGCATAATGGCCAATTCATCTGGGCCTGCATCACTCCAGTGCAGTACTGTTCATGGTACAGGGAAGGGGAGAGGGGAGCTTCCTTTTCTCCCCACCAGCCTTCCATAAACAAAAGTGGAAAGAGTTCACTGCACTCCACGAGTGTGTGCCCCAGATGAGTGGACCAGTAGGATGGAGCAGCCTGGCTTCTCCGTGCTACTCGGTGGCAATGATCGTGAGATGCCACAGGTGAGGGTCGCTTACCGGTCGTTCCCGGCACTTGTTGACTCTGGGAAAACTGGCACAATATCCGGGTCACAACGGGAGTAGAGCTTAATGGAAATCGGAGACTAGAGGATGGAGATACGGAAGCAAAGACTGTGCTGAGATGGAAGGTTTCGCCCCGTGCAAGCGAGAGCTTGGGGGATGTCGCTCGAGGGTGTGCGGACGGCCACGGGCGGTGGTGTGGCAGCGTGGGGCTGAAGGGGCCTGGCCCTCTCGGCATCTTTATCAGCCGCCTACAAGCACGCCGACGGCAAGAAGATTGACGGGCGCCGGGTGCTGGTGGACGTTGAGCGGGGACGCACGGTCAAGGGCTGGCTGCCCCGGCGCCTGGGTGAGCCACCTTTTCTTTCCTCGTGTCTTGCAGCCTCGACGACCACTGGGTCCCTCGATTTCTGCTCTATGATGTTGTAGAAGTGTCATATTTACGAACTCCGGAGTAAAGCATCTGCAGCCGTCGATTCGAGCTTTGCTCAAATCGACAGCCACAGTGTGACTGCTCCATGCAATTGAATGGGTCTGGCAAACCTTCAGAGCCTGCTGGTAAATGGGCCAGCATTATTTTTTCCGCAAACTAGGTTATTTGCTACCCAATATGGGTAGCCCTAGCAGAAGTCGGTGCACTCCGTACATTCTGACCAGTCATATCGACCGTTTCGCCGCTCCTGGTCATACTCGTTTTCTTTGTTTTCAAGACCTTTTTTTTTTTTTTTAGGTGTTAACAGGTCAACATAGGCTAATCGGAAAGCTCGATTGGCTTGATTCTAACAATTTAGCGGTACTTTGGAAACATTCGGTGGTTCTATACTTCGTTTCAGCTTCGGTCCAAACGCGGCCGATGTTATGAGCCGAAGGGCCAATCAAACAGCGAAAGAGGCACAACGTCATGGCGTGCTCTCTGCAGTTGATGGGATCAGCCGGTATTCGCCGTGTCTCTGTGCGTGTTCCTCCGCCGGCTAGTCCTGTCAGGCACAGAGAGCACGCCATGACGCTGCGCTTTTTGCGCTGTTTGATTGGCTCTTTGGCTCCAAACATCGGCCGCGCTCGGACCGAAGCTGAAACAAAGTATAGGCACCATGTGACAGAGATCCTGCTTTGAATTCCCGGGTTTTGGTCTCGCATTAAAAGATGGCGCTGTGGCCTAAATTAATCCATGGGCCTTTGCTAGAGCACCTTAAATGTCCCAAAAAAAATTTCTGATGGCCTAGTTTAATATATAAAAAAAAAATGGATGCACATTAAATGTTTACAACAGCTTTTTTTTTTTTTTTAGGTGACATTGCAAAGAGCATGCTCCGGTGGTCTGTTTTCTCTTACTAGCTTTGTGTTGTTGTATACTCCTCACCTGTATCTGAAAATAATTAGTTCAATTTACGTTCTTCCTAAAATATGCATTCCGAATAACAACACTTAATCTTTTATGCATTCATTTTAGTGTGCGGTGAAATCTAAATTTCAACGAAAGAGTTTGGTGTCGCGAGCCATTCTTTCCCGTCTGTCAACGCCGGTGTTTCGTGGACATGGCTCACGCTGTCTTGTCCGGCGTCCCGCAGGAGGCGGCCTGGGCGGCACCCGGCGTGGGGGGCCAGACGTGAACACAAAGCACTCCGGCCGAGAGGACTCCCGCCTGGACGACCGCTACATGTGGGTATCCCTTGCCGCCCTTTTTGGTATGCAGCAGGCCAGATCGCTTCCAAAAGTCGGCGAAGGATGCGAGCTAGACTTCCTTCGTGCTGACCAGGTGCTGGACAGATGCACGGCGCACGTTGCATTGCTCGGGCAGGTCGCGGTGGCTTCGAAAGAGGCCCTCCTCTGGCGACGGCAGAAAATGAGCCCCGTGCAATTGTGGCATTTGGCTACGGCGGCAGAGTGCCGTGTCGTTGTGCTCATTCGATTTATGTGCACCCGCTGCATTCGGTGGACACTGCAATATTTGATTTACGAGTCCAATGCTGCAGGCTTGGTCAGGTATATCGAATGAGCCCGTTGTCAGGGTATCTAGCAACCAGGAATCATCAGGGAAATTTTATTTACCGGGAAAAATCTGGGAATTGTAAAAGTATCAGGAAAAACGAGCCGGATACGCCTTCGAGTGCCCTGATTGAAGAGTTTGGGGGCAGAAAAATAAGCAATCAATTCTGCTTAGAGCGGCGTGGAGGCTCTGCTCACCCGATGTAGTGTGTGCTACCCGATGCAAAGGGAAGAGCCGACAAATTCAGTCCAAGCCTTGGATTGGAGTGAATTGGATTGAGGGTGCACCAGTTAGAGCTACGAGATTTAGGAACAAATTGGAACGCCACAGACCCCAATCCAAGCCTTAAGCCGAAAGTGTGCGTCTGGTTTGGTCATTGATGTGTGTGGTTAAGCGTCATGTTTCCGGAAATGGGCTCTTCACTGACGATGTGGGCGGCAAGGAAGTGCTTGTTTAATCTGCACTGGACTAACCTGAATATTTCGGAATATGCAAGTGGGATTAAGCCCGTGCGAAATGATCTTCATAGTGCTCAATGCTCAATGCCTTGTGTTGTAAGGGTCTTGTATTTTTAAGTACCTTTACAGTGGTCAGGGAATTTCATTTGAGATCGTCGGGGAACACCTAAAAAAGATGCGGAATTTCAAAATAATAATTTGCTAGACACCCTGATTGTTGTTGCTGTCGCGAGTGGTGTAGCTAGTTAGCCACTTAAGGTCGGGTGCAGTGGTTGCATTTCCACCCCCATACTGGGAGAAATGACTCGGGGCTGCACGGAAGCCATTTCCCGAGTGCGAAGGCCATCGAGGGATGCCCCGTGGAACCGAGTCGACCCCTGCAAGCGTTCCCTCTGACCGATGCAGGGACCGGGACGGTCGTGACCGGGACGAGCGGATGCCGCGCGGCGAGCGGCCGGAGCGGGAGAGACGACGCAGCCGCAGCAGGGAAAGGGACCGGGACCGGGGAGACCGCGGGGACCGCAGGAGACGCAGCAGGTGAGTGCGCTGGCCTTGCTGCCCGCGTTCCAAGTGCAGCTGCCCAACCTTCCCGTACCTTACGGTGGAGGTGGCTTCTGATGAAGCGAATACTGTAGACGACTTAATTTTTGCAATTAATAATGTGGCCAGAAGAGGATCCCTCGAATATGTTTTCCTGCGGGAACAAATAGGTAGCATACCGCTGTGGTCAGCGAAATTTTGAGCCCGTAGAATATTCCAGAAAATCGCGGTTCACCAATTTCGAAAAATATTGAGCCTGCAAAATATTTGGAGTAAATTATGGCCATAGTGACTTGTGGTACATTGTAACTAGGATCTTAATGCAGTTGTACATTTACGAACATGCCAAAGTTAAGGTCACTTGCGAAGAGTACCGGGGTTACGTTTAAGTTACTTTTAAAATGTGTCCCTAGACGTCAAGATATGCCGTGATTGCTCGTCGCATCATTTCCTAATTTAAATAAAATAGCAATTTTTTTTTTTATTTTTTTTTTTTCTAGTTTGGTTTTTTGCACGTGGCATTGTTTGAGGTAGTTACTAGTCAATTTAGTGTGCGTCGAGTCTAAATTGATTGTGACGCCGGTTTCATGCATGCGCGATACGTTAGATTGTTGTGCTTGGCTCACTCTCGTGACGCACAAATTCCCCAGAGATTGCCGGCCACCATAGAATTAACGTAATAGTCTAAAGGGAAAGGTCTCGTTTATTGCGGCCGCTTGGGGGCAGCGCGGCATAGTCGTGGACATGGGTCCCGATATACCCATCTTGCTGGCGACGTCTTACTATACATAAAGGAGTGGCAAAACGTTGCCTGTGAGGTCTGTACCCAGCTCTTCTCCGGGCGTCGCGCATTGTTTGAAAATAAAGCCGACGAGCACTCAAACAACTTTCACTGGTCGAGGCAGGACGAACATGCCTACCCTATCGTCTGCTTACTTTCTCCACCTATTTTTGTGGGGACCAGCGATGTGGGTGCTTATGGTTTGCCGCATTCTGCTCCCGTCTTGCTCCCCGGTCAGTTACGGGCGTCCGTCGCATACCCGTTGAAAGGACTCGCAGCTAACGGCGTCAAAACTTTCTCTCCTTCCCCGACGCAGCAAAGACCGGAAGCGGGAACGGCGGAGGGACCGCCCGGAGCGTGACCGCTCGGACCGGCCCGAGCGCTCTGAGCGGCCGGAACGTGGCGACCGGGACCGCACGGATCGCGGTGACCGGTCGGAGCGCCCGGACGACGTGGCGGGTGGCGACGAGGCCCCGCGGGAGAAGCGGCGTCGTAGCCGCAGCCGGGACCGGGCCAAGCGCAAGCGGAGCCGCAGCCGCAGCCGCGAACACAAGAGGCGGGAGCGCCGCTCGGACCGCAACGGGGCGGAGCGTGGCCCCGACGGGATCAAGACGGAGCCCACGGATCAGGACGGATTCGGAGACAGGGACAGTCGCACTGAGAACTACGACTCGGCCGGGGCAGGGGACTTCGGCGGCGGCGGCTACAACAGCGAGAGCCAGGGGTCCTACCCCAAAATCGAGAGGGGAGAGGAGTACAACTGACAGAGACGTGCGTCTGCCCTCTGGCTCGATCCTCCCGTCGATGCCAGAGCTGGCAACATCGTTCCGAGACTGTACCGTGAAAGAAGAGTCAAACTGTCGGAATGGCTCGCGAAACAGGACTGCTTTTGTCACCCGGGTCTTTTTTTTTTTATTTAAGGGGTGCGGGGAGGCTAGGGTAGGGAAATGAATGGAATTTCTGGTATGTATTAGAATTGGACGAAAGGGAAGGTACGGAATGACCCCTAGCAGTCTTTCCGATTCGTGGGGTGGCGGTAAGTTGTGCTGACCTCCAGCCTCTTAGAGGTAAGTTGGTTTTCGATGAAGACAGGACCCGACAATGCCTCTTTGTTTTGTTTTTTTAACTTTCAACCTTCATTTGGTTCATACGCATCCTCATCAATTTTTTCGAGAGGCCCAAATAAACCAGCTCATTGATTATGATTGTTGTTTTTTCTTGGGTGCCTGTAGATTGAAATAATTGTTGCACCATTTCCAAACGTCCCCGTGCGACTAATTTCTCATACATTGTTGCTATCTGATGAAGCAGGTTGCAATGCTCAGTGTTATAACGTAGGCCCTGTTCTTTTACTTTCACCTAGCCTTTTTTTTTACGAAAAAGCATTCCTTTACAATGTCGGTGAAGTGTCTTTCGCCAAGGGTTTTGATTTCGGCGTGTTGCTCTGATATATGCAATTTGCAGTTTGTAATTCCAGTAAGATGTGGATAACCACTTTCGATCGAGTTCTTGCAACAGTATTCACATGGGGGAGAAATCTCCCCCTTTGCTCCCCGAGGTACGCATCACTTGGTAACAACGTCGCACCTTTGCGCGGAGTCGCTGACGTAGACATCCCATGGTGATGAGGGAGCTTGTGCTTGAGCTGCAAAAATGCACCCCACCTTGGCAGGGGTCTCTTTGCAATTGTCGGTATTTTGTTTGCGTGTCTGGCAGCTTCACAGATTTTTCTCGGCGAGATACCAGCGGCGCCATCAGGATTGCATAACTTGTAACTCGCACTGTTGTGCATGTCGTCCGAGGCACCTGAAGGAGTTTTCGATATTCATCAGTGCCATCCTCGAGCCACTTCTCATACAACTGGTTTTTGATTCCACGTCTTTTGCCTTGCATCCCCCAGTTCAAGAAGCAGTTCGTTGTCTTCTGCATCTAACAGTGCTGCTACCATAATCGCCTATTGCCGTTTTACGTACGCATCCATTTTTCTGCTCAACTGCGCACACCGAACCCTCTTGACGAGAGTGTTACCGCTAAACGCGTCTGATAACGCTGATGTCCCTCTCGGGTCCCCGAGGTTTGTGCGAATGCTTGAGTCGGGGAGGGAGCCTTGCTGATTCTGCCGATCGTGGACGTCGCGTTCATCCCTCCCTGAGAAACATCCCTGTTGCACCTTGCATACCCGTGAAACCTGGTTCGTAGGCTTTTAACTCCTTATGGCAGAGTGCATTAAAACCTTGTGATCTCTTGCAACATGATGCACTGGCTTCGTCTATTGGGTAACCGTGGAAAACCTGGATTCCTTGTATTTTCTATTTTTTTGAGCATCATTCTTTCTTGCTTGGCTCGAATAACCTTCGGCAACGTTATAAACAGTTTCTCGCAGTATGTATTCTTTTTCTTGTGGATACGGCAAAGCCTTAGCTTCAGTAAAAACTCAGTTCCAGGGCCACCTTGCAGGTGGTGCCAGCGTGTTCTGCCGTCGTAGGAGGTTGCAAGAACTTGGTTGTAAGCAATTGCCAGTGCGTGAGGCAGCCTTGAGCCTCAATTGCTGACTTTGCATCTTCACCCCTTGGAAGTGGAGGATTGTGGTTTGGTTACAGCTATTTTCGTATCTGTGATGCGATTGCTGTGCTAAAGTGCTTACCCTGTTACGTCCTGCTACATATCGACAAAATGCGATGAATTTGCGCCAAGGTTGCTCCAACATATGATTTCACTATTAATGCTGAAAATGGAATTCCTAAGGACCCGCTACGCGGCCTAATCGTTAAGGTAAGCTTGTCCGAATTTTCGGAACTTTCGATTATGATCTTAACAAACTACACTAGTTGATATCTCTATCAAGCACTAACAGCACTCTGAAGTGGCAATTTTTGCATGCTTGTCTGTTCTGGTGGGTTGTGTAGTTTCGTTGAGTGCGCTTCTCGGTGCGCACTAGTACACTGCAGTGAAGTGAGAACCATAGAGTAAGCATTGCAATTTTTTTGTCTCTTTACCGCAGTGCAGCTATGTACTAAGGCAGGGGTTCTCAAACTGGGTTCCGGGGAACACAGGGGTTCCACGAGCTGGTCTCGTGGGTTCCGCGAACACCCAAATTGTAACCCCCCTCCCTCCCCCCCCCCCCCCCCCACGTTGCAGGCTGCGCAACAGGACCATAGAAAGCACCTTCATCTCACTTTGCACTGACATTGCGATTGATATGGTGGGGATATATGGGAAACAACACAAGCAAAATTGCCTACAATTGTGCATCCGTAGCTTCTCGGTCGGCAAGTATGAGAGGGGTCGGGGGGGGGGGGGTTCCGCGGCAGTTTTTGAGGCTTCCTGGGGTTCCGTGAGGTCAAAAAGTTTGAGAACCCCTGTACTAAGGGAAAAACACATTTCTAGTATGTGCATACTATAAACGACTTAATTTTAGCGAATTTCGCGAATCTCCTACGATTCACGAAATATAGGCCCCGCTAACAATTCCGGTAAAGTGTAAATACATTGGAATCCATATTGAGATCCCACCGCTTCGTGAAAATTGGAACCTGTGAAGAATTCCAAAACGTCGGCTTTGACCTAAATCACAAAATATTGAGCCTGCGGAAAATAAGTGGTTTACAGTATACATGCATACATAAAAAGAAAAGAACTTGCTAAGTGCTGATGCAAATGTTTACCTTGCAGTAAACAATTTTGAATAAAACTGGCTAGCACATACAATAAACTATGATATTTGATAAATTTTTGTTGGAATTCGAGACTAGGCATGAATACTTGTGTATTGCAGGAAGATTTATATGAACTTATAAGCTTATTTTTTATGTTGTCTCTGAATTCATTGTCACATCAGTTCCGTCTGTGTGATAGGATAGTAAATGGAGTAAATTAAATCTCTTGACAATTGATGCTGACAAAAAGTTAACACAGAAACAAGCAGAAGGCGAAGTAGACGGTGAAATGTTAAAATTGGTAGACAATGAAACGTTAAAAAATATTTATAAAAGGTTAACACAGAAACGGGTAGGCAAAGCAGACATGCCCGTCTGTCATTATTTCGTAAGCTTAACGATTTTTTTAAAACTCCCCCAATATCTTTTTACGTCCCGATCATTCATTCTAGGTGTGCACTGTCATTCATACCACGGACTATTATCAACTGGAACAACCTACAGACTCTCATTGCGACTGAACTAGATATGTCTAACTTCCAAGAGCTCTTGCGCAGTTATACCCATACTTAGGATCCCTTTATATTCCTTGTTCTCATGTTGTCTTCGCATACTATTTGTTTTTTCTGTGTACTACCGGGTGTTTACAAGAAATCTGAACCCGGCTTTTCGCACCGCAAAAATAAACTAGACATCGTGGAGTGCTCAAACATCGTGAGAACGTAGCCCCAGTCATTTGAGCAAGATGCCAAAGTTTTAGCACCGATTGTTATTCAAAAGTTACAAGCGATTTTCTGAAAATTTTAATGGAAAAATGGCGGCCGATGGAGCTCTACGACACCAGAAACCGAAAACGTACGAAAATGGGCCCCTTTTTTCTATTGGAAATATTAAAAAAATCGCATAACTTTTGAATAAAATAAGGGTTCGTTCTAAAGCTTTGGCATCTTGCTCGAACGGCTGAGGCTACATTCTGACAGAGTTTGAGCTCTCCGCAATGTCTAGTTTATTTTTGCAGTGCGAAAAGACGGGTTCGGATTACTCATAAACACCCTATATCATATATTTGCTTGTCTTTCCCCCGTTACGTAATGCCCTCATACAGAGGGCCTTTAGGGGTATTTTGAATAAATAAATGCATGGAATGAAAAGTGAAAACTTGTGCTCCAAACTGGACTTTTAGCTGTTCCTAATGGTGATCCAAGATGACTCGGACCGTCCGCATCACTGCAAATATTGTAGCGTTTGATTTTATCTCTACCAAACGTGGTCTCTTCTGGCAGGTTAGCTGGCTTTGTTGAGCGCACTTGTATACTGCAGTGAAGCGACAATCGCAGAATGGAAATTGTGATTTCTGCGCATTTTGTTTTGCCGCAGTGCACATGCGCGCTATGGGGAAAGCACCCTTCCAAAGCGGTATGTTACACATTATGATTGGGATTATTTTTGGCGCAAGAGCATGTATGTTACACACGATTTCGAAATGAAGCTGTGGCTATTATATATATATATATATATATATATATATATATATATATATATATATATATATATATATATATATATATACATATATAACAAACTCCAATATTCTGGTGACATTTTAAGTTTGAGAGTTAGCAAGGATAATTGAGTATTGCCAAAAAAATTGTAAAAACTGCTTATAGGCTAATCATGTCGTATTACACCTGAGACTGCGGTGGAAGAAATCGGAAGAACTTTCAGTAGAAGGAACAGACACAGAGAATGTCTCAACAAACTGAAAGTTCTTCCGATTTCTTCCACCGCAGTCTCTGGTGTAATACGACATGATTAGCTACCACCAGCTCACCTGCACTCTCACCGTCTTTTGCTTATAGGCATTTCATTTTTTTTTGTCACTTGTTTAGTTATTGGCTTTATATGCAAGAGTACTTTAAAACAAAATTAGCTGGACTAGTGGATGGAAACAGCCTTATCAAGTTGTGCAACCCATTAGCTTTTTTCAACAAAGGCTGGTTTTAATTAGTTTCTTTAGGATTGCCACTTCTGCAAGTTCTTGAAGACCGAACTGATAACATTATCCCGATTTTGTAAACTGATGTGGGCATCATTTATAAAAATCTAATGGTCACTAGAATCCAGATTTTGTAATCTGATGTGGGCATCATTTATGGGAATCTAATGGTCACTAGAATGCTCTGGAATGTGTCAACGAAGACAGGATTGACATTTTACAGGTAATGATGCACCTCTAAACAATGACAGAAACAAAGAAAATTTGGGTGGCAACTGGCTTGGGCAATGCTACAGCCAAAGAAGTTGCTACCCCATAAAGGAGACGAAGTGTTGTTCAGTGTTTTTCTACATCCTTTATTACTTGGTCTAGTTTTGCACTGCTCAGCCACACCCTTCCTCCAAAAGCTTGGTCTCTCCCACCCACATGACTCCCCAACCCCTTATTACTTTGTGACTAACCTGGAATGTTTGCAAGCCTTAAATACGTGCCAATTTATCGGATGGAAAAAAGACCAGGGTAAAAGAAACGAAAATACACAAATGCATTGTGCCATTAACTTGCGCTCAAGTTGAAGTACACAAAGGAACGGGAGACGCCGAACAAAAAAAAAAAGCCGACGGGGCAGGGGACTAGGGCAGAGGGGGTTCGGCGGAGCCGACTTTTCATCGGGACCTTGGTGCTGTGGTCTTTAGAAGATGAAAGCCTTGATCTCGTCGTACAGGACAAGGACCAAGGCTCCCCCGGTGCCACGAAGTACGTTCGAGAATGCGCCCTTGAAGAAGGCAGCACCACCTTCTGTCTTGTAAATCTTGCCCCAGCAATGGGCCGTGCTCTTGTACATAAGGTCCGCCTTGGCGCGACCGCTCTGCATCATCATACGCCGCCGCACTGTGTCAAAGGGGTACGACATGATGCCCGCCACCGTCGTGACCGTCTGCGCAATGAGCCAGGAGATGACCAGTGGCGTGTTCTTGGGGTCAGGCAGCATGCCCTTGGCCGTGTCGAAGAAGCCAAAGTAGGCTGCCCGGTAGATGATGATGCCCTGGACAGACACGCCGAAGCCCCGGTACAGGCCCATCAGTCCGTCAGACTTGAAGATTTTGGTGAGGCAGTTGCCCAAGCCGGAGAACTCCCGCTGTCCCGCGCCCTTGCCGATGTCGGCGGCCAGACGCGTTCGAGCGAAGTCGAGGGGGTACACAAAGCAGAGGGACGTGGCTCCTGCGGCGCCTCCGGAGGCCAGGTTGCCCGCAAAGTAGCGCCAGAACTGGGTCTTCTTGTCTACGCCGCCGAGGAAGACCTGCTTGTACTTGTCCTTGAAGGCGAAGTTGAGTGCCTGTGTCGGGAAGTAACGGATGACGTTGGCCAAGTTGCCACGCCAGAAGCTGAGGAAGCCCTGCTCCCTGGGGATGCGCACGAAGCAGTCGACCATGCCTGCAAAGGAACATGGGACACAAGTCAAATATCGGGGTTCTATGTGACAAACCAACCAAGATCATCTGGTACACCCCAGAAGAGGGCCGAGGACGAATTTAGACCAGCTGGGAATCTTGACGTGCAACCGAAATCTCGATTAGCCGGAGTCTTTTCCGCAATATGCCGGCGCCTGACTGCGGGCTCTTCGGCCGGGATCCCAACCCGCCACCCAGGGAAACTAAGACCGGTGTTTCTGCTTCCGAACCACCAAGGCGGCTATGTTGGTGTAACGAGACGAGCCAATGTTTAGCACGGCACGAGCGCGATTAAATGTGAAAGTCAAGCGACACTCCGGCATTTTACTTACTGCAAGGTAGTGTAGCCGCAATAATTATTTTTTTATTATTTTCATAGGGACCGTCAAGGTCAGACACTGCCATTTTTTATCCTACGAGTCCGTGAAACCAATGCATTCTTTCTTTTACAAAAAAAGCGTCAAGGTTAAGGTCGCGTTAAATTGAAGGGGCTTTAAAGAACGAGAGAGGCTACGCCAGACATTGACCCGCGACTGCAAGAAATTAAAGTCAAAGATAAGAAAAAAAATATATATACAAATAAAAAAACGCGACTTTTGCCAACTGTAATGCGCAGTTCCCGCAACCGGCTGTATTCTAATATCACGCAAGACAGTAAACACGGATATTGCATTGGATATTGCACTCGAAACAAAATCTCAACTCGAGAACAGCCCTGTTCGTCGTGACCGCACAAAGGTCATTCATTCATTGAACTACGCGAACGAGTCAAGCGTCGTATTGAACACGAAGGTACACGGCCACTGAACGGTTAGTGAATGAAGAAAATTAGCGGCAGCGGGTATAAAATACCAAGGCGACAAATAACCACCGAAGCAAGCTTTGATACGAAAAAGAAAACCCGCCGCCGGCCACTTTTCCTACAATGTGGCCGTGCGGGCCAAGATGGCGGCAGAGGCCGGCATTTTGTAGGTCAGTAGATTTGGGGTCTCACCTTTGTAGCGCTGGGCTTCGGAGATTTGTGTGGATGCATGTTGAACTTGTAGCAGGAGTTTGACTCGTTCGATAGGGGCGACTGCCGTCTTGGAGATGGCAGCGGCCACACCGCCGGCGATGAAATCCTTCGCGAAGGAGATCGGATCGAAAGACATGTCTTTACTGCCTGCTTTCGTCGGTGGCACCGGAGCAGAGGGGCTTTCAGGGGAGGGCTTGCTAGTTTTATTGGACATCGCCTTTTGCTCCGGGACTGCGATTTCTGAAACACGTTGAAAAATAATAAAAATTGCGACTGTACGACTTTAAAATTACATGCAATTTTAAAATGCTATCCAATATTTTAAATATTTAGGTTATAATTTTACCTTATAACTCACCAATCGGAATGCAGATGAAACGACTCTGCTATGTGTCCGCCTGCTGTTTGCGTCACAGGTACCGGTAGTTTTCAACAACTCATTACGTCACGGCTCTGTCGATGTAGCGGTAGATTTTCAAAGCTTTTTCGTCTGGAGCGGTGCCTGCGAGCCTGCAAACATAACAAACAACGATGACAAGCATTTTTTTAATAGGACAAGCCCCCCGTGACGAGTCTTCGTCCTTAGTCTCGTCCACCGAGAGTGAAGCGAAGCTGAACAGGGGTTTGCCCGAGATATGGTGTACTAGACAGCCGAAACGCGCGAAAGCGGCTCGCCAAAGCTGCCGGCGAGATCGCAGCCGTGGTTTGTGGCAGATTGCACCGACTATCATGCTTAACCGGCACGACTTCCGTATTTCCGCTAGTCCACGATGTAGTCTACGAGCGCTCCTGTCAAACGCCGGGCGGGGAACCGTCCTGACCTTCGCGTCAAGACCAGGGTGAGTACGTCTACTCTTCTCTCCATTGGCATCTTATTCAAACTGTTCAAACTGGTTCGATTGGGTTTTGACTTTTGAGATAAATCGTATATCTTCGCGAGTTCGTGTGCTCGAAAGCACCCGCTCAATCGGAACAGAAGGTGAAAGTGGGCCCCCCTTTCAGAACCAAGAATTCGTGGGAAGGAAAGGGAAATCTCCCTCAGACTCCAGACGACGGAACAAACGTTCGCGCTGTATGGTGATCGGCGGTGTTCATCGCGGGTATGCAAGCAACGGACCGGATGCGACCGACTGCAAAAGAGAGTTTTCAACCGAATTCGAAATGTGCATGCGTTGATATTAGACGTCGCATGCAGCTAATTTACGAGAAGGAACCGCGGTGCGATAATGGAGAAACAAACCACAGTGGCCGTGCGGCTGCAGCTGAACATTCGAAGATCAACAGGCTTGCTTGGACTGGCCATGTCACCTTGTTCCGGAATACCTCAAAACGTTCCCACTGTACACACGATCAATGTGTCTTCACAAGCGCCACAGCGTCGTTGCACCCGATCAGACGCGGCAATCAAATAGGATAGTCGTGTCTCTCGTGTCGTGAACCGGACGGTCCTGTGCATAGACGACCTCTGCGTTCCAGATGTCCCAGGGCAGCGACTTTTCGGGGACCGTCTCGACGCAGGCGCAGTGCGAGGTGGAGATGGTACTTATTTATAGCCTCCCAACTTGCCCCCCCTCTGGAACCGCGGTTATAAAAAGTCGAAGCTGGAGCACGGGGCCTTCTTTGCGACGGGCTAGGGGGCCAAGACGGTTAGCAGCTTGCAAGAGGTCGTAGCACGCACCACACAGAAAGCAGCGCGCTTATTTTTTTTAATTATCTTCTATTAATAGTAATTTTATAATTTTATTTCTCTCGAGGATCGATCGAAGAATCGACGAGGATCGTCCGAGATGTCTGCACAAAAGGACTCTGCCGTGGTTTCCTTCCTGAAGGACTTCATCGCCGGAGGTGTAGCCGCGGCCATCTCCAAGACCAGTGTGGCCCCGATTGAAAGGGTCAAGCTTCTGCTTCAGGTGCAGCATGTGTCGAAGCAACTCACGCCCGACAAACAGTACAAGGGTACGTGCTTCCCAGCCTTTTTTCTGTATGCGACTAGTTCGAACCGCTTCGTCCGTGAGACCGAGCCGTGACGCCCTTCGCCAGCACGTGCCCTCACAGCCGTGCTTCGTCTGTGCTTTCGCGCCCTCGTCTCGCTTCCGTTCGTTTCGCTTCCCGGTGAAGGCTTCGGAGTGCCCAGTTATGATCCCGAGCACGTTCTGATTGCACGGAGTTCAAGCGATAAGAGGGATGAATGAACGAGAAGGTTGTGAGCCGTTGTCAAGGTCAAGGGTAGAACTGTTCAAAGCTCTCCAGTTTACTCGTTCAGTGTTTGGACATCGGTGTACCTTCCGAAACGCAATCGCCTCCGCTGGATGTCTCATATTTACGTTAATTAATAGCCGTTTTTTTTCCCTTCTCCCTCTCTCTCTCTCTTCTTCATTTGTATGGTTGCTCGCGTTTCGTTTCTTACAGTAGTCGGTAATGTTTTTTTTGTTTTTTTTTCGACGCTTGGTTATGAAGTTTTTGAGGAAAAACATGAGTTTTTCTTGAATAGAAATCACGGTAATAACACACGAGGAGTATGCATTGTTGATTCATCGCGTGGGTACGTTCGACCTTGGTTAAATCATGAGCAAAGCACAAACGTTTGTCCTGTTTGTGGGAATTTTTGTTCAATTTGATTTCCTCGGAGATACAGCAGAACGTGTAGTTTACACGAGGTATAGGAAGTATCTCCAAGATAATATGCACGGCATTAAAAAAACTATTATAATACAAAAAAAAAAAAAAAAATGTGTGGTGCTTGGACGAAGTGCGTAGCAACTAGCAAGTGGTGACCGAATTGGGCAGGATGATGTTTATCTGAATTAGAGCAGTCACAATGATGTAAAAGCGTGGTTCGTTTAAAACAACACTCCACTTGACAACAACAAAAAGAAAAAAAAGAAAGAAAGCGCAATTTAGGGAGAAGTTTTGGGACGGCAACAAAGGGAAAAATCCCTCCCGGAGCGGGACACGGAGCCCGGAACATCGCTGCTGTCTGTGTCCAGACGGTGGCGATGTTTCGGGCTGTCCGCACTCCTTGTTCTTTCAGTTTTCTGTAGAACAAAGGATGAGGCAAGTATGAAATCACAGACGCCTCGAAGAACCTGAAGTCTGCAGGAAACGTCTGCCGACAGCACGAGGATCTCTGTTCGAGTTGAAACGGAACATAGCGCTGTGCGTCCACCATTGTTGGGAAGTACCACTACTTCAAGCACATTTAGAAAGCGAAATCCATTCTCTGAGATGTGCTTGTATTTTAAAGGTTTTCTTTTTTTTTTTGGTACTTTGCGAGGAAAGCAACTCCCGTCTTCAAAATACATTTCATAAAACGGATGCACCCGCAATTACTTCTAAAACAAAGCATACCTTTTAATAAAACATATATGGGAATGAAAGGGCATCGTGGAGGATAGCGTTAAAAGCACTTGTACTTTATTTTAATAGTACATTGTATTTATAGTAGTTTACTTCAAATATATTGCGTCCGGTGTACTTACTGCTTTACTCGAACTGCACGACCTCTCATTTACTTTGTACTTCAATTACTTTTTAGGCGTACTTTATCCAACACTGGCGTCGACCATAGCCTATGTGATAATGTAAACGACGTTTCGAATAACATCACTGTGTTGTAGCAGCTTCGAACGTTCCTTGCTGGCGGGCAGACATTACAACCGGAAGAAAGTGACACGTGCCGCGTCCTTGGAGCCTTTACGGTTGCGGCCCCAGAACACCCAGCATTGCGGCCCCGGCTTAGAATTAAGGTCAGCGTGGAAAGAGTGGGGGGTGAAGGCCCCCCCCCCCCCCCCCTTTCTTCCCTCCTTTTAATTTTCTAACCCCCTCAAAAGCAACCTCTTTAATAAAACAAAAAACACGACATATATTAGTTTTTTTTTTCTTCTTTTAGTAAGGAATGGTGAGTTTTTTGGTGGGATGGCAAGCAGGTCAATCAAATAGATCTGGTAAACGCTTTGCACGTGACGTCACGTTCGTCCGCGACGTCAAATCTGTCTCCCCCTCCCCCCCCCCCCCCCAAGCCTGATCCATAAGTCCGAAAAAAGGTATCTTTGGGATATAATAGTTGGTTGATGATCCACCTTGTCCGGCCCTGCATTGACGGACAAGGTTGAGGAGAGGCGAACTTTCACCTTGCAGTCAGTACCACGCACACGACCCCTCGGAGACCGCCGATCAGCGCGGCGGCTCACAGGCGCTTCTAAACCGCAAAGAATATGCGAAGACGGCTGGCTCGGTCCTAACTGCGCAGCGGTTTCTCGCCCGCAGACGTGCTTTCTTGGCAGCGCGTGCGGAGCGGGCATGGGGCAGCGGGAGGCGAGCAACAATTGCGCACGCACGAGACAGAGGGCAGGATCCTTGGAGATCGCGTTGCGTAACACTGGGAGCTATTCCAAGTGGGCCTTCTAATTCGAGCCCTCCCGGACGAGCGGCCCCGTTCTGCGATTTCTCGCGGCGGCGTGAATGCATTTCGCTCGGTCCGTGCGTCGTTCGAACGCCCGAGACCCTCCTGGGCGCTCAAGTTGGAGCGGGGGGCGGCAGGGAAAGCCGCCTCGGTGGCTCCGAGGCAAAGCGCCGCCCTCCCTAGGTGGCGGGTTCGAATCCCCGCCGTTGTAACCGAGGTGTCAAAAGATCCCACCCAGCCAGTCGTCCGCTGGGGCGTGCCAGAAGTAGGGATGCCAAATTTCCTAAAATTTTGAAGGCAAAAACAAAATAAAAACAGCCTAAATATAACTACTTTTTTTTTTCCTGAAATTTTGGATGCATTTAAAAATTTGTCTTAGCCAGAGTAATCTAGGAATTCTTTTGAAAGACACCGACATGGAACAACGGAAAAAGGTTTTTGCGCCAGTTTCTGCGATAATACTCCTTACATTCTTTTTTAATGCTTATGAGAGCTTTGGCAGATTTTGGACTTCTCAATACACTCTTTTGGACTCCGCAATGCACTCTTCATCGTACTAAATGGTGTATAGGCTTACTGTAACCGTTACTTTGCAGCCGCCGTTCGTCGATTATGACTTTATATTACACAAAAGTATGTACCAATGGTGCTGCAGTAGCAGAGGCTCGGTTACGTTTTATGCAGATCTCGTGGTTTTCGTTGACTACGGGCGTGATAATGTAATCGGGAAATATGTGAAAGATTACATAAAATTGGCTTCTTCAGACGCATGCGCACACTACACGAACAAATCTCGGGTAGCGTTTAGTTTCTGAAACTTTTTTTTAAATATATTTTTAACAGTTATAGCCATACTGCTGCACAATTCATACTGAACAGCAAAGCAATGCTCATTTGGTGTATGTTTTTAGGGCAAAGCAAACAATTTCACGATGGATAGAGGCAGCATGACAACCACAGGCGCTTAAATAAAGCTGGGGGTTCACACTGCTCATACATCATATACAAAAGGCAGTCTGCAAACAGGAATCACCGTTCATATCCGTGATTCCATATTTTATTTCTGAACACATTGCCGTGCGGCATTCAAAGCACGGGTTTCGCGGGGACTCGCTTTCGAATCTGTGTGAGTGGCTGTCTTTTGTATGATGTATAAGGCTATCAGCTGTGTGACCCCGGTTTTCAAGTAATGGCCCCAGGCTGTTTCCTCTATAGAGTTATTATAATGTACGCTAGAGATTCTAGTGACGCTAGTGTGCTGATGGAAATTGAAGCAGACAGCAACCAGTCCAAAATTGAGTTCCGGTAATGCATTTCTGTGGAAAAAATTCAGTGCATTTCCTCCCTGCGCTCGATGATAAGAGAAAACATCCCGAATAATTCGCACGTACTAGTACTGGGTAGCTTGGAACATTTCTCAGTCAGGCCGACGAAATAATCGGTCAGTTAGGGCGTTTTTCTTTCAAATTCATCGCATTAAAACGGTGCTAAAGCGGCTTCGTACGTGTATTTATGTGCACTGTCGGACACTGTTTGCGCGAACACGACGTCGGCGCTTTTCAGCAAACGAACGACGAACGTCTGGAAATTAAGGGAGACGGCAAGAACTACGCAGTAACACTGGATCAGTAACTACCCGTGCGTGTACGATCGAAATAAATTGAAGGCCACGTAATCTATTCCGATTTTAAATAAGTAAGTACCCCTTTATTCTTTCTGCTCTGAGCGAAGATGTTCGTTCTACGCTCAAGATATCACCCGCGCGCTCGAAATCTTTGAGAACAAGTGCCCGATAAAAGCTCCCTGGCAGAGAAAACAGTACGAGACACTTTATCCGCTCATGCACGACGGAATCATTTTCATATAGTGAGAGGACTGGCATATTATCAATATATAAGCGTCACCGGAATGCTGGCGATCCTTGAACACACTCTATATTCCTTTCGGGTGTTATTTTGCTTAGAATCGTCGCTTGTTTTTACACACCTGCTGCGGAACACACGTTTGGGACTGAAATGAGGCAAAGTTCAACATCGTTCACTGATAAAGAAAAATAATCCCGGAAAAAAGCTCACCGGAAAATAGCTCACCGGAGAAAAGCTCTCCTCAAAATCAGCGGATGCGGAGAAAAACTCAGCGGAGAAAAGCCCACCGATTTTTTTCTTCTTCTGTTCATATGGAGGTTATTGGATCATGCCTAACATATATCAATTGCAGGACGATATATGTTTGGCAATCATGCCTAACATATATCGTCCCGAATGCCATCATAAAAAAAAAAAAAAAAAAAAAAAAAAAAAGCGGAGAGAAAAAAAAAGGGGGGGGGGGGGGGCAACAGAACAGTCTTCTGAGACGTCGTTCTGTTGTCCCGTTTTTTTTTCTTTGTTTGTTTTCTTGTCTCGGGGTTTATAAGTATAGACAAACTCGTGTTTATTTTATTTTTTTGTTACTATCAACTATAGTGTGGTACAGCGTCAATTCATCTTTGGAAAACCTAGAGCATTTTCAAAGACGAATTGTCACAGGCTCGCCTGTTTTAGTCTTTTTTCTATGG